GCGCTGCAGGGGTTAATGCGCGCTTCCATCACCCCAGTCGGACGCTGCAGGGCTTGGAGTGGGGCTCCCCCCCCATTCCCCTCCTATTCCCCTCCCCAGCGGAGCTGTACGGGTTAATACAGACACACACCGCTTGTATCCGGTACTGCAGCATGGATACCCCCCCCCCCCACCGCCATGTGCTGGTTTGGCATCCATAGGAGGAACCTCCCACCCCCCAAATAACGGTGTAAGTGTTTCTTCGGGGTGTTTGCCCCCCGAAGCTGTGTCCCAGGGGTGTGGTACAGGGGAGGCTGGAGCAGGGGATGCCTGATGCTGCTCCCACTGAGTGATGGGGTAATGGCAGCCTCATGGCGTGAGGGACCCCAGTTTGCTGTTAGAGCTGTATTGGCCCCCTGGGTTTAACCCCCTCTCCCTTTGCCCTGAGCCAGGGCCAGTTAACCCCCTTCTTGGCATTACATGGGTTACCTCGCACCTCAGCCAGGTCCTACCCAGCTCTCCCACCACTGCAGCCTCCTCTGGAGCCCCCAGCATCCCAGAGAAGACCCCCAGCAGTGAGTTTCCCCACTCACCACCCCAGAGAGCCCCGCACCAGTGCTGCCCCATGGCAGACCCTGCTCTCTGCTACGCTCTCAGCTCCCTGGTGTCACCAGTGTCACAGACCCTGTCACTGTGGCCACAAGCAGCAGGCAGGCTCGGTCCCTGTCTGTGCTGGTATTTTCTTTGCTGCAGTCACCCTAAGACCCCATAAGTACAGGCATCCTCAGCGAGAGGCAGACCTGCCTGTGGGTGAATATCCCCTGGCTGTTGCTTTGCTCAGCCAACACCACTCCACGCAGTGGGAAATGAGGCTCCTGAAGGTCCTGTCTTGAACGCCTTGATTCTGGGGAGCCGTGAGCCCAGTGGGATGCAAAACGTGCGACTCACCCCTCTCTGCCCATTTCCAGGCCCTTCGTTCCCCTGCCACGCACTGACTCCTTGCCAAGGAAATGAAGGTCAGAGACACCGAAGGAGTCATTTGCTTTGTCTTGAGGCCTTTATTTGTCGACAACATGTGACAGGGGGTTTGCTTTTCCTTTCTCAGGTGTTGCTGAATCCCATTGACTTCCACAGCGGTGACCTCCAGTCCCAGCAGCGCATCTCCTGTTGCATCTCTGGGCTCTGTCCTGCTGCAGGATGCTCAACTGCTGTCCTTTCACAGACCACAAGCTGCAGGAGGAGGCTTTTTAGGTCGGTCACCTGCAGAACGAAGTCTTTTAAACACTCTTCACTCCATGAGGAAGTAAAACCCCCATTGGCAAAGGCATTCATTTATTGTGCCACAGTCCTGTTGGCTCAGCTCAGCAGCATCTTTCTGAACATGTTGAATCCAGTAACACCACCACATCCACTCTGCTCCTCAGCCTCTTCCTACACCCCTGTGGGTATTCCAGACTCTGGGGCAGGAGCTGCTGGACAAGGACCGCGCCTCCTCCTCTTCCTCTGCTTGTGCCATGCGGGCCTGAGGAAAGGCTGCCAGAGACAGAGAAATAATAAAACCAGACACAGACAAAGCCAGGGCTGGGATATTCTGTTTCAGAGCAATGACACAAAGTGGAGATGGGGATAAAATGAATAAATTATGGTTACTGATACTGTTTGCTTTGAATGGACACAGCTCTGCTCCATCAGCACGTCCCAGGCTTCCTCCACGGGTGAAGGGCTCTACTCCGGTGTTCCCATCGGTTCCCTTGGGAGCTGCTTTGCTCAGCCCTCCCTTCCCAAAGACCCCCAGCAGCTCCTTCGTGCCGTTACCCACCTCAGATTTCACCCCACAAGTATTTGCACAGCCAGAGCCGCCCCTCTGCACCAGAGGTACCCCCCACCTCTCATCAGCTCTGTTCTTGCACCTTGCCTTTGGGTGAATGAACCTTTTCCAATGAACCGAAGTGTCTGCTGCTGAGATGCCCAGTTCCCAGAGTCACCTCACTGCCACCCTCCTGGGAGCCTGTGGGCTTAACAAAATCACACGGCAGTGATTGAAAACGGGTGGAATAACCTACAGGAGCTCAGGACACCTTGTCCTTGCTTCTGCACTCGCCTGCTGGGTGACCTGGGCAATGCAGTCCCTGTGAGGGGGCTCAGTTTGCTTTTTAAATCACATGAAGGTGCAAAACTTGCCTCTTCTGCAAAACAAACTGGGACAGCATTGAGGCTCATTATGATGGCCATGTACTTTTTGATACGGTGCTTTCTGCAGCCCAGCAAATACCAGGAGATCGACTTAGGGCTGACCAGGGATGAATTCATCACCTTGGAGGAGTCTACGGACATCGCCTGCAAATGTGGCTGGAATAGGGAATCAGGCAGATGACGCTGGGTTTTCATGCTCCAGGGAGTACAAAAGGTACCCGAGCACCTTGAGCTCCAGTGTGCTCAGTGTCTCACCCTGAGTTTTCTGCATCGTAAGACAAATACTGCAAGGGGAGATGAATCAGCCTTTTCCCATTGTTTTGTTTCCTTGTGAAGTCCGAAAAGCCTGAAAATGCTACCCCCTAATGGTAAAACAAGGTGTGGGGGTGCTGTCCTTGGGAACATCGATCCAGATGTTATCCATAGGGCTGGGAGTGGAGGGAAGGGAGGCAAGGTGCTAGCAAGGTGTGCCCCTGAGGGAAAGGGACTGCTGCTCACAGCAGCTTTGCATGAAGAGCTTTGCACTGGTCATGAGAACCAGTTATATACCAGTTATATACTGAAATAAATCCACTTTGTGAAGCTCAACAGGGTGGTTCAACCCCAGTGTCTTCAATGTGGGAGATGCTTTGAGCCTGGATCCTGCCTGCTCCTTCACCCCAGGATCCCTTCCAGGCTCTCCCTGGAGAAGCCGATGGGCACATTGATGCCTTGCTCTTGTGGACCAACAGAATAAAACTGAAATAAGGAGAAAGCAAGAAAAAACAAAGGCAAAAGCTGCCAAAAAGCTTTTAGGATTTGAAAACACATTCAGGGTTGTAAACTGGGTTTGGAGGTCGTCCGTGATACATGTCTGGAGGGGAGAGATTGCTCATCTCATCCTCCATGCAGATTCCAGCTCCCCAGATGGTTGAGTGGATGCCGTGGGGGTCAGGACACACACACTGATTCTCAAATCTTGGGCTGCTTTTCAAACCTGCCCTTCTTCACTGCTCAGACACATTCAAAAATCTCCATTTCTCATGTTTGGGATACCTCAAAACTCTAATAAAAGCCCTATTCTTCTCCCCATTGCTCCACTGGCATCCCACCAAACCCTGCACTACAGACCAGACTACAAGGCAAGGGAAGTTCTGCTGCAAACTTGTTTGATCTCAATCAAAACCATTTTCTTCCTATGTTACTTCCTGATGATCAGGAAGCGAAAGACCTTTTCCTTGCATTTCACACAATACCTGAAGCTCAGGTGGGACCTCGGGTGGTCCCATTACAAAAAAGATGCATCAAGAGAGAAGAAGAAGAGCTGAATGCTGCAGTAGACCTTGTGCTTTGAAGACTACTGAAAAATGCAGCAGTGTGATGGTCCTCCCTTCAACAGGGTTATACAGCTGCCATTCATTTTCCTCAGTACGTTTCCCAGAGTCTTTGGCATTCAAAGACATTGAAGTGTAGCACCAGCAGACCCTGATGAAGAAGGTGCATACAGTGGATTTTTCTGCTCCTTGCAAGGAATGAGTGTGGTTCTCCAGTTATCCAAAGAAATGAAAAGTTCCTTCCTCATGTACCAACAGCCCTTGGGTTTTTCTTAGAACTCCAGGATGCTTTGGGTTGAAGGGACCTTAAAGCTCATCCAGCTCCAACCCCTGCCACAGGCAGGGACACCTTCCACTAGAGCAGGTTGTTAAAAGTCCCATCCAGCCTGACCTGTCCAACCTTCTGCTCAGTGCAAGCCTCGGGAGTAGAAACTTCAAGGTACAGTCAAATAGTAACAGTATTCTTTATTCTATGAGTGCTACACCCTGGACACATGGCACCTCCTGACACCAATCCAGCCCCATTTGCCATGCCCAAGCCTACCTGAATTAGCACCCAGAATGCTTGTTGAGAATAGGTTTAAGGTATAATAATAGTTAATGCTAAAGGGAGCTACATGCCCAATAGTTTTGTGCATCAACAACCACCACCTGGAAGGAAACAACCACTGCCAGACTTTGTAATCCTCAGCTTATGCAATTTTGCTGCCTATTGGACTCCAGGAACTGTAATCGTAGAATCATAGACTCAGAGAATGGTTTGGGTTGGAAGGGACCTTAAAGCTCCTCCAGCTCCAACCCCTGCCACCGGCAGGGACACCTTCCACTGGAGCAGCTTGCTCCAAGCCCCTGTGTCCAACCTGGCCTTGAGCACTGCCAGGGATGGGGCAGCCACAGCTTCTCTGGGCACCCTGTGCCAGCGCCTCAGCACCCTCACAGGGAAGAGCTTCTGCCTAAGAGCTCAGCTCAGTCTCCTCTGTTTCAGTTTGAACCCATCACCCCTTGTCCTGTCACTACAGTCCCTGATGAAGAGTCCGTCTCTAGCAGCCTTGTAGCCCCCTTTAGATACTGGAAGGCTTCTGTGGTAACACAGCTATAATAATACATAAACTCCATGCTGGCACCACACTGCAAAAGCAAATCTGCAAGAACCTCCCTGCTCAGACCCAGCATCTATGAAGCCCCTATGGAAGCACACACAAGAGGTGGCCAATTTCTTCCAGCATCCCAATTTGGGCTCAGTTAGAGCCAGTGATCTCAGGGGCTCTCCCTCACTGTGGTGGCCAGGCCAAGCTGCCTCCCATGGCACTGGGGTGTCCCTGTCACCATGCACACTGCACACACCGTCTTGGAATTGGTCAGGTTTGGTTTTTTTTGCTAAGTTTTTATTTTAATTCAAGGACTTTGCTTCATACAAAATGTAATTGTAGAAACAACTGCAGAATTCAAAGTTTGGCTGATAAATGTTACTCAGGCAGCAAACTAGGCAATCACAGAACCTTATTTTTTCTTCAGTTTGTTTTTTCCCCCTTTTTTTTTTTGGGTAAAGTTCCACTTGTGTTGCATGGTTGGAACTTTCATCGTTTTTAACACTGTTTTTTTAAATATAAAGTTTTGCAACAAACCCCCAATTTATATCAAATATAATTAAAAATTAACAACTGATGAATACATTGTATCAAAAAAGTACGAAGATAAACATTTTCCATGCACATACTTTTTTATAGATATGTATATATGTATATATTTTACATGCAAACATTACTTAGTCAAAGTACAGCCACTACGAGACTGGTTTCTGGATGCAGAAAACTGATTGGTGCAATTCAAGTTTGGCAACTCACTATGAGGATTCTTGGAAATATCATGTATGCATTGAAGAGACAGCAGAGAGGCTGTAAAAAAAGGGGGGAAAGGGTTATGAACAACTGTGGTCAGGCTTGTCTGTCACTGGCATCGACCCCTACGAGGCAGGTGGAGGACTGGACAACTTGAGGTTCTTCTTCATGTTCTACCTAAGAATTGGAGTGACCCAAGGCCATGGGTTTTGGCTGTGCGCTTCCAGATGGTGTGTTACTGTGGGACTGGGGGGTTGAGTGTCTACAATGGTAGAGGAAGGGGAAAGACAAAGTTATTCCATATGGAAAGACACCTCTTTTGCTTTCCAGTTTGGGTACAATGTTTGCATGCACTGGCAGAGAAATTGTGGTTTCCCTCTCCTTTACTTCCTGGAGTAAAATAGGAACATTTTCATTAAAATCCCAAATAAAGTGTTTGTGCCTTCATATAAGGAAAATGTATAAAACATTTGGTCACAATCATGCTGAAGCCTGGAACAGGAAAATCCAGCAGATAAAGCTACAGAATGGATGAAGGTCTTTCGGGCTGTTGGTGGTTTGGATGTGTTTCTGAACGTGTCATCTTGTTGCATAGCCCTCCGTTTGCAAATCACAGCTGTTACCCACGGCAGCCCTCTGGCTACTGCACTTCCTTTATTCAAAGTGCACACAAATACAGAGACAGAGATATAGACAGGAGTTATCCTTTAGCAGAATCCAGGGATGAGATTAGCCAGAGATTATTATTTAGTAACGGAACAAAACAAAACAGAAAACCACAGAAGGAAACGAAAACAGGTTGAATTTACTCAACAGAAAAGCTACAGATGTGAAGAACCACCCTACAGCAGACTGCTCCCTGCCTGAGGCTGAAACACTTGCTGAGAGCATGAGAGCATTGTGGTAGCATCCCATACCCTCCAACCACCCCAGATACAAAAGGAATCCCCAGGGTCCAGCAGGGTCAACACCCATCCTAAGTTTCACAGTTCTGGGGCTTGATAGATCCTCTGAAAAAAATCATCTGTCCAACCCTCTCCTCTTCCCTATCATTGCTTTTAGAGGTGTGCTCATCTGGCACCTCCCACCCATTCTCTTTCAACCTTTTGTCAGCATACTACAGGTCCTTGTGCCCCAGATTAGCCCTACAATGGTTCATCAGATCCATGGACACAAGGTCCTGCCCAGGCTTTTCCTTCAGTGCTCCCTCCCCAGCAGCACGTCGTATTTGCCCTTTTCCCAAGGCTCAAAGTGCAGAAATCCACACGTGCACGAAAGAAATAAATCATCCAACACAAGAGTCATTGCGAGAACACAAAAATCTCATCCCTGAGAATCAGAGTTAGAGGTTTTGCTTTATATTATTATTATTTTAACCTTCTCTTAACAGGCAATAAACCCAAGACTCTCTCCAACTGCCCTCAACACAAGTTATGCATCATGGAACATGGCCAGAGCTCTCGCAGCCCGACTGCGACTTGACACGCAGTGTGAAGGACGCTGCTTCTCCTGCAAGAGAAGAGCTTCTCTGCAGATGCTGTACTTTTCCACCTGCATCTCTCCAGCAGGACCTAAACACTGCTCAATGAGAAAAGGCCGGGTTTGTTTGCTGCAACCACTCCCTTCCTACCCATAAAAGTATAGATAGATATATAAAAAAGAAGAAGAAATAAAAAGGCCAACAAAACCTAAACCAACTTCAAAGCATGTTTGCCTTCCCCACTGTAAGCTTCCAACCTGGTACTGGGATACCCAGCACCATGCCACAGGACCCCGGGGCCCTGCCCTCCCTCCCCTCCTGCTCCTCCCCACGCTCGCCTCAAGGGCTGATGCATCGAAGCGAGAGGTTGCATCGTCGCTGTGAAAGATTTCAAAGGTTAGGCACTTAGTAGTGAACAACTGGAGCATTCGGTAGAAACGGTGGGACCTGGAATGACAATTGGACTAATTCTCTACATAAAGAGTAATTTTTTTTCCTTTTTTTTCCTTTTTTTTTTTACTGTACAATTTACAAAAATGCACACAATGAAAAGTTAAAGTTCTATCTAATAGCTTGATATAAAACCAATAACATTTTCTTCTTCTCATCCCTAACCTTTTTCCTCCTTTTTTTTTTTTTTTGTCTGGGTTTGTCTTTTTTTAGTTGGTTTTTGTTTTTGTTTTTTTTGCTAAATCAAGCTTACATTGTAAACAAGACAAAACAGTGAGGGCGTGTTGCGGTCAACAGGAGAGAGGGACGGAAAGAGAAGTCTCAGCAGCAAGGAAACAGTCCTTACAAAGTAGCTCTCTTGTGGCTTTATCGTGTGTCAGTGTGAAGGACCCAACGTGGTGAGTGAAGTGAAAGAGATCCACATGGCAGCAGTGTCGGAGCAGAGTCCCGGCTGCCTCAATGCTCGGCAGCTCTGGAGCGTGGCACTGGCTCTGCTGACAAGGATTGCTGTGGCTGAACATCAAGTCCCAGTGGACTGTCCTTTGTTCTGGTCTGTGTTTCTCCTCTTCCAGTTTCGTGGGTAGATTCCTTCCTTCTTAGCGGTGAGCGGGATAAACCGCAGATATGAGCTTTGTTCATGTGTTTTGTCCATTTGCAACTCCCAGACTCCCACCCTGACCAGGGGCAAAAATAGAATGAGAAATCAAGTAAGAAACAGCCCAACAAAAGCCAGTGCCAATCTCAGGAAGGATCTGTCTGCTCTTCTGATGTGGAAGGTGAGGACCACTCTTCTCTTGGCTTCTCCCTTGCGTTGCAGACTTGGCATCTGGTGCTTGTCTCTGAACTAGACAAGGCAGTAGAGAGGCAACAGGGGGAGAGAGATGCACTCTGCACACTGCCTTCCCCCTAAGGAGGGAGCCTTCTGCCCCCATTTGTCTAGTGAAAAAAAAAAAAACAAAAAAAAACCCCAAAAAAAGAAAAACTAAAGAAAAATTGAGGAGAGAGGCTGCAGGAGTGTCTCCAGACCAGGGGGCAGAGAAGTTCTTGCAATGGGGGCTACCCCATGGGCCCCCTCCAGCCCTGGGCACCGCGCGCATCGGAGCGCACGGCCTTCCAGATGATAAAACTCATCGATTTTAAACACGCACACTTTGACGGGTTTTGCCACTCCGCTAGCACCAGTCATCCTCATCGGCTTCGTGGTAGTAGCTACGTCCTCTGGTGCCCGTCCCGGGGCCCGTGTTGAGACCCAGCGTGTAATGGTAACCATTGGGCACCCTGCGGATTTGGTGAGACTGGGAGGTCAAGGAGGAGACGTAAGAAGTCCTTGAGGACCGTCCCGAGTTGGTGGCCACGGCCTCCTCGAAGGTGAGCGTGTCCTCCGGCACCGCATGGTAGGGGCTGTCGGCGTCGTCGCGGTGGCCCAGGTAGGGGTCGGAGCCGATGCGGGCCACCACCGGCGGCTGCTGTTCGCCCCGCAGCAGCGCGTTGTGCTCGGACAAGCCGCGGCTCAGGCGTCCCGGGGAGAAGGTGGGCAGGACAGGTTGGAAAGTGGTGAAGTGCACGGGCGAGGAGTTAGCGGTCTTGTAAGTGATGCTGGGGCGTGGGGTGAGTGGAGTCTGTGGGAGCTGCCTCCGACCCCGGCATGGGGTACTAGCACCAGATGTCGACAGCAAGGGGCTCCCATTAACTGAACCACTGCCCTACATAAAAATTGGAACAAAGCAAAGCAGAAAATAAAAAAGGGAAACACCGGACAAACACAAAGGCAGGCAGGTACAGAACAGAAGGAGAAGCAACAGAAGGGAGAGACGAGTCACAAGAGGAAAGAAAAGCAAAAGAAAAAAGAGAGAGTTTAGACAAGCACAGTCAGGGGGAGGAGGTTCTCGAGAAGTAATTCAACACGAGATGTAAAGAGCTGGAGAACTCTGAGAGAGGTAAGTAGGAACAGAAACGATCAGAGCATTGATAGGACGCAAACTGGCACACAGCTCCGACAGAAGGGGACACTGTCCAGAGGGAAGGCACCCACACCACACAAGGGCTCGACATGCTCCTTACCTGGACTAGGCTGAAGCAGCTCAAAACCTAGAGATTTATTGTGGTTTGCAAACAGAGTGTGGCAAAACAGCACTTTTGGCTTTTGGGTGGATTTTTGCAGGATTTCCCCCATGAATGCTGGTGTTGGGGGTCATTTCCGTGGTTAAAATTGGATTATGTGGCAGGAGGATTTGGGAACAGGCTATTTTTTTGCTGGCTTGGGAATGAAATGCATTTTGATTAAATAGGCACTTTCTGAACCAACAACAAAATACCTTTTGGATGGGCTTTAACTAACAAGCTCCTTAAACAAAAAACATAGAATCATCATAGAGTCACAGACTGGTTTGGGTTGGAAAGGAATTTAAAGCTCACCCAGTTCTAACCCCCTGCCATGGGCAGGGAAAGTAAAATGTGTTTATCTTCTCCTCTTTAATATTACACATTTGATTTTCGAGGGGTAGAAGATTCTGGCAGCTACCTGTGTTACTAACAGGGAAATGTGGGAGTGAACTAAGCTACACTAAGTCAAAAAATGTTGTGATTGGGGAAGAACAGGCCCTTGTTTTCGCATTTCTGTTCCCCTTCTCCCAGGGCAGTACATGGAAAGTCCTGTGAGCACGTCTGAAAACCATCTCAGCCTTTCATGACCTAACATTTTGAGAGCAGACCTTTACTTTGTAAAGAGCAGCTTTTCCTCCCTATAGCAATATCAGGTTGTTGGTTATTGGGCTGTCAATCAGTGCTTGTTCTGCTCTGCCTGGCTTTGCCAGCACAGATTTCAGGGTGATCCCAGGAGTGCTGGAGGCTTGCAGCCCAGCAGCTGGATGGAGAAGCTATTTGAGCTGCTGGTGAAATGGGTCATAGAATCACAGACTTCCAGCCTGGTTTGTGTTGGAAGGGACCTTAAAGCTCCTCCAGCTCCAACCCCTGCCACAGGCAGGGACACCTTCCACTGGAGCAGCTTGCTCCAAGCCCCTGTGTCCAACCTGGCCTTGAGCACTGCCAGGGATGGGGCAGCCACAGCTTCTCTGGGCACCCTGTGCCAGCGCCTCAGCACCCTCACAGGGAAGAGCTTCTTCGTTATATCTAACTTGAACTTCCCCTGTTTGTCGTGCCATGTCTATCTGAAGAAGAGGTGATACCCACGATCAGAGCAGTGTGGTGTCACTCACTGTAGCCCTGCTCTCTGCAGACATCAGGGACTGACGCAGCTGCTGCTCATGCTGCTGGACCAATGACTTCTGTCTTTCTCAGCCTGGAAACCAAGTCTTTACCTTTTTACTCTTTCACCTTCTGCCTTCTCTGGCTTCCCCACATTGCACCCTTACTCTGCTACAGACAAGTATTCCCATCACAGGCACCTTCCACCTGACCAAGCTGCCTCTCACCACCAGCATCCCATGGTGATTGACATGATGGTGACCACCACCCAGTGACCTGCAACCTTACAGCACCAAGGGGAAGATGTTCAGCTTTTTCCAAAGGGCTGAGGTTGAGCACATCAAAATCGCAGTTCTTATGTGAAAAAAACCTGAACAATGCCAACAAAAAAAAAAAGCAGAAATAAGTTGGCTAAAAATCTGTATTTTTTTGTTTGCAAGGTTTCCAAGTTTCTTTTATCCAGCACCATTGTAAAAAATATGGTTAGATCTATATTCAAACTGTCCAAGAAGATCCTTCCGCTAAAACATTTTGAAATTCCAAGTAGTTTCATCTCATTTTTAAAAATGCTTTTCCCAGATTCACCCTGAAATGGGATTTCTATTGAACAATTTATCTGTATTGAAAAGGAAACCTGCCTTGAAAAGTGAAATAATTCATAGAAGATGACAACATTTCTATGTTATCAATATGTTATTATATCATTCTATGGTATTAAACTCAAGCACTGTGAGTTGACCCCAAACTGATGAAAAGTTCATGGCTTGGTTTTCTTGTCTCCTTCTTTTGTACTGAAAAAAACCTCTGAAGAGCTCCTCTTTGAACCTGCCCTGATTTTTGGCTTGGCTCTTCCTGGAATGGAGCCACCTTGTTGGCAGGGTGAAGCTCAAGCCAGCTTCCTCCAGGGACGTGGGGACATGCTGGGTCAGAGCTCCTGGGAGAAGCTGCTTCTCCCAAGGGGAGGGAGAGACTAACAAAGAAAATACTCCAGGGTTTTACATGTATCTTGTTATGGAGCCAAAATAACACAGGAAATGAACTGACAGCTTCTTGTAGACACTTTATGAAGACAAAAGGTCTTCAGCTCATTGGGACAGAAATGACCTGATGGCTTGGCTGGTATTTTTAATCTGCTTTTCTTTCCAGGACAAGCAGGGATCTATCAGCAGCTCCACTCAAAGCAGCTATCACGTGAGTGGATAAAAGGCATGGACCCCAAACCAACAGGCTTTCTCCTCCCTGCCTTACTAAACCCACACATGGGGCAACGCAGACTTCACTGGAACAGGTTTACAAAAGGCTGCTGATGCTCTAATGCTGAATGTCTATGAACTATGGAAAGGCTTCAGTTTTTTAGTGAAGATGTGATATTCAAAGTCCTGAGCATGCAAGAATGGAGAGGTGTCATACTGAAAATCAGTGGCATTTTCCTGCCTCTCAAAGCAGGGGGGAAAATGAAGAAATGGAAATAGAAACTCATCTGAAAAAAGAAACAGATGAAGGCCAACTGGGGGATGCAGCAGCCAGAAATGGAAAAGACCCACCGTGGGTGCATCAGAACCGGTCCTGGGTAAAAGCTGAACTTGAAGTTCTTAGATGCCTTTTCCAACTTAGCTGATTCTATGATTCTATCAGACCTTATCCTGGTGTCCTATCTCCTCCTGGGAGAGAATGATTGTGCAAAGCATGTCACATTCCCTGTGTCTCCAGAGCTGCATGGCAGCAGCCCCCAGGCACTCACGATAGCACAGAGCACCTGATGCTGCTAAAGACCTTGCAAGGAGAGAGAAAGGCATGGTACAGGGTAAGGAGACAAAAAGCTGCTTCGTTTTGCAGCTAATGGGACACTATAAAGCCTTGTCACTTAAACCATAGGATGGTTTGGGTTAGAAAGGAGCTTAAGCTCATTCAGTTCCAACCCCTGCCATGGGCAGGGACACCTTCCACTAGAGAAGCTTGCTCCAAGCCCCTGTGTCCAACCTGGCCTTGAACACTGCAGGGATAGGGCAGCCACAGCTTCTCTGGGCAAACCCTTCCCCTGGGCTCAAACTGATGAACACAGGATTTCCTCCTGCTCCCCAGGTGCTGATGTTGCTTCAGGGCTGATGGCATCACCCACCTCCTCCCCAGACACACCAGCTGCTAATGTGGGGAGACTTTGGAGAGTGGCCAAAGCCTCCCTCCCAGCACAGGCATTGTCTGTAACCCTGAGATGTTTGCGGGGAGCACCCTTCCACCCAGGTCCTGCCTATCCCTATATTCCTCCTCTCCCTTATGGGGATTCCTCCTCCCAGATGGATGTTAAATAGGTTAAAAGGGATTTTCCCCTCAATTTTCAGTAAATGAACCTGTTCCACAATACAGCTCTGAAGCCCACGCAACAGCAAGTGGAAAATGCTGCTAATATGAGCAAACTATGCTGAAGTCACAGCTTTGGCTGCCTGCAGACCCTATACTGCAGTACACTGGCTTGGCCAAGGGTTTCTTTGGCAGCCATCAAATGTTTGTGCAAGGGCAGCAGTAGGTGCTGGATTGATGCTGGCAGAGGAACATCCAGCTCAGTTGCCCACGTCCCATAGCACACTACTTGTCTCAGATACACTTTCTCCACCAGCATCAAGTACTGTGAGTTCTCGGGTCTCCCAGGCTTTGCTGAAACCATGAGCAAGGGTGTCCTTGGCAGTGAGATCTCTGCACAATGCCTTGAGTCACTCATTCTGTAGATGGCTTCTGAAGAGCCATCAAGTGACATTTCCATGCCTGTTTTGGGTGTGAAGGACCAAGCAAGACCTCAATGGCTTCATCTGCTGTTTCCTGACCTTCCTTCCTCATTCTGTCTCCTATGTTTTAAGCAAAATGTGGAAATGCGCATACATCCCTGGAAGACCTTAGAGCTCTTTTCCCACCCTGCATCTCCTCACCTGTCTGTGTGGACCTTGCTCTGGCCCTCCGTTGGGCGAGGTGGGCCTGCTCTGATCAGCAGACTTGGGCTGAGAACGGTCCCGGCTGCCGTAGCGGTCGCAGGAGTAGAAGCGCTGCTTTTCAGAGGAGGAGGAAGAGTGCTGCTTCCTCTCTTGGGACCGGCCCCGTTCGTGCTTCTTGTCCTTGGAAGAAGACTCCCCAGAATGGGCCACTGAAAGAACGTTTGTTGGGGGTCACCAACGTGGGAGGAGCTCCCAAGTGTGGGGCAAGCGGGACCCCAAATCACATTAGGTGACGGCTGTGCATCCTGGAGGGAGGAGGACAAGGGACAAACCCTGGTTTGCAAAGCACTTACCAGCTTGTCCATCGGCCAGCTGATGGGGGGACCTGTCCAAGGACTTCTGCTTCTTCTCTTTCCGCCGGTGGCAGCGGTGGTGGTGGTGGTGATGTACTTGCTCCGGTGGCATGCGCTCCAAGGAGTACTCGTAGAGGTGCATGGGGTGAGGACGCTGTGGGGTCAGCGTGGAGACGGAGCGCTTCATGGGGCTTGTGTCCGGGATGGGCTGCAAGGCAGACAGAGGGATATGGAGCAGGGTGAGAGCAGGAGCTGCACCGTGCTCAGAGGCTCGTTTCCCACCATGGGGAGGGTTAAACGGTAAGAGAAAGGGGAAGGGAGGGGAAGGAGAAAAATGGTTAATTGTGTATAACTGGGATGGGCAGAAGGATTTGTGCTACATTTGAGGAGCAAATAGGATCTCTATTTGCTGAAAGGGGCTTTACTTTTAGCAGAGTGCCAACCCATGGGGTGCAGAGCGATATGCAGCACTTCACACCAAACATAGCATCACAGGAGGCAGTGGTGGACCAGCAGGGGCATAGGGCAGCACAATAGCCAAGCATTTCACAAAGAGAATTCTCCAAGACTAGTTTCACCCAAAGCTGCTTCAGGGTCTCTGGTCATCCCAAAGCAACTCCAAAGAGGAAAGCAGGAAAGCGTTGCTGGGCATCAGAGGGAACAAGCTCAGGAATAAGTGGGCAAGATACAGGCCAAGCCACTGAGGAATTACTTCTATCTCCCTGCAATTGAGAACATCTCCCATTAAACATTTAAACCTTTCTTGTCCCACCATCACTCCCTGAGGCCCTCGGGGCTGGAACAAGTGGGATAGCATATATGTCCTCAAATTCTAACAGGATATCTCTGAAGACTACTTGGGCTTGCTATTTCTGTTTTCAAATCATTTGTGGCCAAACATCTGGACCTTAAGCATAGTAACACAGCTTCCCACTGACATTGCTGGACCCTGTCCCTGTGCCAGTGGCAGCTCCAGTCTCTGCTCCCTTCCCTTTAGGTTCAAGCCTTTATAAAGATGCTCTGCAGAAACAAGACAAGTGGGCTACAGACAGCTGTTCTCACAGTCTTTTCCTTCCCTACTACCTACTCACCAGCTGTGAAGCTCAGAAAAGGAGAACAATTCCTATGTATCCTCCTCTTTCACTCTGCTGGCCTCTGTCGTGGAGATAGGGCTTCACCCATCCTCTAAAGTATTCTCTGGGTCTATCCCTGCATCAAAGCTGTGTGGCAGAGGAAGGACCTCAGAGCACAGTGGTCCTGCCTGAGGGGGAAGGAGCTCAGAACATCCTCCAGTCCCTCAGCTCTTCCTCTTGTTTGAATTCACAACCCAATATATGCCTCCAGTGACCATTCTCGTAGAACATTTACTCTGTTAGCAGTAACCTTTCCAAAGAGCCCTGTATTATTTTTACTGTCTATGCTATTTTGTTTGCTTATCCCAAAACTCAGATCTCTGCTGTCCTGTGATATTTACACAATGCAAAGCTGGTTGTTTCACAGCTCTGTTCCTTATTTTCAGTGGAAAGAACTGTTGCAGAGGGATTATCTCGTGTGCAAAGGTACAGCCAGGCTGAAATTTTGTTTGATGCTCTGTCCCACACTACGAGTTGCCCAAATGTTGGTGCTTCCCACCAAAGATGCACTGCTAGAGACGGAAAGCTCTTCAGGCACTTCTGGGGTAGGGCAGCACTGTTGTGCTGCCCTTGTAGCCTCCCATGGCCCTTTCTGTGTGAGCAAGAAGTTACACTGAAGAGCTTCATGATTGTCCTCCTTGCTTACTGTTGAGCCTGAAGATGGAGGAAGGCAGAGGGGGCTGTAAACTGGATAGTCTGATGGGCAAAAAAGTGACAAGTGAGAATACTTCCAATCAAAAACACTTATCCATATTTCTGCAATCATTGGGTGTTGGACTAGATGACCTTGGAAGATCCCTTCCAACCCAAACTATTCCATGATCCTATATAGGATCTGCCAGGAAGAAGATGACAAACATTTCCCAGCAAAAAAAATAGCCAAATTGATAGAAATTAATGTTTTCTTTGGACCTGATTCTGTCCTTATTCCAGGGACAGAAGTCTCACTGCCACTAATGGGAAGTGGCAAAGCAATGAATACCCTTCTATAGCTCTTGACTCTTGTTACGTTAACAGGGCTCCCCCCACAAGACGCGGGAGACTACACCATGACCCTCCAGAGAGTCACTCATTGATTCTTCATTACCAACCCCATTGTTTTCACTTCCTAAATTCCTGTGCAACAAGGCAGAGAGAAACAAATACATAAGCAAACCAAACAAACGCCCTTTTACAGCGTGCAGCGTGCAACAGTGGATTGAGGGAACAGCAGCAAAGGGAGAAGAAAGAGCAGTTGAGTCGCTGTGACATTGGGCTCCAAATGAGAAAGGGGAAAAAAGTAAAGGGTTAAGGAAGGTTCATTATTTCTTAACAGGAATCAAATAGGATACAACTTAGTGGAAACTACATACTGCTAGGTAACTCCCCGGTGACCGTGCTTTGCTCCTCTGCAAACAATTCGGACAAGATGAGAGACATTATTTGAAGCAGCCCCACAGTACAGCCAGTGTCAGACATCACGGGAGATGGGCAGCAGACACGATGACAACAAGAGAGGGAGGAGGGCAACAAAGAGGTGAGATTGGGAGCATAGGAAGGTTTGGGGTTAAAAAGAGGAAGATAAAAAGACAAAGAAGTAACAGGCAAATGGAAAGGGAGACATCCAGAAACAGAGAGCATTACAAATAAGAGTTATAAGAAAGTCAAGATTTGGGGAGGGGAGCAGAAGCAGCATGTGAGAAGGGAAGGCGGAGGGCATGGAGGGGGAAGACACACAGAAAGTACATCAGTTATTCAGCTGAAGCTACAACCACCAAAACACTGTATTATTAAATGAGGTTAGATCTGCTCAGATATTAAAGGCCTGATTCATAAGATTAGACAGCTTTCACATGGGGCAGCTGGGGAACACCTACCATGCTCCCATGGGAGACGCTCACCCCTGCAAATGTCTGAGTGCAATGGAGAGGAGCTCCCCAAGGGGAGGCTGGTGCTGCTGGCATTGCTGCTGCCAACTGCCTTGCCTTGGAAGGGAAGATTCAATTTACGGTCTAGAATAAAGGACAACTTTGTTCTGGGAAGGGGGAAGGGAGGGAATACAGGTTTGCTTTGGGGTCTGTTTCTTTTATTAAACATGTTGAGTGGTGCTCCTGATAAGGCAGAGTCCCAGCTCTCATGCAAAGAGTGCAGTTTCTGAAGTCAAAGCTGACAGCTGATGAAGTGCAGTTTATGCCAGTCTGAGCACGTCAGCAGAAAGATGACATCCATTGGAACCATTGCTGGGAACGCAGTACACAGGCTTTTAGTTTTATCTTTCACATTCTGCTTCCCATAGCAGCAAAAACAGCCCACAAGCATGGGCTTCTCACCCCTGGCTGTATGAATCAGGCCCTTTGAATGAGAGACACACAGCTATGAGTGGTGAGATGTTCTGACACACAGGAGGCAGGATGTTGGCTGACAAGTGTCTGGGTCAACAAGCTAGCAATGAACATGTGAAATGCTCAGAAATGATCTGTGGAAACCATGACTTCCTATGCACTAAGTAGCCTTCACATGGTGCTGTAAAAGTCAACTCCAGTGATGAGATTTCTCTACAAGAAGTTAAACACGGGAAATCCTCAACGTTTTCCTGACCAAAGTCACAATACATACTGTAAGAAAATGAAAACCAGGGAGGATTCTTGGTGTCTCAGTTCAGCCTCCCAGGCACGGGCTCCCTGGTGTTGTTTGTACCTACTGCATGAACATGCACATCTCCAGGTTGCTTTATGACTATGCCTTGATTGTCTGGATAGATAGCACATGACAGTCAATGGAAAACACAGCTTCCAGGAATACAGGCTGGCAAACAGTATTGTCCCCAGTCAATCAGAATAGACACTCTTGGGTAGGTAGTCCTCAGTAAGCTACACAGGCAGAGGGATTTCTCTGGGTCACTTTTTGCTACAACCAGGGATGGGTAAAGCTGGGGACAGTGCTGTGTCTACACATGAATCCCTGCCATCCAAGCACGAAGGCTGGTTACCTGTCTCCAGGTTCAGCACATGTCTTTCAAAACAAGTATTGACAAGCAACTTCCAAGGGCACAGAAAGCAGAGAGAAGGCACTGAGCTCCTGCCCCACTCCTGGTCTCCCACCGCCGGTGGATCTCCCTTGCTCACCTGAGTTTCAGCGGCCAGGCGCGGCATGGAAGCTGCCCGTCCCTGGCTCTCCAGGCCTGGTTGGTGCTCTCCATTAGCAAGTGTGGGGCTGATTTCCCTCATTTCTACCACCTGATCAGAATAAGGAATGGTTTCAATCAACAAGAACACGAACATCAGCTTTGAAGGCATCATTTGAGCAGGCTGCTTCTAAGCTTGATTTAATTGTGAAGAGATGCTGATGTGGGAAAGAAAGTAAATTAAGAGCTATGGATCACCCATGTTACTCTGTTTACAGTACCCAGGTTATCCTTATTTACAGTGCCCAGGTTATCCTTATGTACAGTGCCCAGGTTTACACTATCTACAGTGGTGTCTTCAATGAGGACAACAGTGGGCCAAGCTCTTCCACCAGCCATGGCAATGAGTCCCAGCAACCCCTCATCTCAGATTGTACAGTGAGGACAATGGAATTGTGACAATGGGACAGATAGGAAGAGATAACCTTAACAAATCTATTACAGCAGACAATTCCATGCAAAGCGTGTCCATATGTACAGCTATCAGACTGTACAAGCTACTGATACCAGATTTGGGATTTCTCCAGTTCAAGCGAACTTGGGGTTTTAAGAGACACAGTAACACTTGTCTCAAGGGACAGACCTACTCTCTACTGTGTTTCACCCAGTTTTTCAAAACATTTTCTAAAATCTCTAAATATCTTTTCTAATATCTCCCACATCTCATCCTGTCTTCACACCTTCACCCTGTTTGCTCACCCGTTCAATGGGGATTTCTTCTGAGTGGCCTCGCTCAAAAGCTGGTGTCCTGGTTTCATAAAACACATCCTGGGTGCGCTGGGTCCCCCAGGAACTGGACTCTTTGATCCCACCTTCTGGGGCTGGCCTGTCAAAGGAAGAGAGGAAAAAAGATTAACTCTTCTGCATGGAGATTTTTCTCCCTTAATTGTGACGAGGGTAAAGCCCTCAGATACCCTTTGGGGTTTCTCTTGTGAAACCAGTTACAGGATAGGCACAGCTGATGGTGAAGCTATAAGGTCCCCTGGGTTTTGACATGGCTGCTTCCTATTCAACCTGAAGATCCCACAAGCAACAGGGAAATCAAACCAGACACCACATTTTTCTTCAGTTAACTAAGGAAAACAGCTTCTGCAGCTTAAGTTCTGAGGAAGAAGAATGAAGAATGTTGGAGGTCAGGCAAATTATGCATGCAAGGCCAGTTAGACATTGGTCAAGCACATCTGCAGCCATGCTAAGGCACATTCACTGAAGGTACAGTGGTACAGGGGGCTCTGGGTTTCAGTCTAGACACTGATGATGGTTTCCCCATCAGGGTTAATTAGGACATTTAAACTTCAGATGTCTACCACTAAAAATCCAAAGTGCCTGTGACCCAAGAAAAGTCACCTGAAAAAGAGAATGGATTAGGGATCACTGCTACTATAACTGTTTGGTAAGATCTCTGTGGAGGTATTAGTTTGCACAAAGATGAACCAGTTTGAAGAAGCTCTTGCTGTCACCCAGTGCCATAAGCTTCAGGGATGACTTTGTTCCCAAGGATCTTTTGATTCCCAATACCTTGCTACAGTGGTAGGTCAGGGTTTGCTTGGTTGTTTTACAATGCCCAAATCCCTGTAAACTCACACTTACAACGTGGAAAGCTCTCCAACTGAGATTCAGAGGAGAGCACTAAGAAAACCCAACACTAGCACCACATGGACAACTGCACCAGGCATTTTGATGGCCACCAGTGGCAAATTGTCCCAGCCATGGCATGGAGGGGCTCCTGGTCTTGGTATCCCCACCTCCAGAGCGACTTAACCAGCAGTGGTTGGGGTGGGTGGATACACCCAGTGTGCCCCTTCTCAGCTTTGGTGGGGAGGTCTCAAGATACTCACAAGGCACCCCCATTGTTGAGTGATGCTGAGCTCTTCTGGCGAAGGAAAGCCTTTGCATTGCTGAATGCTGCAGGTTGGGTTTGCTCCAAAGTGGCCTTCAGGGGGTGGAAGAGTGACACTGGTCCAGGCTGCGAAGCACAAGGAGAGGTCAGAAACAGAGCTCTGTATGGGAAGGATGGGCTGTGGTGCTCTTCCTAGTTAGTAAAAGGTCCGCTTTGTCACCCTGAGAGATCAGCCCAGCAGCAAGTCCACCCCAGCCTTCCCATAGTGTAAGAGGCTCTGAAGGACACTTGCTGCCCACAGAACTGCACAAGGGATTCCTGCAGTCCCCGCTCCCTCTAACAAAGCATCCTCCTGGTCACGAGAGCACAGCAGAGATTTTGTCCACTGATATGACCAAAGGGGCCGTGCAATTCATTGTGACACTAGCTGTGCTGTAGCCTTCCATCTGTGAGACAGACAGGAAACCAGCAGGACTATGATCCTGAAATCTATAGGTGTTTGTCACATCAGAAACCACTGGGATTTCAATCCCAAGATGATTGTGTGGAAATATTGTCAAGAAATTGTAAGAGTCATCAAATCTCTCAGATCCAAAATGAATCTGAAGAATTCCCTTTTTCATAAGTAACTTCAACTTTTTATAGCCAATATAAACACAGCTATATTGGACTCTTTGATCCCATCCTCTGGGGCTGGTCTGTCAGAAGAAAAAGAGCAAAAATTATTATATATGGGATTAATGGGTTTAAACTTAAACAGGGAAAGTTCAGATTAGATAAAAGGCTAGGGTTAGGGTGAGGGTGCTGAGACTCTGGCACAGGGTGCCCAGAGAAGCTGTGGCTGCCCCATCCCTGGCAGTGTTCAAGGCCAGGTTGGACACAGGGGCTTGGAGCAAGCTGCTCCAGTGGAAGGGGTCCCTGCTGTGGCAGGGGTTGGAGCTGGAGGAGCTTTAAGGTCTCTTCCAACCCAAGCCACTCTGGGATTCTGTATATCATCAGCTTTCAGTAACTCCTTGGTGTCCCAAAGAACTCTCTTGGTGCAGGCCACTTCTGAGAATCTGACTTAGACTGCCAGATGTCACTGGACATTTTGTGGAGCAGACTTTTCCAGCCATACAAGAGAAGAGGCTGCCCAGGAAGGAGGACCCCTTTTGGCTGAGTACCTGGCACAGGCCTCCAGGCGGCTGGTGGACTTGTTCCCTGCTGTTCTTATTCTGCTTATAGAAGTCAAATATCATCAGTGCTGCATACACCTTCCCCACGGTCATCTCATCAGCTGTCAGAGGATGGCCAAATGCAGCAGAGACATCCAGGCGAGGAACAGGATCAGAAGAGAAGAATAAGTCAATAAGCATGAGAAATAACAGCAAATGAGCATAATAGAGAAAGAAGAGGCGACATAAGAATAACGAAGCAAAATACACAGAAACATGGGGGAGAGAAAAAAAGGCCAAGAAAGGTTACAACAGACTTTTTCAGATCTTTGCCTGTTGCTGCCTTCCACATCTGAGGAGGATGGCCCCTATCTCCAGCTCTCTGGGGCAAAAGAGACTGTGTATTAAAAAACAGGCAGGAAAACTCTGTGCCATTGTAGGCATTGAAGCCAGAAGAATCACTAGATTAATACCAGATCCACAGCCAGCATTTTATCAACAAAGCAGCCTTATTCTTGTTTCTTTGAATTACAGTCGACTGGGGCATGATGGGCTAATATAGATTTAGAGAGTATTTCATCTTTCCAGATGTCTGTTTCCACCCTCACAGCTATGGGCTCCCAGCCCTTCCCTGCGCAGCAGTGGAGCACTTACTGTAGAGCAGGGAGTTGAAGCAGCAGATATACAGGCATCAAGAGGGGAGGAAAAGACTTAAGCAACCACTACCCACTGATTTGAACCTCCTCAGTTGCCTCATTCTTAATGAACAATACCTTCATTGCTCTGCACTGTTTCTCATTAATCAGGAATCCAGAGCCCATGTCTGGGCTAATCAAGATAATGGCAAAACTCAGCACATGTGCCCAGGACATCATCAGGTAACACAAATGCCTTTAACCTCAAAATACCTCACTTCTGATTCAGTAAGTTCTCAGCAAACTTCCATTTTCTTCTCCTGGTTTGCTGGAGCTCAGATGGTAGAAATTGTCCTGCAAGGCACATGCTGGAGGCAGACAGAGCTATGAAAAAGCTCTGGAAGAGGCCACACATTAAAAAAACCCTAAACCAAATAGTGCCAAGAAGGGAAAAACGCCCTGAGTACTGTAAAATCTACTGTAGCACAATGAAATGCATGCCTAGATGGGGCCTCAGCTTCCCTGCTCCTTTTGTGACCATGGCATGGAGGTGCAGGCTATGAACCCTGTGGAGAGGATACCAAGAAGCTGAAATGCCTTTAGTTTCTTTCCTGCATCCTCTAGCTGATTGTGCATCTCGATGGGGCCAGGGACAGAGCAGGCAAGGAGGGAGAAACCTACCCTGCATGGGATGGGTTGGGTGCTTGCTGAAGGACCACTTACGTTTGTGAGGAGGCACCAGCAAATCCAGAGTCTTCTGGGACAGGTTGGGCCAAACCAGCGAGATCTCCTTCCTCAGCTCCGCATCACACTGGTGCTGCTTAACACCACCTGCAGAACAGGAGAGGAGGGAAACAGGGACACAAAGAGGAGTGAGAACCCTTGTCCTGCCAGCACATTCCACTGCACAGCAAGCATGGGAGAGGACATTTCCTCCATTCCCATTTCTTGAGGACAGCAAGCTAGTGCCAATGCAGAGGATGCTACAGAGAGAATCAGTGACTTGCTCTGTGACAGAAGTGTGTGAAGGCAGCAGGACTATCACTGCTTCAGCCTGCTGACCCTCTGCAGTTATTTGGAGCTTAAACTTAAGCTCAGACCTACTCCACCTAAGTGCTCATATGGGGTGGTGGGTTCTGTCACCGGAAAGCAGCAGCAGCTCTCGAGGGTGACCTGGTCTGAGGTGCTGGACTATGAGCAATACCATGGTTGATTATAAACACTCTTCACAGTCTCTTCCTAAAGATTTCTTGGCCATGAGACATAAGGACCCTGTTCTGTGCCAGCAGCATCAAACAGCAGCCACATCGCAAGGTAAAACAGAAAGAGCAGAACACGGTGGCATTATTCAAATGGCCAAAGTGAGCTCTTAATACACAAGTGGAAAGTGATTAAAACACATGTAAGCCAAGAAGCCAGCTCCCAGATGACTGCACGGCACAGCAGGCAATTAAGTGCTTCATCTGAATGACAGAGATTAGTTTTCTAAGAGAAAGGTAATGGGAGGAGGTTCTGGGTTCCCTGCTATACAGTGGATTGTACTCCCACACAGAAACTCATTAGGGAGGGTTTATTAAGGGCCTGTTAATCCCACTAAAGACTCAATTAATTGTAACACATGGAAACTATTCAAACGAAGCCTATAACAACAAAGCAGGTCAAACCCTCCCACCCACAGCAGATAGAAACCTGAGACAGAATGCAGCACTATAAGCTGAGCTCTCTTTGGTTCCCGTCCAGTGTGCACCCAAAGAAAGGGGTGGGGAAGCCTTTTTGAGTTGGAAAAGGCTGTTTCAATTACCACTGCTGACAGGTAATGAGAAGCCTAAAGACTAAAGAAGACACACTCGCAGCATCCTTGTCTAGATGGAATATAACTGAAATAAGGTGCTGGCCCTTAAAATCCCAGGCAGTCTAAGTGCATCCTTAGGAATGAGTGTCTGATACTTGGTGTCACTCCCTAGGGGAGGCCCAGTGACCTCAAAATACTGTCTTCTTCAGCAGTGCCTGCCCAAAGTTGAATGGCTGACTTAAACTGCTTAGGAAAAGCACAACATCCTAACCCTGTGCTGCCTTTTGCTTGTAAGAGCATTGTTACCTCCTGTTAGCGTTCACATTATGTATAGGAGTGCTCTGGCCAGTCGTGCCTTGCTTCTGACCCCAGCCAGCCTGATTAAACAGTGTAACGACCCAGAGAAAAGGCCAATGTCTTTTATTACATTGCAATGTTTAATTGGGAAGTCAAGTAAATGCCTGATTAAACACTTATTTAAGTCTTATCACAAGGCAGAATGTGCAGGGCATTTGGAGTCACTGCTTGGCTGCCAGCGGGCAGCAACTGGTGAGGAAGGGCTGGTTTTCCCTCATGCTGGAATAGTGAGGAAAAGAGGTGTGGAAAGTCTCATTCCTCTTATACAGCAGTGAGCACACGCACAGGGCTTCTCCTCTGAGAGCCCTCAATGGGGATGGCCAAAGTTCTCCACGTCTCATCCACAGGGATGCTGTAAGCAGCCAGCCCAAAGGCAGAACAATGCTCCAGACCCCTCTGTTGCCTGTCCATGAGGCTCCCTTGTCCTCAGGTGCTGGCAAATGGCAGCCAGGCAATAGGAAGACAAGATATCCACCCAGGGCAGACCCCAAGCCAACAGGCACCTGGGGTTTGAGCCCACACGTGCTGTAGGACATCACCTCCCTCTCACCTGAGGCGAGCTTGATTTCCAGGGCAGTGCGGATCAGGGCCATCAGTGTGGACGTGAAGTGGACGGTTAAATCTTCAGGTGAGATCGGCATGTTCATCCGCACCAGGCGCTGCAGAGAGAGATGTGGTGGCTGTGAGCCTGGGCCAGGATTCCCCCCCTCCACCCCTTCCCTCCCATACTGCGAGACCATAGGAATAGCCAGGCTACAAGAGTGTTAACCTTTTGTGCACTGAGTTAAATGCATCTTCTGTATAGATGCCAGCTCTTCTCTGAGCTGTAATGGTGGCCTTAGTGTTTAAACAGCTATTTGCCAGCATTTGTACTGCAATCCTACAAACAGAGTTCTTCCAGAAGAAGCCTGTTTGATCCCATCCCATTTCACAGCCTGATACCCTGCTCCTAGCAGTTTCCAGTTACGTCTGCAGCCTTCAGATATGTGGCTGGTACCCATCTCCCCTGCCAAAGCAGCCTGCTCAGGAGGTATAACCCATGAAGCCACCTCCACCATCCTTTCCAATGCCAGTGACCTTCACCTGTATTCTGGTTCTACAACAGCAGCAACAGGAACAAAGAGGACTTGGAATCCTTGAATGAAGCAAGATGATGGATGATTTGTATCTGCCACTCAAGGATGCAGGTCCATCCAGAAAGTGAGGTGAGCTGGATGTGATAAAGGCACTTTCAATGACTGACAACAGGAGGCATGTGCGTGCCTCTACAGGAGCTGTGCAGTCTCTGGAGCAGCCCTGTGATGATGAATTTCGTACACAGCCTGAAGCACACTTGAAAACAAAGCTGGTGAGCCCTGTGGTGTGGCTCAAGTACTCCAGAGCAGTTTGGGCCTGGCTTTTAATAGGTAAAGGTGCGCAATATCCTTTTTATTGGAGACACTTGGGTTCTGTCTCTTACCTCCTTTCACTCTGGCACCCTATGAGCTCTGGAGGTCTCCTCCTTTCCTTCCAGTCAATGAGCTGCAGAGCTCCATCCAGACCTTACCCACTGGGGAGCAGCCTGGATTAGCAGAAGCAGGACTACAACCCCCCCCAGCTATGTTAGTTCAGTCTGAGCATGGCATAGTCCCCCAGAATAAGTATCTTCCAAAATCTCCAGAACTGAGAGCAATTCATTGCCCATCACCAGCCAGGACCACCTCTGACAGGGCAAATTCCTCACTCTGGTAAGCAATGGAGTACCTGGGATCGCTCTGGGAAGCTGTGGCTTCCTTACACCACTGGAAGCAGAGCAAGTAGATGCAGATGGGGAGAAACACTCTCCAAGCCTTCCGGATAACCTTAGCAACGCATTTAAAGGACTGATTTATTTTCCTCCAGTAACCTCATGTTTTCTCATTCTCTCAGCTTTCACGAGCTGCTTAGAAGCTTCCATGGCCAGAGCCACATCAGACAAGCCCCAGTGTTTCCGCTCTCCAAGGGTATGTGCAACCTGAGGAAGTCACTGGGTGTTAATCTGCCTGAGCAGAGCCTCGTAGCAGCCTGTAAACCCAACTGTTAGCTTAGCCTGGGCCCCTTGCTGGGGAGGGAATTTCATCCACATCTGAAAGCTGCTGCTTTGGGCTGTTAGTTTGATCCCTATCGCTGCACAGAAACCTTCTCTTTGTTTAACAACAGCTCAACATGCTGCTAAAGTAATTCAAGCACCTTCAGCAGCGGGCTACAGACTTACTGAGGCAGAGAGTGCACAGGCAAGGCCAGATCCCCCTTCGGCTCCATGCGCTGTTATACTATGTGGTGTCAGTGGCTGCAGATATCATTTAGAGGTGCAGCTTTGCTGGTTTAACCCTCCCTTCAGATACAACTGCAGCAGCTCAGGGGTGCCCTGTGCAACCCCTCTCACCCTCCTTACTGGCTGAGGAAGCTGGGTGGTAGGAGCACTGCTGCTGATGGGCAGGTTTGGGCTGGTGAAGCTGAGAGCAAAGATGGTCCTGGAGCAATAGGTGAGGTGAGAGGGAGGTTGCTCACTATTAGCCCCAATTCTTATGCCTGTGCTCTCCACAAAACCAAGCCAAGACTGGTGAAGTAAGACTTGGTCTATCAATGGGTTATAAGGGGCAGACTGAGGGCACAAGTCTGCTTCTGAAGTGAGCTGACGTTCAAGGAGCCAAGACCGCCTTAGTTATCTTCTTACATACCTTCAGATCTCACTGCATGCTGCAGGGACAAGAGGCTCTTGTAACAAACTGCCTCCTGAAGTCTGAGATAAGCCATTGTAATCTTACAGGTCCTTCTTAAAGCTTGCCCGGAGTTTATCTTCCATGTCTGACAAGCCTCAGATAGGGAAACCTAAGCCAAGACTCTCCTCCCTTTATAATTCAATGACAGTATCAAATGCTGGCAACGAAACAACATTTTTTTCTGTTCACTTGTGTTAAATGAAACAGGATTTTCATGCAGACCCTGCCCTCAGTACACAAAGTGTTACCAAAAACTTATATCATCAAGAGTCCCGAGGTACCACTTACAGAGTCCCACTGAATCCTACTATAGTGGGAGAGTTAAGGGATGGAGAGAGAAAGAAGATGCATGGAGGTGAAGAACAAGCAGATGAGAAGTAATTCCCCACAGGAGAGCTCTATCCTCACAAAAACTAGAGCCAATAAAACATTTTGGGCCTGAAACATCCCAGATCCTCCCAACTGACTTTTCAGACTGAATTCCCAAAGCACATGGATGCGGAACACAGACCACATCAAAGCTATATGCAACAACCCAGTATGCAAACTGGTCAAACAGGTCAACCCAGACACCTTTAGGTCATTGAAATTGCCAGTCATAGAATCATAGAATGGTTTGTATTTGAAGGGACTTTAAACCTCATCCAGTTCTAATCCCTGCCACGGGCAGGGACACCTTCCACTGGAGCAGGTTCCTCCAAGCCCCATCCAACCTGGCCTTGAGCACTGCCAGGGAAGGGTCTTACCAGTTCCTCATGCTTTGGAATAAGAAGCAAAAATCTGATTAAAAACCAAAATCTGATTTGGACAATTTTCCATCTTTTTAGACCCCAGAAGGAAAACATATGAGCCTGCTGATACATACGGATGTACCATACATATGGCAGGGGACCTGATGCTTCCCTGCACTAGTAAAAGGCTTGCATCACTTGGGGTGCCCTGGGAGTTGGCAGCCACAAACAGGAGGTGTTCAGGTGAATTAATGATTGGGGAACAGGAAAAGAAAAAGGTAAAAATCCCTCTCAGGTGTCCAGACCTTGCAGGGAAGCGCTTCTAGATCAGGTTAGGCTTGGTTTTACTGTGAAACTGGAACGCCAACGTGAAGCAGCCCTGCTCATTGCAGGGTTTGGACTAGACGACCTTTGTAGGTCCATTCCAACCCAAACTGTTCTATGATCTCCCTGCACCCGATACTGCTCCTTTTCCTCCCTTCATCTCCAATTTCCTCCTGGAGCATTGGAGGGAAGGCAGCAGGCAGCAGATGGAGTCCCCGCTCCTGTTTCCCAGCTGTGCTTGGGGAACTCTCCTCCTGCCCTTGATTTTAATGAGGTGGTTTGAGGCATTCCCCTCCCTCCTGAGCCAGTCATGGTGAGGGGAGCTTGTTACTGCTGCTGCAGGAGGAGGCCCCAGAGGCAGGAGCTGCAATGCTGTCTCCAGAGTCTCCTCATTAACTCAGTGCACAAAATGAAGTAGTAACCGATTACAGATGGGTTGAGGGAGGCAATGTGATTTACTCCCGTTACTTGTGTGGTCAGGAGGGGTGCAGACACCCCTCAGCTTCTTACAGTGATATAATTGCAAATAGGGACATCCCAAATGAGAAACCAAAGCTTTATGTCAAGCAGGATTGACAGAATTTACGTCCTTTCAGCATTTGGTTTCTGCTTAGAAACATCTTAATGTCTGAATAGGCAAAGAATGTGATAGAGAAATGAGGGGAAAATTCATCCTGGTGTGAAATGCCAGGATAAAAGGTTCCCTGCGGGCTCCCAGCCTGACCCAAAAAGTGAGCACTGAGCTATCTGCACTGTAGATTTTATTCACTGGCACATTTGTCTAATGTGAGCAGGAATAGGAGCATTCTGAATGTCGGGGACACCTATCTGGCACCCCAACGGATTTGAATTAGTAAGAGAACTGCAGCCTCTGGGACAAGAACTGCTCTGGGAATAACCCCCAAATGTGAATAAATCCGGGACAATGGAGCACTGCTTGTTGGAAACGAGGCTGAGTTTGGTGAATAAATTATTTGTTATGAATAATTCACCCTGACCTAGTTGTAACTGTTCTGCTCTCTTTTAACTCTTCTGCCGGCTTCGGGGAGGCTGGCCATGGCCTTCCTCTCTCCCACAGCCAACAAAGGAGCCAGGTTTGTGCCCCAAGGTATGGGCTCTCTCTCTAGCACACAACTGGACCATGGAGTGCTCATCCTACCTTCAGTAGGTGCAACCTTGCTCCTTGTCCAGCAAAAGCGTTGTATGATGCTAACTCTGTGCAGGAGTAGCAAGGTAGCAAATGGGCCTTTCAAACTCTTGTTTACCTTTCAGGGATGTAATCCAGATCCCAAAATCCATGTGGCAAGGTGAGGTACAGTCATGGATGGGGAGCTGCAAGATCACTCCCATCACATATCCAGGGCCATGTCAGGAGGTGTTTAAAGGAGAGCCAGAGCCCTCCTAATCCCTTCAACAAATCACTTTTGAAACAGGGTGTGCAAAGCTTTTCTTGACAGCTCCAAATCCACCACAAAATGAAGTCAAGATCCTCCCCCAGTTGCCATCATCACCCTGCAGACTCCTTGCCGGCTTTGCCCACATCTACTTGGACAGAGGTGGAGATACCCTGTCTGGCAATGCTGTCTTCTGTCCCCAGAGAGGGAGGTAAAAAGATGACTTTTAAGAGCAGTGGGGAAAGGCTTGGGTTATTGCATTTCCTAGCACCACTCTTCCTAAGAATCATGCCTAGGCTCCCAGAAAACCATCCTTGAACCTCACTCATGCTGATAATCTGCAAGGTATCTTGATGGCACAGTAATCTCAGAGAGATTTAGCAACATCATGGGCATTTCCTTGTCCCATTTTTCTTTAAAGATGCACACAAAGTGTGCAAAGGATGGACTGAGTCCAGGTAATGGCAAAGGCTGGCTGCCACTTTGCCTTTACAGCTACTGCTGAATAGCAGATAAAGCCCAGGACATTTCACTATGGACAAGCTGAGTCTAAGAGACCTCAATGTCTCAATACATGACTGTAAATGCAACAAACCTGCTCCCATGTAATCACAGAACCATAGAATGGTTTGTGTTGGAAGGGACCATAAAGCTCCTCCAGTTCCAATCCCCTGCCACAAGCAGGAACACCTTCCACTACAGCAGCTTCTCCAAGCCCTGTCCAACCTGGCCAACATCACTACTTTCATCTAAAAACGAAGAAGTGATCAAACCTGAAGACAACTGAATGAAGTCAAAGTGTTTTTCTTCCTCCTTTCAACACAGAGGATAGAAGAGATTTTCAAGTTCAGTTCCTTCCCCCTTTACCCCCTCCACCCTGTGCAGGATAGAGCTCTCCTGGTGCCCAAGCAGCTTGGCCATAGAACCCAACGCATGCACCTCCGGGCAAGCAGCAAGCCACACGCACAAAACTGCAGAGGCTGGTCACACTGACCAAGGAGAACAGTTGAGAGAGAGGAACCAGAAAACAACAGAAAGGAAGGACAGCAGCCAAGGAGGCCACGAGAGGGGAAAATCCAAACGAAATCACAGTGGGCACATACTGAGAAGGCAACATAGACAAAGACACAGGGCAAAACCTTTTCAGAGAGGACTGGGAATAATAAATATGGAAAGGAAAGGGGTGGATATGTGGGGCAAAAGAGCTTTTGCCAGACAGAACAGTAAAAAAGCCATTTGGCTCAGAGGGAGAGAGCAAAAATAACGCAGAGACAAAGTCCTGGCTGCTGTTGGCACTGACTGAGCTACGGTGCAGGATGAGGGGGTCTTTGTCACAGCCATGTCAATACATGACTGTATTGACAGCCTCAAGCTGGCTCTGTGTGGGCTGCACTCCCTCCCCAGGTCTCCCATCATTATGGTTCATACACAGACACCTTTCAGAGGGTTCATAAGTAGATGGGCAAAAATTAAAGATGTGTCAGAAAAGAAAAAAAAGCAGGAGTCTGTGTCTAGGTACCTAAATTCTGTGGATTTGTCCTGCAAAGACAGACAAATAAAACAAGGTACCAACTAACTCAGAGGGAAAAGACACATTCTCAGCTCCCCTGCCCAAAGCTAATCTGCAGCAAGAGTTGAACACAGCCACATAAAGGCACAGAAATACCATGCTATGAAAACCAGCAAAAGGCTTGTAAAAAACATCTATTTTAACACAAGATCTTTTTATCCCCCTTTATTTTCTTTGTTTCTAACTATACAAGATAGAGGAGGAAGAGCTTTAAGCTTCTGGTACTCATGTGTGACCATGGAGCAGATCTGTTTGCTGCAAACACCTGCTAAAGGTCACAGCTGCATTTGAAGTCAATAGGAACCCATGGGTGCTAAAAGAAGACATTGATTACTTGAAAAATCATTGGGTTTCTGTGTATAATTGGTACCTCTGTACAGATGTTTAGCTGTCCACTCTTCTGTCTGAAATAGCTGAGACCTGGGAGCTGGGTTTTTGATGTACCTGGGTTTCTCAAGCGTAGCTACAGCATGGTGGGTATGAACTGCTTGTAATAGAGAAGCACTTTTAAAGCACTTACCAATGTGGCCAGAAACAAATCAGAAGGAATACAGAAAAGACATCTAACTGGCTCACTCTAAGGTTATCTTTAATTTTCCTTTTTAAATCCTAACACACTGAGGAAGGGTCTTGTAGGAAGCTGTATCTGAACCTCTTCTTGCTACTAACTGCCCTCTATGTACCTAGACACATAAAGGCAGGCCCAGGTCTGGGTTTAGCTGGAGTTTCTCACAAAATCTTGCTTTCTTATGGCCTCAGTGAGAACCCAAGCACTACTGGAGGGGCTTTTGTTATCTGCATCCATCGCACCCAGAATGATGGGATGCAGTAATTGGGCTTGATGGTGGCTGAAATGCCATCAACAGCAACAAACTCCTGTTGAGTTTGATGGATGTTCAGTTATACCAATGCTAAATGCTTGTGGCAAAACTTTCCTTCTAAAACTATGGAGCTCCATGTGAAGAGCGTCCAAAGAAATAGACCCTACAAAGGCAGATTTCCAAGCACCATGATCAGCATGGCTTTAACTGGCAGGGTCTGGGTCCACTCCGTGATCTTGGCCCTGTGTTTCCACTACGTTCATGCAGACAGTGTCTGGAAAGCAGCAGCTTGCAGCCTTCTGGTTAGAATGCATTTCTTGTGATTCAATTAAAAAGTTTTCCACAATAAACAATAAGTTTGAGTGATTTCTTCATCTTCCTGGCTTCAGTGGGTTCTGTTCAAATAATTTCTTTCACAAAGGGTAATTCAGAAACCCTTCTGGTGTTTCCTCTGTTTAATGGCTTGCTAACTCCTACAGCACTGCCTACTCTGATTACTCCAATCTAATTAAAAGGGGGGAAAAACAACATACTACTGAAGGGCTAGTGAGAACTGAGAGTCAAAGCTTTAGGAAGATAAATGGGGATCATATTGTGGGGTAAATTGGTCATTAGCACCCTCCCTCCCCAAATTAGTATAAATGGAAGCAGAATGAGAGAGAAGAGAGAGAAACACTGACAGAGATAGCGGAGACATACTTATAAAGACAAAGTGATGTGCCATAATTTTAAAGAACAAAAAAAAAAAAGGTTACTAAAGAACAAAAAAAAATAAGAAAAGCAGATCATCCAAAATCCAGCCTGCTCAGAAAGCAGAGGAAGCACCAGCAAAGTCCAGGAGAACAACACTAATGCCACAGAAACCCAGCACCCACTTCAGCCACGGCACAAAAAGCTGGTGGTTTGGCAAGAGTTTCTTGGGGGTTGGTCTACCTTATAGGCAACACGAGCTGGGCATTTCTTTCCAAGGCCTAGAGGTGGGGACATGTGTCTCAGCATCTCATACATGTCTGTGTAACTGATGCGCCCGCTTGGAGTCAAAAGGAAGGAGGCAAAAGCAAGGGGACACAGAAATCAAACCAGACCGGGTGGAGGGGTGGGAAAAAAGAGGGAAGGGGATGGGGAAAAAAGGCAACACAACCAAGCAAATGAAAAGGAGGAGAGAGAAGGGAAAGCAGACAAGAAAACAGAGATCTGGTTAATCAGATTTCTCAGGAAAACAAAACCAAAGAGGTGGGTAAATAGGAAGGTTTCTCTGCTTCCGTTGCTGTGTTTCAATGCCCAACGTCTCCTTCTCGCTGCAGGGATGCCCCATGGCCAGAGCTGCACCTCGGCAATTGGGTCCCTGTGGGGAATGATTGATGTCTCTGCTTGGGGTGGAGAGGGTGTAGGGAGGGCTCGGTTTAGCTGGCTCTTTGCAGAGGTGGAGGATGCTTCCCATTCTGTATTCACCATGCCAGGGAAAGCTGGTAGGCAGAGTTATGGGACAGGGAGAGGTAGGGCTTGGAGAACCCATTCATCTTTCCTTTAGTTTGGTTTTCAGGTTAGCTTGTAAGCTATGAGAGAAGCAAAAAGCCAATCCTGGTGTGTCTGCTCAGGGGACAGACTGGGGCTGCTCTGACTCCAAGGCAAGGGTGCAGCTCTGCACAACCTCCAGCCTGAATCTGACAAAACCAGAGCCCAGCACTTGTTTTTCAGGAAGGGGGAGGAAAGGGGACCTGTTTCTCCTTTATGTGTGATGGGGCCCCTCTTCCATCAACCCAACATCACATGGTTGTTTCTACCACCATGACCAGCTGGCTGTCCTGCATTAGAGACAGCTGGGAACTGCAGGGATCTGGGAAAAGGCCCTTAGACCAGCCCATTACTCATGGCGTCTACCTTCAGTTGATGTTGGTGGCAAATAATATCCTACCCTGAAAAGCAAGGGACACAGAAACCACAAGGAATTCTCCTGCTCTGCTTCTTCTTTTTTTCTGGCTAATGAAACTGGGAGCATGACTATGACAATCCCATTTGGGTTTCCCAGGGAGCTGCCAGCTTATTACATTGTGCAAATCTGTGCTGCCTGTCATCTGAGGAGACTTAAGTATATTGTAACATGTTATTAATGTTTAACGTCTGTAAAAGCAGGACAGTATTATCGCCATACTAGGAAATAAACCAAGACCTAAGCACCTATCTGAAACCCCTTATCTCAAGCAGAACAGCTACAGAAGCAGGCACCAGCACACTGCCCTGACACAGGTCTCCATCCCTATGTTAAAGCATTGATGCAGGAGGGGGTGGAAGAGAGAACTTACCAAGCCAAAAACATCTATTCCTGTCCTTGGTAACTAATGTAGTTAAAATACCACCCAGGTTTTATAGCCCAGAGCTGATTTAAAGGCTTCTGAGAGACACAAATTGCAATAAGAGTCAATGGTTTCCCCCTGCCGCCTCTCTTCTGCCTCTGCTCGCTGGCAGGAGGTGGAGGGTCTCATACCTTTTCTGCAGTGCTTAATAACTCTAAATCCCCAAATCAAGTGTGGAAAACACTTGGGCTGGAGTGAAAGAGAAAAGCAAGCTCCATGCTGGCTCCTTCCATTTGTTGCTCCCTTTCTTCTGCTCTCCATGTACCGACTGCAAGATAATCCCTGTCTTTAACTGGGACCCCACTGAAGTCCAGTACCATGTTTTCTTGTAAGATCTGTCCTTAACTCCCACCTCATCTCCCAGGGACACTGTACTTTTCCTGTGCTATAAACAAGGAGGTTTCTCTGCATCTCCAAGACGTAATTTTCTGTCCAAGGCAACGTCTGGCTGTTGCACTGTAAAAAGCTCATCCCTTCATCTCTTCCCAGCCTAGGTAACCATCCCACCCTGCTGCCCTGTTAGACAGTGCCCCGATCAAACGTCTTTCCAGCTCAGGAAAGGGAGGGGCTCAAATGCTGATCATCCAACTGGAATGACAACACTTTAAAGCCCAAACACAATGGACAGCTCCCTGTAAAGCTTGGGAGGACATTTCTCTCCAGTGTGTATATATAGAAAGTGCTCTGGTGCTGTGCTGCTTTTCCCCAACACTTCCCACCTAGACCTGGCAGGATGGAAGCTAGAGGGTTCACTGTCTCATAAAGCTGCCTGTCTCCAGCCAGCTGGGGTGTGGGAGTAGATGGGGAAGAGATGCATCAAGGAACAAGGAGGCAATCAGTCAATCATTCCTTCTTTCAGGCAAGGGGTTAGTTATGTTACGGTTTCTTTTCTGTACTGGTTGCATTTGCACTGGGAGGGGAAGTCGTGGGGTGTAAAAAGAAACAAAAAGAGAACTGAAAATGCTGGAGGGAGTCTCTGAAGTTCCAAACCTTGTAGGCCACCCTATGAGGGCACTTCTTTCCTAAGCCCAGGGGTGGAGCAATAACACGTAACAAATTGTACATATCCTTATAATGAATCCGGCAACTGGAAAGAAAACATCAGATGTTATGACAGCAAAAAATCAGTGTTTCCCCAGGCAAACAGGAGAAGTTGGAAGAGCAAAACACACTGAAAAGCAAGGTTAGTCTGAGAGCAACTGGGCTTGCAATGAAGGAGGCATTTTAACACACACAGAGAAAGGAAGACCTTCCAACTGCTGAACAAAGTCTATATCCTGGCATTTTCTTTGTTGAAAACTTCAAGTCATGTCCAAGTCTTTCCAACCACTGCATCTGGTTACCTTTATCACTAATGTGCCCAACAAAACCAGAGCCTGCAGCACACAAACAGCCTGTTTAATGGGTTACTACTGGGATTCCAATTAGCTGGCTCAAAAGAGCTTGGGAACCATCACCTTCCACTGTTACCACCCACATAACTCCAGTGTTGTGCTCTGCTTTATGAGTAATAAGCTGAGTCCAGAAACTACCATCATGAGACCTGGCTTGGCCATTGGCACTGGGAAAACCTTTGTACCAGCAGGTGAAATCAGATACCTCGAGGTAGCTTTATTCTCAGTCTCATTAATTCCCAACAATATTTTAAGCTAATTTAACAGCAGGATTAGATTTCTTAATCTATTGTGAGCAACCAACTCATGTACAAAAAGAACTGCGCTGAACTTCAAGATGACCTCTCCTGAAAAATGAGATTATTTGGCCTCACTACGTTTATTTTGGTACATTATAGAAAGAAGGCTGGAATATTTTGGACTTCCTCCTTCAATATTACTGCGTTATTTGGAAGTGAAAAATTAAGGTCTATTCAAAATCTTCACAATCCACTCGAAACTATTAATTCGGAAAGAGATCAAATGGGACTGTGCAAGTGTTGGCTGCAGGCCTAATTGTGGTTATAAAAAGTACATTGATTTAAATGAGTCAAGAAGTTTACTGAAATTAGAGAATGGTTTTGTAAATTCAGTGTGTAGAAAATATGTATGGGCAGCTCCTCTAAGGGAGAGTCCATGGAGGGCCTTCAAACCAGCAGAGGTATTGTATCAGAAGGTTATGGCAGCAAATATTGTCAAATTATGACAAACAGGGATTCTTTCCCAGGTCAAATCCATTTGAGTTCTGTTTATTTTCATCAGCATCTCTTTATCTCAGATAGCTAAAGAAAAATGTCTATCCTGGGAGCTGAAATCATAGAATGGTTTGTGTTGGAAGGGACCTTAAAGCTCATCCAGTTCCAACCCCCTGCCATGGGCAGGGATGGATTCCACTAGAGCAGCTTGGTCCAAGCCCTATCCAACTTGGCCTTGAAATGCTAAAAGGAGATGGGCTGACATGGAAAACAAAAATTGGATCAACATTTTCTTTCAATGAATTTGATCGACCAGTGAACAAATGGCTGGATAAAAAAATGCTTCTTTTAAAACCCTGTTTCTTCAAGATGGGATGTGCTCCTGGGAGCTGTACCTTGAAAGATGAGTTATTAAGCTCAGTCCATGGAGAACTGTTGTGAAACACCATGGCCACAGCTTCACAGAAGTTCAGCCCAAATGATCAAAAAAGATCTCTGTGGCCTCAAACTGTGAATAGATTTCAGATTACCTTTAAATTGAGGATGTATTAGTCCATCTCATGCAAACACAAGTGATTTCAGTGGAACTGTTCACATGGAAAATCCACATGTGCATGTTTTAGGATCAAGCCTCGAGCGTCATGCATTGGCTGTCCTTTGATTCTCACTTCTGCCCCGGGTCCCTCTGCCAACATCAATAGCTTCACAACAAGCAAAATGGGAACAAGCTTAGAGAAAAACAGGATTAGGATCTTACTATATGACATACTCTGCATTAAATACTCTAGAAGTGAAAAGGTTTGGACTCTGTGTGACTCACGAAACACAGCGTCTGTGCTCAGAGTTAATAAGGCGAGCAAATCTTTCTGTAAGCTTAATGTTTCTGACTCTTATGGGTGGAAAGTTCCTGAGCACATAAAACATTAAAAAGCCACACTGATACTAAATTTTCCCCTTGCAGGTGTGCTACTCCTCCCACAGATGCTCACCAGAGCCAAGACTATTTATAAGGAGAGAACAGGCACTCCCAAGTTTTCAGGCTCATTGAGATTTTCTAATGGTAAAGATAGGACTGGATTTGCAAATAGGGGAAAAAAACACACTATTTACTGCCTGCCAAATACCCACAAAAGACTTGTCTGTGTTACAGAGCATGAGGTAACAAAAATCTGCCCAGAGATTACAAGCCGCCAGTATGTTTGCAGTATAAATGCAGGGTCATGGTATGGTTGGCTTTGAGCTAGTTAAAAATCACACACAGTGCAGAGAAATGCAGTTGGTTTAGAATGGGTTTACACTTAAATTTAGCCTAAATCAATTTAACTGAGACTTTAAAGTGGTTTAATTGCATCCTAGCAGGGAGTTTGTGATGCTGATTATACAAACACTTGCTGCATCTGTCTCTACTGAAGGGAGATGAAAAAGAGTAGAAAGATTGGAGGAGCTGGAGCAGCTTCATTGCAAATACAGAGTAGATTCATAGCGGAGTAAGTTTTGAGGAAGCAAATGGATACAGAATTAGTGGGGCTAAGTCTCCCAACAGGCAAATTCCCAAGATGGAGAATTGCAAGGAAACTACTGTGACTGACCATCCAGAAATACATCCAACAACCAGGACTGTTTTGCAGTAGCTTTCTCTGGGCAACAGAGAAAAGTAAAGTAAGTCTTGCTCTCGAAGTGGCCACTAACCAGAACCATTCTTTTAGTTTAATAAATCCCTTAAAATGCTTCAGCAGTGGCTCCTGGGTCTCCCATACGCTGGGATATTTCATCCCAGGCAAGCTGCATTCTCTGGCAATGTCTTTGAATAAGGAAAACAAAGAAGTAAAACCATAAACCCAAACAGCTCACCAACTGCTGTGAGAAAACCATTTCTTCCTTTAGCACACTCATCTATCAGGAACATTTTATCAGAGACTCACTGAGAACTGAAATGCTTCCAAAGCCAGGCTTCCTGCCTTTTCTTCTTTTTTCACATCTTATGTTCCAACTGCAAGTCCAAAAGCTGAAAATGTTATTTAGAAGAACAAAATTCCCTTGTACAATTTGCTGGCATTACAAGGAGGATTCCAAGATCCAAACACTGGGTTTGATAAGAAATATCTGTTTGAAAATCACAGGTTTTGAGCAAAACACCCTCATGTGGAGAAACTCCCTGCTGCCTCACAGGTGAGTGAACACAAATGATGAAGGCTGAGCTTGCAGCACTTGACTTGGATGCAAAGGAAGAGGGTACATCAACTCCTTTTAAGAGATGGGTAGCACCTTGAAAGCTTGAATTGTTTGAAGTTTTTTGTGTTCCTTAGGTCTCTTCACAGGATTTGTGAGAACCACTATTAAGGTGGCTCTCAACTAGGGGAGAAATGCTGCACAAATGAGGTATAACAAGGCTTGGTCTCTCTAATTACCTAAAGAGCTGCCAAGGGCAAGAGTTTCAGCACATTTTTATCTCCAAACTGGGATGCAGAAACCAAAGGCAATCAAAGCTCCTTTTGGAAATGCGAAACAGCTTTTCTACTTGGCCAGTTAGCCAAAATTATTTGAATCTACTCTATTAATTTTTGGCTCAGGGGTGGGGGTGGAGGGTGCATTTTGCTTTCATTTGTTGGTTCATGTCTATATAAAGGAAATGTCCTTGTAATGACACCAGATTTGTTCATCTCCAGTCTGCAATGAACTGAAGTTGGAGCATTTACCACCAACGTTACTCCAAGCTTTGGAGCCATCTTCCTTCTGGAGCTGTACTCACATTAAAACAGGCTGTTTGTGTGTATAGGTATGGTATTTACACACAACGGAGATGCCTTTCTCCATATATAACAGTGTACATACCAGGCAGCTGGGTCATATTCAGCCCAGACACGAACAAACTCATCCAAATGATGGGGCCCAAGGATGGAGGAATCTCTTGTCAGGTATTCAAAGTTGTCCATGATCACAGCCACAAACAGGTTTAACATCTGCAGAGAGGAAGCAATAATACAGTTAGAGAGACAAGAAAAGGGGAAAGTAAAGAAAGAAGGAGAAAGAAAGAAGAAAGGGAAAAAAGGAAAAAGAAGGGGGGAAAGGGAAGGAGGAGAAAAAAAAAAGAAGGGGGAAGAAAAGGGAGTGGGAAAAGAGAAGAAAAGCTGGAAGAGGAGCTGGAATGATTCCCTTAGCATCATTAGAATGATTTCCTTAGTGTGGTTTCTACAAGAAGCAGCTGCACGCTGGAGAATAAACTCTATAGACTTAGCACTGGGTACCTGGGCCACCTGTGGCCTCCTCTTCTGTGGCCATCACCAGCTCTGCAGCAAGCAGCAGGTCTGCCATGGTTTTTTGGCCTCAACCCCATCACTGGAAATGCCCTACAGCATGACCCATCCCAAAGTCCACTGACTCAGCACCTCTCCCCTGCCCCATCTTCGCTCTGCTCCAGCACAGACTAACTCATGGGCTGCAGTGACTGCAGCACCAACTGGTTGAACTGGGTGGACTCTTCCAGCGCTCTCATATCAGGACATATCAAAGCAAGAACAGCTAGGAGAAAAACTCTTCTTCAGCCTGGATATCCAATTTCAGACCCAGAACAACTGAAATTTTCAAAGATCCCCCAGAAAGACAAGGGGCAGGACACACAAAAGGCTCCTGTCCCTAATGGCCACTAATACAGAGCCTGGCAAATGCTTCTGGCATCTAAAGATTCTCCTCTTATTAAAGCCAATGGAAGAGTCACAAGGATTTCAACAGGAAAAGATCAAGCTACAGCCAGCAGAATGGAAGAGAAGGAAGGCAAGGGGGAAGGGATGCTCCTGTGCTGGATAAAGACCTGAATGGCACCTTTCTACCTTTGTTGTGTCTATTGTAGGGAGCCTGAGCTGCTGCTATGAGCGCTGCTCCCCTTCACCACACGGAGCAAGAAGAGCTGGGGTGAAGCCGTCTGAGAGTGTTCACCCAAGGATGAGCAGAATTAAACTGAATGCAAATATCCCTGGCTGGTCTGTCAATCGTTAGAAGGAAACCAGGCAGAGGAGTCTGGGGTTTGTGCAGTTTTAAACAATTCCTGTGGGACCTGGAGGGAGGAGGAGTCTTGGTGCTTGCTGGGACACACAATCCACCAAGTACAGGGAAGCACAGTTCATAATGAATCACCCCCAAATGCTAATCAGGGATTCCCCAGATCTTTAGTCCATCTATTTTCCAGAACACACCCCAAAAGAAAGTGGGGAGCAGAACCCAGTCCCCAGTCTATGCATGGCTACACTAGGGTCCCAAGGTGTCTTATACCATCTTCTTCAGCCCAAGTTGTAGAGCACAGAGCCAAGCACTGCCCAGCCCTGCTAGTGCCTCAGCTGCAAACAAGGCTTCTGCCCTGCAGCACTAAACATCCCTGCTGGGTCTGGGGACAAATCCAGTACTTTGTGCCACCCTGGTTCCAGGATGCTCGCAGGGGCTCTGGGCAGCACAGCCTAGACAAGTCCTAGGATTCTGTTGCAGTGCACTATACAGTACTGGACAGTGATGTCCAAACCAGCTCTCCATCATTAAATCAAAGGCTGGTTAGGGTTGGAACAGACCTTAAAGATCACCTAGTACCAATCCCTTGCTATAAGCAGGGTAATAGTAATAAGCTACTCAACAGCTGCAAGCACTACAACTACATGGACACATGGGCTGCTTGTACCCTACACACAACAGTACCCACATAGCATCAAGAGACAGCAAAACATCCTTTTCCATTGCTCCCAGCTCCAGCCATGGGTCAGTACAGTTTTCCCTTGTTTGCACAGAGCTATTTCTAAAATTCCCATATATTTTCAATTTTCAGTTTATATTTTTCATTTGTGTAAATGTCAGGAGGAAAATTTTGTTGAGCTGGACATTCACAAAGAGCCAGAAACAACATTTAAAACCGAATTCATTACCCAACCCTTCCCACTCTATGGCGTAACCATAAAAAATGTGATCTCCTGGCCAGGCTGAGGCTCTGTAATGCTTTAATCACTTGTGGGGAGCCACATGTTTTACTGCAATGAAGTGCTGAATGCTTTTGAAGAACTGAGTTACAGCCCTGTCCCATGCAGCCCAGCTGCTTGGCTTTCCCCTGCCTATTTTTGGAGCCTGCCCTCACTGCCTTTGCTCTTCATGCAAAGCTGTGTTGCACAGATGTGCTCCAGCCTCTAATTCTGCTACTACATGTGGAATAGGATGGATGATACAAGCCAGGGAGGGCGAGCCAGGAGGAGCTGTTTGTTTGTCTTTTAAAGAATGAGCTTTAGGAACAATAATGCCCGTGAAAATAACAATAAGGATGTCTGATGTCGGGGTAGGGATTTGCACAAGGAAAACAACTGGCTTTGAAATAGACTGCCAAAGGTATCAGCAAATGGAGCATTAACTTTGTATAAGGGACTCATGTTTTTTGATATATGCAGAAGAAATAAAGCATGGGATGTCAAAGGGGCAACAGCAGTAGGACAAAGGATCTCAGTAGGGAGCATTGAAGCTGCTCTATCTACACCCAGCATCAAGCTGCCACGTGTGCCTCTTTTTCCTGTCTTGGAAAGGTCTCTGATAACAGCAGGGATTAGCTGCTGGATCTCACCAGATCTCACCATTTTAAAGCACCAGCTCCAAGCACCAGAACTCACATTTTAAAGCAAAGCCACAGAACTGAATGTAGGCTTCATACCTTCTTTTTGATACATTCCAGAACTGACTTTCATCTCTTTCCCCTTAAAGTTTAATTGGGTCCCTGTCCCTGCTCTTCCATCCTTCTGTCCCAGTGGTGCAGAAAGTGAAACAAGGCCCTGGAGCAGAGAGCTTTTTATGCCTGTGACTGGAAAGACATTGGAACCTACTGGAGCTGAGACCCAGCCTGGTATTGATGACCACAAGCACAAATCAAGTACAGCAGCTCTGTCTGATTTCATGTCTAAAGCTTTTCTGGCACCACTGCAGAAGAAAATGATCATTGTATGTATGCGACAAACAGAACCCACTGCATCCAGTAAGTGTGATGCTCCCAGCTGCCTCCTGCAATCACTGATGATCCAAGGTTATCTTGGTCATTCTCACTGTACTCTGCCCAGTTTGCTTCCTCAAAGGAAATCAAGACAACCAGATTAATGCTTAATGACAGATATTAGACTCCCCTGTGAGAAGGAAGATAAACCCCTTTAATAACTAAATGATCTCTTTGGGGATTAAGGGGATTTTATCACCGGGATGATAAATGGGTTTTAGTGAAGCTCTCTTGTAATGTTGTATAAATCATAATTTGGGAGAAGTAGGAAGCAAGGGAATGAGGAGGGAAGGGCTGGAAGGGGGATGTCCACACCAGTACCCCCACTATGGGAGAGATTGGATCCAACTTACCAGGAAGGAGCAGAGGAAGATGAACGACACGAAGTAGAAATAGGCAAAGTCACTGCCACATTCGTTTTTGGTGAGGCCGGAGAGCGGGTCACAGGCTCTGTTGCTCAGGCACGACAGCATGATCTCATGCCAGGCTTCCCCTGTGGCACTCCTGCAGTTGGGAATGGCAGAGGGTGAGCTTATCCAGCCCCATCGTGGTTACACACCTGAAGCACATCCACCTTGTGGTATTACTGTGCTTAACTAAGTACATTAATGAAGTGGAAGGTTGTGTCCAGGTGGAAATACTGCATCTACATCAGGAATTTGAACTACCAGCCTGCTGATATGGAAATGAAAGGAGAAAAACATTTCCCCATATTACCAGGGGGTAGAAGAAACTCACCAGGCCAAGGCAGGCTGAGCTTTACTGGTTTTATGGAGAATAAAACCAGACTGATTTAAACATGTCCCATGCAGTGAAAGTAAACAGAGCTTAGATTTTTCCCTTTTGAAGCAGCTAACTTTTCTGTCCTTGTGCTGGCTGTAAACACAATGGAGATGATGGGAAATGAAACCCCCTTCTCCCCTTGAATTTCTTATTTCTCCCATATCAGGCAGATACAGAAATACCAGGATGATTTGGTTGGTCATAGTGACTTGGGTCTTATATTAAGCCTCTGCCTGGCTTGACATGGGTTGTCAAGGTGTTGAGTGTCCCTTTATGGAGATATTGGTGTACTGAAACAGATCTGCCCTATTCAGAGATGTTCCAGACCAACCTTTAATGCTAAGGAGGATGAAGGAGGAAAGGATACTTTACTCCACGTACCTGTCTTAGAGGATGCTTAAGTCTCAGCAGCTAAACTGATGCATGCAAAACCAAAGACTTATTTCTGTTCACATGCAAGTCATATGGTATTTTATCCTCTACTTACCTGAACAGAAGCATCAGGGCTTGGAGGAAGGTGCGGAAATTATTGTGCCTATTAATGGAGGTTTCATCATCTAGAGCAATGTTCCCAAATACCTGCCACAGAAAACAGAAGTGATTCAGGCCAAAACACATCCTCTTGTGGACATTGCCAATGAAGGTGGATCTAATGGAGCAGGACAAAAAGGCAGGGAAATAACTTGTCCTTTTTAAAGGATCTGAAAGTTAAAATTGTTTCTGTGCTGAAGGGGGGGGTAAAAATGTGTTGTAGAGATTAAATAGGGACAAAACCAAGGTTAATGTGCTTCATCTTCACACAGACCCTTTCCAACACCAGCTCCATCCCAGGTCAGGAGAACTTCCTTATTTGTTATTAGGATGGTGCAGAGCCTGAGCTGCTCCCTGCTCTCAGCCTCTTGATGTGCCTGTTCTCAGAAAGGGGCATGTTCTGCTCAAGGGAGACATGGCTGCCCACCAATGCCTTGCAGATGCTGTGCTGTGGCTCCTGTAGCTGGTTTTCCTGCTTGCCCTTTCCCTTTGTACACCCAGGGCCACGTTCAACACAAAACTTGGCAATGAGCATAGAAAACGTGGCTTCTTTTTCCCCATTTCTGAGGTACCTGACACCAGACAAGAGGAGCTTTTCCCTCTTCCTGTCAGTTGTTGATCTTCCTGTGGAGGCAATAACCCATTTGCATCCTGAACCAGCAGGACAAAACCAGGCTGATTATGGTCAGTATGAAAGCTCAACTTTTTACCTGCATGCCAATGATGGCATAGATGAAGAAGAGCATTGCAATGAGGAGACACACATAAGGCAAGGCCTGTGGAAAAGGAGAAGGCAACATTAATGACAACAGAAGAAAACATCAGCTGATAGCATTAAATTCCCTTTGATTTCTGGCATTCTTCCTTCAGATGAAGGAACTGGGAAGAAAACTATGAGGGTGCTGAGGTGCTGGCACAGGGTGCCCAGAGAAGCTGTGGCTGCCCCATCCCTGGCAGTGTTCAAGGCCAGGTTGGACACAGGGGCTTGGAGCAAGCTGCTCCAGTGGAAGGGGTCCCTGCCTGTGGCAGGGGTTGGAGCTGGAGGAGCTTTAAGGTCCCTTCCAGCACAAACCAGGCTGGGGTTCTGTGATTCTATGAATTCTGGCAGCCTTCAAAAGACAAACCCCAGGAGACACGTATTCATCGATCACAAAACAGTCTGGGCTTTCCAATGGCTCTCCATACATCCCTGCAAGCAGATCAGCAGTAACCAGGGAAAGCACAGTAAGAAGTTCCGCAGCAAGCACTGGAGCTACTGGCAACCACTGACACTTTCTATGTATGATTGTATGAACATTAATTTTTAATGACCTTGCTGTAAATTTAGTAGACAAGTTCCTGCTCTGAAACAGGCACAGATTGCAACCCCAGGAGAAGGAACAGACTGAGTTTCAGCAAGAAACCAGTGTAGGCTACAATGTAATGATGACAGTAACCAAGCTGAGAGTAACAGCTCCTTCCCACTCAAGCTAAATGAATGGGTAATTAATGCAGGGAAGTGTTTTCATTTCAGATTAAGTGATGTCCTTTCTGCACTGCATATGCCCCATAGCCAGAGATAAAACACAAGCTGTAGAAATGGGCTGCAAATGAGCCGAGAGCTGTTCAATACCCAACTTCGGGGCATGTGGGCTCTTATAGATCTGGAAAACAGCTAACACAAATCTAGGCAGAGGTTGAGAGCTAAGCTACTGTAAGGCAGTTATATGAGGGTCTCTTTGTTCAGAAGAGCCATATCCAGCTGCAGACACCCCTGTGCCACAAGTTAATGCCAGCCACAAGACTCTGAGGAGGGGTAGGGGTAAAGGAAACCTGGAAAAGCAACTGGCTCAACTTTAGAGCACAACCTCGGTTTTTAATCCTCCAAGTCATACAAACACAGCTCTGTGCTATGCAGCTTCACAGTTTATAGCATCAAAATGCACTGCCTTAGGGTTTGCCTCTATGAGGCACTGAAATCCAGTGAAAGCAATTTAACCTTGCACTTGCTGCAGCAAACAGCAGGCATGAAGGCACTTATCAATCATTTCCTTATGCAAATACTCAAGTCTCAAGACTTTGCCATGGGGATTTCGTAGAGTTTCAAGGGCAGCCAAAGCTTGCACACTTGCAAGTCTGCATCAGGAGCCATCCACCTTTCAGACTCAGCTTCCAAACTGCTCATCCCCTGATATATTCAGAGGATGTTCAGTTTGTACTAATTTGTACTGATTTCAATTTGTAGCTGATTTGTACTGATGTCAGTACAAATCAGTTAGCAATATTCCTCTAATTGCTTTGTAGAAGTGCAGATAGGCAGTTCCCTTGGCAAAGAGAAGCTCTTTGATACTCAGTGAAGGATGCTACAGACATGCCAAGCATCACCATCTCCCCCTGTCTCTTCCCTGCCTCCCACCTGCATAACACCCACCTTAAATGACTGCACAAATGTCCAGAGCAAGATGCGGATAGTGTAACCCTGCCGGAGGAGCTTGATAAGTCTGGCTGCCCTGAAGAGCCGCAGGAAGCTGAGGTTGATGAAGTTGTCCTGCGGAAAGTAAAGGGTTTGTGTCCTTCAGAAATTAACGCGATTGGAAACCACAGCCCGCAAAAAAGAAATTAAAATTACCAGCTTCACGATCTAAGCAGCAAATCGGCCACCAGAAAACCTTCCAAAAGAAACATTCGTCAGTGCAGATCACTCCACATGCAGCAAGTATGAGAAAATCCCTCTCCACAAGAGCCCTCCCCTCTGCTACTGGGTCAATGATGGAAAAGGAAAAGGCCTTTTCACGCTGTCCATGGAGGGCTTATTTTCTTTGAGCAAGGCAGATTTTCTCCCCATAAAGACTCAGGGAGAGGCAGTGGTGCCATATTATCATTTCATAAAGAATGAGGTTGTTTTGAAGTCTTGGTCAGTTCTCTTTCTACAATGAATTGAACTTAAGCCAAGACAGTTGCAAAGGAGTGGACGTATAACCTCTACCTTAACAAAGAAAGGCATCGTCCAGTGAAGATTAAAACATCCTTGAAGGAATGAGGATGTTTTCTAACCTGGAGGTTTTAAAGGTTTATACAACATGTGACTGGACAGGCTCATCAAGGAGAAATGGCACCAGCAAGACTGTTTGGAAGATGTATCAGTGGCAGCAAATCAATTGGGCGGATTGAGGGTTCAACAGCAGGAGGGGGCCTTAGGAACCTGCTGATTTTTTAGATTAATATTAAATGTGCCTTTGCAGGTGGATCAAAGAACTGCTGGGTACAGATTCCCATTTCCGTTGGGTTTGTATGATTCTCCCTACCCCACACCCCATTTTTATCTTTCCTTCAGGGAAAAGAGGTTTCTTGCCCCAATGAGCTAATCTAGAGAGGGTTCTTTCCAAAACAAAACATGCAAAAGCCAGATCCCTCTTGCCCTCCTATTTTAAGGAGCTTAAAAATATCCCCCCTTTCCATACTAATTCCAATTTGCTTATTTATGAATCTCTGTTCGCAGCCACTTATTTGACTGAGTAAGCTAAAGAGAAAGCATCCCACTTTAAACTATTGAGCAGTGGAGTGGAAAATATAATCATAAGGAGCTCCTGTTGGTAAAGATGAGCAAAAATAGTCTTTTCCTTGTATTACTGCTTAACCAGGAGATACCCAGTCATACTGAAATGACCCACATTTCTTGCTCATTTGGCTACAGAGCTCATGCTGAATTTGGGGGGGCTTGTTGGATCTATTCATATATTTAAATGCCAGCTCAGTTTTGGGGGCATTAGCATCGCATTCCACCAATCCCAGAGTTCAAGGAATCAGTCTCAGGCATGCACTCGGTTTCTCTCATTTTAAAAACACAAGCAGCTCAGAGTTAGGCACAGACCGTATATCAGACTCAGTCCTCAAATAAAGAGAAAAGAGAAAAGCACAGGTATGTTCAATGAAAGAGCAGACGACACTGAGCTCATTCAAGTCAGCAACAGAATTCAGCTCTGGCAGGCAAAAGACAAGCGAGGATTCCCCTGGGTTGTTCAAGGTCAGCAAAATAAGCATTAAAACTTCAACACTTGTCTCTTAGCTTCGGCTTCTGGTTCATTTTTCACATCCCTTCACAAAATGACACCTTAACAGGTAAGGGACATATAAGACCCAGGGGCAGAGCTGGACCATGGCTGGATAAATGGGTGCCATCACTAATTTGGTCCTTAGTAGCCTGTTTCCCCTGTGGCAGTGGCTGATAGACCAGATAGACCTTTGCAGGGCAAAGATTTAACCCAGAGCCCATTTAATGATGGAAGGTCTCCCCACTGGATCAGACCTTATGTGTAATGTTCATGGCACTTGGGTATCATGCCTGCAAGCCTGACAAATTACCTTCAGAGCAATGCTCAAGCCAGACCTAAGGTGCCTCCAAGGAGCATGTGCACACTCAGCATGTGCAGGATCTGTGTTTCTGTATATGAACCTGCCTTACCTCTCTTTTCCCTTGTTTTACTGCAGCTTAACAGGAAGAATATTGTTTTGTTCAGGCTTTGCTTTAATCCCATGACCACAGCTGACATGATGCTTAACATCAGCTTTGGTCTAGGCCAACTGCAGGTCATACTTAGCTCAGGCTACCCCTGTGTTACATGAGGCGTTATAGAGAATAGTGTCCATATATACAGTATGGAACAGGGGGCTCAAAACTGCACTTACATCTATAACTACCTACTTCCTGGGATTTGGAGGGACAAACAACCCATAACCTTTTCTTTCTTTCCCCAAACCCTCCCTGAGTTATGCAGTGCCATATCTTCAAGTGCAGCCAGAGCCTCAGCTCTGCTGGGCACCACTCACAACCCAGGAAAATCCAGTCACCAACATCTGCAGACTGATCGAAGGACTGTTCTCTGCGCTGTTTGTAGGGAGGCAAAGTTACACACGCTCATGATGGATGGAAGGGCTCCACGTGTGTAACCCTCAGCACACCAGGTAGAAAACCCATCCTTCGATACCTCAGCTATCCAGGCAGGTATTAGAACCGCATGCAGTTAAAGGGGAAACTCCACATTGCAATATTTCTTGTATATAACAGCAATTTGCATTAATTCTTCTCCCACTTAGCCACCACATTACACACAGATGACCATCCTCTGGGTTATCAAGGTGTTGCATTCCAGGTTTTAGTTTGCTTTGCTGTTGCACAGGTGCTAAAGGCTGTCTGGTGCTCATGAGAAGCACCATAGCTTTATGGTTTTATGATCCACCTGAGGACTGGCAAATCTCCTCCTGGCCTGTCACTATTTTCCTTAAAGAGAGAGCCCTGGTACCAAAGGCCCACAGTTACCCACCAGGCTCTGTGGTGATGGGCACAGCCACAGCTTCCCATGACCAAAGTATGACCAAAGCTCCGTTGAGAGATATCATTCCTGGAGCAAACTGCAAAGCAGGATGTAGCAGATAAAGAACTGGCCTTGATTGTTGTCCCACCGTGGGCAGACAGCCCCTTTGCCCTGTCTTAGGGTGTTTTCCATACTGAGAAGACACGAAGATGAGGATATGCAATCATTGCTCAGATCTGTTCTTCAGCAGAAGAGTGGTTTCCTCTCAAATGCTAGAGCTGTGCCCACCATCCGCAGGGATGCGGAACAAGCTCCATTCTGTACACCAGTGGCAAAGCACCAGCTCAGTAACATTTTGGATTCTGAAACCTGCAGCAGGAATGAGGGGTTTGTGCCGTGGCTGAACAAGCTCTGCAGGATGTATAAGGAGGGTCCATTACGTGGCAATGCATTTGGGAGAATTTGAGCTGCTCATCCCTGCTGTTTTCTCCAGCCCTGTTGCAGAACACAACCACCCCGTAGGCTTGAAACTTCAGTTTTCTGTCCTCAAAATGAAAGGCTCACCCAAAGTCACAAGGAGCTGTGGGAAGAGGAATCCAAGCAAGCCAAGAATGGGATCACTCAGGAAGCTTTGGCAGTTGTCTTCATCCAGCATCAACAAGAATTAACCTATTGTGCTAAGGAACTACTCTAGAGGAAATGGTTGTGTTCCCATTTAAATGTCCCTTGTCAGTACTGAAGAGGAGATCCTGAACCTTGCACAGGGTCTTGGCTTCCTCTGAAGCCTGGGGAAAGCCTTGCTGATTTTAAAAGGCTGAAGATGTTTGCCACACTGGTCTGTGTCTTGGGGACACTGCAGTTATAAGCATATCATATCGTGTCCTTTCATCCTGAGCCAGAAGTGATTTTGTGTGTGATGCCCAGATCTCTCCTCATTCCCTCCTATCTTTAAACTTTGGTGCTTCTGCTGCAGTCACTGTATGCTCCCATCATCAGCAGTGGAAGGAAGAAGGCAGCTCCAGAGGACAACTTGGTGCTCCAAAGATCCATCTTGGATCCTGAGTGATAGAGGGATCCTGGACCTGCACACATGACTAGAGAGACTGCAATCCTAACAAACCTTGGGATGAGCATTTAAATCTTTAACACAGCAACAAGGCCAAAATTTGGCCAAACTGAAATAAGCTGACTTTTTCCGGTATGTTTTCCCTGTGTGCAGCTGATGCCAGAGCACTCCTCTGTGCTGCCTGGACCAGGGGCACAGAAGATGAAGTCTCCAAAGACATCCTCTAAGCTTCCACACATCTGTAATGGTTCCAATTCTCAGATTATGCCAGGCCTTTGTCATCTATTTTCTATGCTACTTCCTAGCAGACAATTCCCTTTTGTGACCCTCCAGGAAGCACACATAGACCATATTTGCAGTCTGCCATAAAGATTCACTCTGCTTTACTTCTTAACAGCAACTGTGCAACAGGAAGACCAGATTTTAACACAGATCCGAGAGCTGTTGTCAGGTGGCCAAGCAAGTAGTTTTGATAAGCTTACGGTCTCATTTGTGTTATTAGCCACAGCCAAGACAATTATCTGTATTTTCTTAGATTGTATTTTTCTTCATTCATTCTGTTTTGCTTAATTTATGATTTTCAAAGAAAAAGGCCAGTATTGCCAAAGGCATCTTTAGAGCCAGGCACTAAATTCCCAGTGGGATCTGGTTGCCAGTGCTCTTCAGCCCTGTTCATAACAGGGCTTCTGAATTTTATTTCAGATCTTTGCTTTTGCATCCAGGGACTCTGTGTCCACTGTGGTGGCAAAATGCTTCTATATGCTGGTATCACAAAGAGTTTTCAAAGTCCCTCTTTCCTATGAGTTCTCTTTTGATTTGAGAGAAGCAAGTCTGTAATCACTTCAATCATTTTTTTTTGCCTTACCTTACAGTGTAAACCACAGGCTTAAAGTACCTGTAAGGCAGCCCTCTGAAAGGTGCTGCTTCCCTTTGCAGAAAGCTCACCCTAAAAGAAAACCAGTTTCTGAGAGCTGAATTTGGTTCCACCACTCACAAGAGGTAGGGTTTTCCAGCCAGACAATCTTCTTTACTCCAGGTCATCCAGCAGCATCCTTCCCTCCTATTCTCATTCAATTTTCCACCAAAATAAAGCAAGTGTCAGTCTCCCCTTTATCATTGCCAGGTGTAACAAAGAGCAGAGAACAGGCTATTGGTAACTGCATTTGCCTCACGTCACCAATTAGCCAAGGGGTAGAAGATGCAGGAAAGAAGCCAGTTTTGAGGCACGCTGCAGTGAGGCTTTTTTGTCACCAGTGCAATCGGAAATCTCATCAAAAACGAGTCAAATTAAAGAAAAACGAGAGAAAATAAAAGCAGAGAATTTAAAGAATTGCTTAAATTCAATGAAACCAACCGTGTCCTATATGTGATGTTGTCATGGATGGGGATTTTGCAAGGTTATTTACAAATTTATTGGGTTTTTTTGAGCAGCAGGTGCACAACATACAGACGGAGACATGGTTTTCGCATTGTATGTTGATTGGATGGCGTGATTCAGCAGGTAGATAAGGAAAATAAAGAACAAAACAGGAAACAAAAAGAGAAAATGAGTAATCAGGACAAGCAAAAAAGGAAACTCTGAAAATTTCACTGGAAAAGAAACTGTTGGGTTTTTAGGGGGGTGTTATTTTGTGATAGTTATATAAATCAAAAAATGCTTCAAACCAAAACAGGTTCTGGATCCTAAAGGGTAACACAGATAGTGCAGTAGATATTTGCATTTCACTTTGTAATGCAAATTGGGAGGCAATTCACAAACACTTGTCAGGATGGTTTTTGTATTTCCAGGCATAGAAATAGATGTCAGTTTGCTATATGCCCATTCAGACACCTCCTCCTTGGTGCCCCCTGTTATACCTCAGTTACTGAGAGGGTAAAAAACTGACATACGTGTTTTTGCCTAAGGAAATAAAAAAATATATATACATATCCCACAGCATTCACAAAGTAAATTACATATGACATGACTAGAAAATCAAAATAAAGCAGTTAATCAACATGTCTTTTCCTTTTATCTTTACTTTTCAGTGGGCTAAAGTACCGATGTAGCACAGCTGGTGGAAGCAGAGGTGAGACTGCCCAGGTCAGCAGGTTCATTTACCTTATATCTGGAAAATATAGTCATGGAGAAAAGTGGTGCTCCTGTAACTACGTGTGAGCCTGATCTCAAAGTCTTACCCAGATAGCATCCCCTCTCTGTAGGGAATCGCAGCTGTGAATGCCCCATCCCTGGCAGTTCTCAAGGCCAGGTTGGACGGGGCTTGGAGCAACCTGCCCTAGTGGAAGGTGTCCATGTCCATGGCAGGGGGTTGGAATTAGATGATTTTAAGGTCCTTTCCAACTCTAACCAGGCTGGGATTCTATGATTCATGTGTGGTTGTTGCAGGCACAGAAGCATTAAGTTCACACTGTGGGGGTCACCTGAGCGGGTGACCCCCACTTCTCAGCCTGCGTGGATGGGGAACAATGGGGCTGAATGCTTAGGGAAGGATGAATGGGGGGTGCCACCCAGCTATCCCCATGGTTGCTTGCCAGCCAAAGAGAGGTTGGAGCTGAGGAAGGCAAAGGGAGAAGAGGGCATCCTCTGCTGTGAAGAGAGCTCTGAGTTGTGGCAAGCAAAAACCTGGTCTCTGCTTTGTCTATTCTCAGCTTTGTAGAGCTCATAGAGCTGCTGCACCCCTGACCATGGACTGAGACAGGAAGCTGATGGAGTGGGGCTCAACATTAGCTACTGTGTTTTGTGCAGAGTCAATCTTCATCCTGACCCTTAGCTACTCCTCTACCCTACCTGGAAATCTAATGGGCAAAGAGAGTTTGAGCAGAGGCTATGGTATTGAAGACTTGGAGGCCACACAAGTGATCTGTGTTCTGTGACTGAGACACTCACCGGCTTGGTCCTGTCTTGGTCCCTGCTGTTTGCAAACAGTTTATTTACTGTCACTGCATCGGGTTTTCCAGCCCCTTTCTGCATTTTTTAATTGGTTCTCCATACCAGAAGTATGTAAGTGACTTAGGTGCACCTCTAGTTTAGCAAAACAGCAAGTTATACATTACAAAGTTGGATTAAAGTGTAACTCTTCCAGAATATTCGTGTATTGTGCCACTTCCCAGGTGGCAAAACAGTCCTGGATTTTCCCAGGCAACTTTGGGACCTCTTGGGTTTCCCCTGATGCACTGTGGGCCAGAATAACACGTGCTACAATCTATTGTGGAGCCAACAAAACAGAACCAGAGCAGGGTGCTGGATCGTTCTGATGGTTTTCCACCCTATATGCCCCAAGGGAAAACATGTGGAAAGGAGATGTGATAGCTATATGGAAATGCTGAAGAAGGGGAAGATTTAGAGACGTCAACGGCCTGAGACAGAGGACCAAGAGGTCAGGGGCTGGAGTGGTACCTGGGGACATAAGGATTTTATGTTTAAGACATGTTTGTGAGCAGCTTTGTATTGCACAGACTGCAGAGAAAGCTGTTAAACTACATTAGAAAGTTCTCTTAAAGGCTTGACTTAATGGATCTAGTATTCCAAAACTGAAAGCCTCTCCATTACTACCTGGGAGGATAATGGAAAGGAGAGTAGGTGGTTGGGAGCTTAACACTACTGGAGTTTACTGACTGGTTTTAGAGGTAATTCATACTACTCTTCAAAGGCATCCCCAAATTGCTGCTGCCTTTGATGCTGGAAAACAGAGACGTTACTGCCAAGCAGAGAACAGGCAACACTGATCCTGCTCTCTGCCTGCTGAGTAGCTGTACAAAGCAGGACTTTAACAAGAAGCATGTGGGCTTGGTGTTGTGAAGGAGACATCTTCCTAAAGGAGAAGATACCAACCTCTGAGAGACCACAGGCTCCCTTGCCACATGTGAGTTGGTTGTGATGCTTCTTCCCAAAGGAGGGGTGGAAGAGAACAGTCTCTGTTTGTAGCTGACTTGCAAATGTTTTCACTGAGTTTCAAATCAAGGCAAAAGTCTGGTGACCTGAGACTGGCAAGCGTGTCCCATGAAAGGGAGTGGGAAAAACCATCAGTGCAAGGATTTAAGCACTCAAAGAAGTGGTAGTTAGACCTTGTGTTTGATCTGGGTCACTTTATCCTGGCTGTAAGCTGTGCATTGAGAGCAAAAGGTAATCCAAAACCTACACAATAGGATTCACCAACCATTAAATGAGCACCATTCGTTTGGGGAGTAAAACTGGGGGGTGGTTGTGCTTTTTTTTGCACCAAAGAGGTTAGATTATAGTGCATTTTGTTAGAAACAGTAACATGGTCTTCACCACCAGCTGAATGTCCTGTAAAGAAGTCTGGGAGCATAGTTCTCAGCACACACAAAACAGATCAATAAGCAAATCCCAGGAACTGAGAAAAAAACATTATGGTAAAGTTCAAATTCATCACACAGAGGTACAGCATCCTTAGCTAAAACATGCGCTGGAAGAGGAGAGGAGCAGTTCATAGAATGGGAAGCACCAGGTTGTCAGGGCTTGAGTGAGACATTTGCTACCCACGTGGAAAAATCCTCTTGAATTTAACGTCTAGTTTGTACAGTTCATGTCATCTACAGGCCACATTAGCAGGGGCACAGCAGCCAGTGCAGGGCTGGCCAACAAACACTCTGGTGAAGCTGTTTGAATCATCGCCTCACAAAGCTTTAGTGCACAGAACAGAAATGCACCAAGCACACACTGCAGGCTGATGAGTTTTTGCCTGTTTCTATGTTCTGGTCACCCCTCTTATCACCTTCATTCAGCCTCGTGACCAAGATTGGGTAGGAGCCCCAAGGGGATAGATGTGTCTGTGTGCCCCGCAAAGCACCTCACGCTATAAACCAGCAGTCTTCAACAGAATCCTTTTGATCTTTTCCCTCTATTAAATTCAACAGGATTTTTCCATTAATAGGCAAAAATGGCTCGGGGTTAGAGTCATTTTCTGAACAAGAAAGAAAGGCTGCTTTCTAGCAGGGTCCCTAGCACTGTTGCGCTCATCAGAACTTTTTGCATGAGTCTTTGGGGCTGTGCTCATCTCCATGGAAAGAGTAGAGCTAATGGAACCAGGTTTTCAGGTCACCCAAAGACATCATCACACCGAGTCCCAGGGGCAACTCTAGGGAGTAAGACCGGTGGGGAGAAGGTGCAATGTCTTGACAGGGTACAGCTTGGTTTCTAAATGAAACAAATTGAGCAAAGCATACTTACCGCAATCTCTGTTACTAAAATATCAGTAATACTTCCCAACACGGTTACAAAATCAAAGACATTCCAGGCATCTCGGAAATAATTCTGCCAAATGAAAACACAAAGGGGATAAAGGGGATCCAGGGGTTATTTTTCTCTTTGCAACACGGGGGGGTGGGGGTGGGTAAATGCACATCATGAAATACAAGCATTTCACGAAGAGAGGAATCGGTTGAAAGTAAATGAGGAAGGCACATACCAGCACACCAAAGGCAATGATCTTCAGCACACATTCCATTGAAAACATGGACGTAAACACAATATTCAGGCATTTCAACATTTCTTCGTATGCTTCTGGAGCATCATAGAACTAAACCAGGATGGAAGAAAGGCTGTTACTGGAGGATCACTTACAGAATAAAAGCTTCCCCGCTGACCTGTCTGACTGCAAGACTCCTGCTCATTGTAGTGCCAGATCTTGTGCTCACTTTAAGCAAGACTCGGGGATACAACACAGTTACTCATACCACTCCAGAAACATACTGTTGCCTCCATGTTATCCTAATGGGGCAGCTAGAGAGAGCCCCAGGACTGGAGGACTGTTGCTGGCATACATCTCCCTGTAAGCACAACATGGACCAGGACAAGTGCAGAACTGTGTTTTGTTCCAGAAGACCCTGAGAATATGGTGACACTTTGACTGTGAAGACACTCTGGGCTAGACAAGAGGTAGAAGGGGAGATCATCCACTATATCCAGCCACCTGCATCTCTTCCTCTTAAGCACTGTGGATCACTCCCGAGAAGCCTGACACTGCTGCAAATTGTAGTTGTTTCCCTGGCATGGCTGGATTTTGAGCATCCTCAAGTGGCCCTGCTCTGCAGCAGGAAGCCCAGGTTGAGCTGGGAGTTCAGGACCAGCAGATCCAAGTTCCCATCCCACTGGCCACATACTGAAGGGGCTATGAGCCAAAACAGTGCTGAGTGGCGAAATCCCATTCTTAATATCTCATCACAACCAAACCACCTCCCTTTGGGGACTGAGGCATCTAAACATGACTACAAGGCATCTGAAAACAGCACCAGGCAAATGAGAAGGGGTAGCTGTTCCTGCTGATCACCCCCCAGCTCTTAGATCAAGAGTACAAAGCTTCTCCAGCAAACACCACATTCATTCACTCAGAATTTGAAAGATTCAGTAAGAGCCCACTAACCTTCATCATGAGGACAATGGTATTGAGTGCAATCATGACCATGATAAAATACTCAAAGGGAGGGGACACCACAAATTTCCACATCTTGTATTGAAAAGATTGCTTGTTCTGAGGCATGTAGCGGGTCAGTGGCTTGGCACTTATGGCAAAGTCTATGCAGGCCCTCTACAAAACAAAAAGGGGATGAAAAGAATACAGAAAAGGGCTGACATCCTCCATCAGTTGAGATACCAGATTGGGAGAGTGAGCAGAGCATTTAGTGGAGGATGGTATTTCTAAGCATTTCTCACACACGATGTGAGTACTGATGACTACTGTAAAATGCAGCCCAAGATGCCCAGATAGTGATAACTTTTGGCCATTTGTTAAAATATTAAACCCCCAAACACCCCTATGGTCCTCTGCAATCCCAGGAGACAGTTTTCCATCACAACCCAGCTCCTGGTAGGTCCTACTTAGAGAAAGGAGTTATGAATGCACAGGCTCACTTCAGAAAACACGTCCAATTCCTCCTGATGTGTAATTGTAGAAAGCAGAGGATCAGTAAAGTGTTATTTCTGCTTAAAAACTATTGGGAAACTCAGGTATGTTCTTACACACAGCAAAACCTCTGTAGCTAATAATGTTTCATTGAATGTGAACTGAACTCTACCAGGAAATTATCCAACAAGTATCACTGTGAACTCTCAAAGACCCCCCTTAGTTGGCTATTTCTGTTCATATCATCATAAGCATAACACAAGTTAAAAATTGATTTCTGCCCACAAGAACTTTTAATTCTGGAGTATTTTCTCAGCTTGGATTTAGGTAATAATTCATAAGTTACTGCAAAAATACTTTCTGCTCAGTTTAAGAATAACATGGGTAAAAAACCTTCTAAATGTTTTGCTTTATTTTGGACATACAGACAAACAATGCACTAAATAACAACTGATTAATAAGTCATCTCTTTTCATCAACACTCAGGTTCCAGTTTCAGAATGAATGAAAAGAGATGGGTTTTCATACAACAGGTCATTGAACCTGCAGGACCCCAGACAGATGTTGCAGATGCTAAACATCTGCGTGGGTTCAGGAGGAAACTGGGTACATCCATAAAGGAAAGATACACTAAAGAAATCCATGTCCAACTTGGGATGCTCCTGAGCCTTATATGTGCTTCCCCTGGTCTTACAGTCTTCTCAAGGCACCTGCTTTTGGCTGCTCTTAGGACATCATGTCAGCCAGGCACTAAAGAGCCTGGTGAGAGGAGCTTTCCTTAAGGAGTTGTAGCAACCATAGTTCAGTTTGATTTCTGGTGACTGGCTTCTAAAAGGCCAAAGATTTACCTCCTTTCACACCTACGTACTTGAGCTAACGTGCAAGTCTACCTTCGCTGTGAAGCAGAGGTGTGGTTCATAGGGACGTGTGACAGTGCTTGCTAATGTGAGGCACTGGGGGCTCTCCCTGGTTTTGTGCAGAAGCTGAAACAGTCTGTATTTGGTCTGTACACCACACACCCTCAGATAACAACTGCTCTAAAGCCCCTTAAGGCATGGGAGGGATGAGGAGTGGATTTGCACTAGGATCGAGGTGCTCTGAGCCCCCAGATTCAGAAGACACGGGTACCTCGTTTTTCTCAAGGCTGCACTCTGACATCACTTTATCTCCTTGCTCTTGGAAGGTGATGATGATTAACGCCACAAAGATGTTCACAAAGAAAAAAGGGAAGACAACAAAATACACAACGTAAAAGATAGACATTTCCATTCGGTAGCCAGGGCTGGGGCCCTGTTCCTCGTAGGTGGCATCCACCGAGTGCTTCAGCACACTGCAATCAAGCGCAAAGAGAGAAGGAAAGTCAATGAAATCAGTGTGAAGCACCAATGACACCCTGATAGCCACTCACTGGCCTTCACTCATGCAAAGGGTGTTCTCCATATGCTCAGGTCAAACTCATTCCCGTTGTTATAGCTGGGAAGAGGTTGTCCTTGAGGATATTTTTAGGGAAACCCTTTCTGGTTTCACCATTCTATCAGAATGATGGAGATTTGCTGTGTACAGATCCATTTATCTCCCTTGGCCAAGGGGAGAGGATACAGTTAGATCTGGCTTCTCTTTTCAGATCAACAGGGATGAAAAGTAAGGGTGGGAAAGGAAATGCAGTGATGATTTCCGAGTAGGGAACACACTGAGGGTCTAGAAAAGGAAGACTGGTGCTGTGTGCTTTATTCTTTCTTATGAAACAGTTGAACATGAAGGAAAGGGAAGTCCTGCCATGGAGAAACCCTGACCATGATTTGTACTCCATGTGTCACAGCAGAAAAGTGTGCCAAAATAAAGTCATATGCTGAACAATAAATGCAACTTTGGGACTGTCATACCCAGCATACTTTCAGCATAGGTCACAATACTTTTTCCCTCTCTTTTTCTTACATTTCCATTATCAGTTGGTACACTTGAGGAAAGCGTGCAAGTCCAGAACACTGGAGCAAGCAAGCTACTAAGTACTGAATACCACTTAAGCATCCTTGTACAAGCTCAGAGGAATGGCAAGGAAAGCGCAGGGCCCTGCTGCTGATTCACCCAGTAATCACACAAGGGGAAATAAAAGCTTAGCTGGGAAAATACTGTTCTTATTACACAGGTCACTGCTGCTTATGTGTCCCTCAGAGCTGTGGAAAGATACCATTTCCTCCATGATCACTGACCCTGGAGCCATGTGTACTCACGTTGGCCACCCCTCTCCTGTGGAGACAGTGAAGAGTGTGAGCAGAGCCCAGAGCACGTTGTCGTAGTGGAACTCGTATTTTTTCCATTCCCTGGGCTGTGCCTCCACCTCATTTTTTTCATAATCGAGGTACTGACCCCTAGGAAAAAGCAGCAATTCAAACTGAGAGAATTAAACCAAATCAGCCTCTTCATCTGACTCACGGAGCGTCATGGAAAAGCCCCAGGATCAGAGTGCAACTATGCCATGTATTAAAGACAAATAAAGAAACAGCCCCTTGGTTTGTAACAGATGTAAAGGGCATGTTCAAGGCATTTTGAGCCATGGGAACTGGACTAGGGTCTAAAAATGAATGAAGTAGTAATCAGGACATTCATTCATAAGGCAAAGCCAGCAATTAAGAGCATGCTGACCCCAAATTGTCTGACCCACAGAAAACTGTGCTGCTCGCTACGGAAAAGTCTCTGGTTCCTAATTCTGGGTTGGATCTGTCCTTATGGTCTAAGGATCCTGGCATCTGCAGAGTTCCCCTCCAGCCTACAACATACATTCTTCACTAATTTCACATTTCTCTCTGTAATTTCACATTCCTTTCTGTAACGTATTCATCTGCCATATTGCAAGCCAGAGCTGCAGCAACAGTCTCCACAGCTATTGCATACAGGGACGTAGTCCCACCAGGGATGTGTCCTTCACCTGTCAGGGAGCAGAACAGGGGTAACGAAGGCAGACCTGGGCAGTGCTGAGGATGTGGTTTGGGCACCAGTTAAAAAGGGAAGTGAGAAAGATGCATGTTGTGGTAATACAATGTGACTGTCTGTTGCATAGGACAAAACAGGACAGAGCTTTTAAGATATTCAAGTACTGTCTCCTTTTCCAGCTAATTAAGAGTGCTCTAACTTCCTACCAACTCATTTCTGATTATTTATTCATTCTGCTTTTCTAATTCATATGAGCCCAAAGAATCAAGGCAGCAGGTAGAAAGGAGTCACACCACCCCTTCAAAAACTCCTTAGCTTAAAATCACACCTAGTCCTCACTGGGGAAGCATCCTGCTCCCTTGCATCACTAAGCATCCACTAGATCAGAGCCAAGAGTGATGCAGCTTTTAAAACAACAAAAGGAAGAGCTCACCTCTAGGGTAATTGTGCTGAAGCACTGCTCTTACTTACAGGAGACTCATCAAGCTCAGCAGGTACCCAGCTGAAGCTTTGGGGCAGTCAGGGAGCTGCTGCTGCCAAAGCAAAATGAGGATACCCCCTGCAGACCCTGTCGTCAGCCATACCTGCAGTCCTTCTCCAGCTCCTTCGACTCATCAGTGCAGTAGAAGAACCTGCCTTTGAAGAGCTGCACAGCAATGACAGCAAAAATGAACATGAAGAGCATGTAAACGATGAGGATATTGAGGACATTCTTCAGGGAATTCACCACGCAGTCAAAGACAGCCTGGGGATGGAGGAGAGCAAGGTTAAGGGGCTGAAAAGAAGGAGAAGTGTATCTAATACCTTGGCATCTGGCATCTAATTGCACCCAGGGGTGATGACCCAACCTACAACCCATGGGTGTCTTTATGGACTTGGACACCAAGTGTTTGACCAAGAGTCATGCTTCAGCTGTGAGAAATAACACCACAAGCTTCCTACGTCTCCTGCTTTCTTGGTGAGTTTGACTGTGCCACTCAATTGTCTGGTGCCGCCCATAAGGTTTAAAGACAATCGCAGCTCACTGAGTTGCATCAGTCTTAAACAAAAGTGCCCCATCCCTGGCAGTGCTCAAGGCCAGGTTGGACACAGGGGCTTGGAGCAAGCTGCTCCAGTGGAAGGGGTCCCTGCCCGTGGCAGGGGTTAGAACTGGATGAGCTTTAAGGTCCCTTCCAACCAAAACTAGGTAATGGAAGTCATAGAATCATAGACAATTATGAAATATAAAATGCATTTCAGTTTAATTTACTCCCAGTTACCAACCAAGTTAAACCTCATCAAAGATGTGACTTGTTGACCATTATTTGAACTGTTGAATAATAAGGACAATATGCCAGATACAAACCAAATCCTTCGAATAACATTTCTCTTATGAACTGTCTTTCAAAACAAAGTGACTAATCCAGTCAGCGTATGTCACTTCTGAACTCCCTGCAAAGAACTTCTCAAATACCTTTATGGTGTGGTTATTGGTCACTGATTCATTGTCATTTGCAGTTTAATTTTAGTCTGAGATGTTTGTCATAATAATAGAAACGGAGCAGTTTTACTGCCTGATCATGGCTTTTGTACAATACTGCTCCTGTCTCTCTGAATGGAAGTGAGTAATTCACAAAATTGAGTTCCTGATGCAACTCAGAAATCCTGATTTAAAACACTGGAAGTATCTCTAAATCTCCCCATTAATCTTGTTGATTATTGCACACAAGACTGTGGTCAGGAAAAAAATGAATTACAGAATTGTGAAGACTTTTAGTCATAGAAATGTCAAGGTTGGAAAAGCCTTTAAGCTCATCCAGTCCAACCCTTACCCCAGCACTGCCAAGGCCACCCCTAACCCATGGCACTGAGGCCTCGTCTCCAGGCTGTGTGAACACTTGCAGGGACGGTGACTGCAGCCCTGCCCTGGGCAGCCTGTTCCAATGCCTGAGCACCCTCTGGGGCAGGAATTGTTCCTCAGCTCCATCTAACCCTGCCCTGGTGCAGCTTGAGGCTGTTTCCTCTTGTCCCATCCCTTGTTCCTTGGGAGCAGAGCCCAGCCCTCCTGGCTCCATCCTCCTGTCAGGCACTTGTAGGCAGCCATCAGGTCCTCCCTGAGCCTTCTCTTCTCCAGCCTGAACCCCCCAGGTCCCTCAGCCCTTCCCCATCACACTTGTGCTCCAGGCCCTGCACCAGCTCCATTGCCCTTCTCTGGCCCTGTTCCAGCACCTCAATGTCTCTCTTGTAGTGAGGAGCCCAGAACTGAACATGGTTCAGTTCACAAACCTTATGAATATGACTTCTGCTTCATATAAAGAGTTTTGAATGCTTCTCTAGAAGTGGTAAAATGACTCTGTAAAACGGCTTGAAAATAAGAAAGATGTTCAATGAAAAGCCTTCAGCACCCTGAGCTACTGTCAACAGGTTTATGACCTAAAAGCTGTACATTTCAAACTTCTAAACAACTAAAGACCATTGTTCAACATTACTTCTCCTTATCTATTGAGGTAAATATAGTATGCATAAAGCCACATAAAATCAAAATTATTTAAATCTGAATTTTGGGTGAGGACAAAAGTAAACCTATAGAACAGCTGATCCTGATTATTATGTGCCACTATGCAGCACCAGGATTTGTCAGACATAGTTTCACCATTGCAAATGCACCCGTTGCTTTTTTCCCCATCTCTCACAGAAAGAGCATGCAAGCAGTGATGTCACATGAAGATGCTCTCCAATAGATATTCAAGAGTTGCAGAAACTGAATTGAATCTTGTAGCTCCTTCCATTCTCTGCTTCCAGGGGCTGGCTGTGCCTCAAAGCATTTGTGAAATGGTGTTGAAGCAACCACAGGCCATTACTTTAGTTTTACTTTATAACACAGTGTCCTAGAGATGAAAGGGTACTGCTGCAAAACCCTGTGTTATATATCCTTTAACAGAAAAGATGAACAGAGTTGAAGTCTTCATACAGCAATGACACTTCTCTTTAGACAGACATCTTGCAATGTTAATGTGAAGTTCTCTAGGGAAAGCCAAACACTCCAAAATCCATTTTCTCCTGTATCATTTCTAGCATCACACTCATGAGCTGTAATTTAATTTATTTGCTTTTTTTCCTTTTTCCTTTTTTAGATGTTTGATTTTAATGTGGGTTCACAATAATTCATAATATTGCACACAGTGTTTGCAAAAGAAACAAGTGTTTGACATTTGCTAAACATCTGCATGGCTATTTTTATAAATCTGGCAAAGAGATTAATTGCAATGAAATAAAAAGAACAGAAATAACTTGGAATAAGTTTAGTCCATCAGCTTCCCCTCAGCTCAGTTGTAAACCTCCAGAGAAGGAAAGATTTGTGGTTATTCTCTAACCTTTAGTTTTGGCAGCCGTTTAATGGTCTTCAGAGGTCTTAGGACTCGCAGAACTCGTAGTGACTTGATCGTGTTGATGTCCTTGCCTTTGGTTCCTCTGCAAGGGATAAAAGGCACAAGAACAACAGAGGGAAAAGTTTGGTCCTCAGGTCATTAACTAAGCATCTATAGGTCCCCAGTGTGGCTTTGGTTGTGGAATTGATTTGGTTTGGGGCTTTTTTGCAGGTTTTGGTTGCTATCCTCAACACAAATGCAAACCATCCTAGTGAGGACTGCAGATGAACGCCCACTTGAGGCATGTTCATCACTTCACAGGAGGAAGGCTGTGGACAGGACATGGTCCCTGCAGCATCCACCCACACGTGCTCTCCAGCTTTCACTCCCTTCCCAGCTACTCACCGAACATCACCCAGGAACTGGTCACCTTCCTGCCCCAAATTCCCACCCAGTCAATGGGCAGAGCCAGGGCAGCAGCAGCCCTCAGCTGCAGCCACCAGGAGAAGAGGCTCAGTGCATCCATCCCAGCCCCAGGCAGGAGAAGTGGGGAAGTCACACTTGGCTCTCCTGCCTCCCAGGCACCTGGGTGGGGCAGAAGGATGTTCCTCTGTGTCCTTCTAGGGACGCTGTGTCTAGACAAGCAGAGACCAGAGTGGTGACTTCATGGTGAGGGACAGAGCTCTCCTGGGGACCAGAGCTGCTCCATGCTCATACTCTCATCCTCAAGTCTCTCTTAGAAGTCATGCTACCAAACCCATGCTGGAACATGTAATATGACAGCATATTACATGCCTGGAACAGTGCTAGGGAACTTCCCACTTAAACATGCAGGTGCTGTAAGTCACATTTTGGTTTTAGTTTTTTGTTAAACATGAGTGCAAGACTTGAGACCGTTCCTGTTGTTACCAGTAAGAGGTTTTTAGGGGAAGGACAGAGTTCCTTTCCTCATGCACTTCCAAGGTAAAATAAAAGAGACACGGTTATATCTCCTTCCAACCCAACAGCAAAACAATGACATTCCCCTTCATTTCTTATGGAGTGAAAAATGGGATGAAAATCTTTAACAGTTTTAATCATGACTAGAGGTTTGGGGCTGAGACTGTATTGAGGTAACACAGGTGTGAATGAATAACACGTGGAATAGATGTTGCTATACCTATTCTATGCTCTTCCAGTTTGCTAAACATTCCTCTTCTCCAACAGCAAAGCAATAGAAATGCAAGTAACCCAAGAGACCCACAGGAGATGTGCAGGTAGTGGACCACAAAGCTTTCCCCACCCTTCTAGCAGCCAGCTCTGTGCATGGTGTTAAGGGATAAGCACCAAGAGTGGAAGAAACCATCTAGTTCTATGGCTGTCTGACCTTGCTCAGCCCTGGAAGGTGCCCTTTTGCAATCTACCTACTACTAAAAGACTAATAACTCAATGCTAATATTGTGCTACTCAAAACTTGCACTGGATCTGAGTCTGCAACCTAGAAACACACATTCTTGCCTCCAACCTGGTCTCTTTCTCCAATTACCAGTCACTGCAGGTGACCTGAAATGCAATAAGCACTGAAAAAAAGGAATTTTTGGAGGGCCATGGGCTGCATCCCCATGACTTATACACAGAATACAAGCTGCCTTTGCACGATTTAATAGGAATGGAGGGTAGGGAAACAGGATGGAGGTTTACCTGTCCTCTCCCTATCTCATCTTTCAGGTCTGCTTTAGAACCATTTTAATCATGCCTGACTGCTGGCACAGCTGTACATCCAGGTGATTGAACTGATACTCATGGAGTCACAGGACTGATTTTATGCCACAAAGTAACTATTATATATTTAAAAGAAATCATTTTTCATTCTTATTACAAACACTTTAATCTGGTTGAGATGCAGCAGATACTGCAAACACAGCTTTTACTGACTTTCTCTTCAGGTTTCAGTGCAAATGAAGATCTGGCCCATGTTTGGCTTTGTCAACTGGCTTTCAACCAGCTTCTAGCAAACAATGATCCTGCATGGGCATTGCAGCCACCTCCTTGTCATCATAGCCTCCAGCTGAGCTGCCCAAACTGGAGCCCACCTACTCCTCAGGCAGCTGTGTCAGATCCTCAGTGATAACCTGGCTGCAAAACCATCTGTTCAGCCTCTTGAGAAGGACATTTGGTGGCAGGAGGGAAGGAGAAGTGGAAATAGGTAACCGGGAAGGAGATACCACCTAGCATGGCCAGCCAGCCTGTGCCCATGGCTGACGGTCACCCAGCCCATGTCCATCAACCTGGCTGCCCCTCCTGGTCCCTTCACCCTCTGGAAGACCAAGGAAATTACGTGAGTTTCTCCATGCTCCCCAGCCATTTGGAGTTCAACTACGTGGGGAAGCCAGGGGAGAGTGAAGAGGTGGAAACTAAGAGAAGTAATGGTGAGAGAAGAGTGAAGGGTTAAGGGACACGTGGTTGGGGCAGCAGGAGAAAAAAAGGAGGTGGGATACCTTGGCCCAGAGCTGTGTTCAATTGTTGATCATTTGTGGCCATGTTTCTGGTTTGCAGGTTAACACACAGAGCCCCAACTTAGCAGCACAGCACTGGCAGGTAGCAACTGAACTAATAAACTCAAGAGTCATCACCTGGGTTCAAACAGAACCACAGGATATTTTGCATGATGTCTTCCAGTGCTCCTGATTCCAGGAAACCTAAATACCTATCTTCTATACTGCCATGCATATGTGTTAAATAGCAACCGAACTAGTAAGGCCTCCTGGAAAGGAAGCTCAAGACAAGAACAGAGACACTTCTTGGCTCTGAAGGAGCAAGCTCGAGTCTCACAGAGCTGGCTCCAAGCCTGAAGCAACAACCTCTGTGGGCTTAATATATCTAGGAAGGATAAACAGACCCAATGGGGACTAATGGAGAGGTGGGACAGAGTGGGACAGAACAAATCCTCCCTCCTGGGTCTATGAGAGAAGCTATTTTTCCTTCACAACAGGATGCATGTGGATGACTGCACTGAGAGCCTGGAGGTGAACAGCAGACAGCTCCGGTTTTACTAAATTCCTTATGCCCGAATGAAGGTCATGAGGAAGGGTTGATTTATTATTTTTCCCCCTTTCGGGCACCTTAGCAAATAAAGAACACAGCCAGTTAAATGTTAATGGGATTTATGGTCTCAGTCACATATTGATCCTGAGAAATCATTCTGATTTCTTGCCACAGTGAGGTTCCTCTATAGCAGAACCTAGCAGTGAGGTTTCTTTTATAGGACTGGTACTCTAAACTGTAGTGATGCAAATCGCGTTTTAATTAAATGGATCTGCAGCTTCTCGAACCTATCAAATAAAACCCTAAGGGTTGTTTTCAGTGTTTTTAAGAACCCTTCTACCAATACAGATTTATAAACCACTCTAAAACAAAGCCAGATGTCCCACAAAATAAAAAGTCCAGATGGAACTAGTATTCAGTCAAAGGGTGTATTCAAGCACACATTTAACCAGAGTATTTCTCACAGCAGAAATACATTGCTCTGAAAGGAACAAGATCTTAGATGACTGCAGAATAATGACTGCAAAATTCAGAAGAGCCTCAGAAGAGATAAAGACAGACAGCAAACAGGAGCCCAGTGGCTTAAAACAAGAGAACACCACAAGGAAATAAATCGCATTAGGCCAGTTCTGGTTTTGCAGGGGGCAATTTGCTGCTATTTAAAACATTAAAAATATTTTAAAAGAGCTTGACATAGCCTTTTTTTTTTCCTTTAATAAATAAAAGATCTTATAAAAAATTAATAGCTCTTTAAAATGGAAGTTTCTTGTTTCTGTTGCTCCTGTCAGCACCTCTAATTTCACGTGACATGGATGTCACAGACTCATGCCATCAAATATTCAGTCAGGAGGAGTCACAACCTTGTGCAATTGCCTGAGATCTCCAGGGCAGAACGTGAATTCATAGACTCATAGAATGGTTTGGGTTGGAAGAAACCTTCAAAGCTCATCTATTCCAACCCCCCTGCCGTAAGCAGGGACATCTTTAACTAGATCAGGTTGCTCAGAACGTCATCCAGCCTGGCCTGGGATGTTTCCAGGGATGGAGCATCCACCACCTTTCTGGGCAACCTGTTTTAGTTAAAACCATCACCCCTTGTCCTGCTGCAACAGGCTCTGATAAAAAGCCTCTCCCCATCTTCCTTATAAGCCCCTTCTAAGTGCGGAGATGCCACAATAAGGTCTCCCCAGAGTCTTCTCAAGGCTGAACAATCCCAACTCTCTCAGCTTTAAATTCCTCCACCAAAGACTAAATGAGGTCACACAACTCTGCCCAAGCACAAAGCCAAGGTTTAAATGATCTGGTTTCCTAGATGGAGCAAAGAAACAAGTGCCCAGTTTCCTGGTCCACATCCTTATGCCCATTTCATTGCATCTCTGGCTTATCTGTTACAGAGGAGCCAACCCAGCTCCTGCCCTGCTTGGAATCACAGCATGAGAAGATGCAGCTCCTCCTCCTCTTCAATCCCCAAAGGAAATCTGTGCTGTACTGCACCAAAACCACCACTTCCACCTCCTTTCAGATGGTTAAACGCAACTTTTGCTACCTCCTCCTTTACAAATTGCCCCTGCCAACCTCTCAAAAAGCTCTCCACACTGTGTTTTCACGTCAGACTGTTCAATGTCAGAGGATGACAGCCTGATTCCCAGCTGAGTCACACTGCCCAGATTGCACAAAATTAGTCCTGAAGCTTCTAGCACTGTTAATGCAGTTTAGAGATGAAGTCTTCTAAGAATAAAATTGCTTCTTTCAACCTCATTATTAGGATTTTCCTGAATTGCAAGCTCCCATATTAACAATGAATCCACTAAGCCATCCCCTCAAATCTTTTCTGTGCAATATATCTGCTTATCATGGTTTCCGACTCTCTGGTCTAATTTTCTTTCTAGTCTGCTTCTATCCTCTGCTTCAGGAAAATTAGGATGAATGAGGTTTGTTAAGGGGAAATACATTTCACTGAATAATGAGTAATAAAGGCACAAAGGAGTCGATGCAATGGGTGTAACATGGTTTGTTTCCACAGTGGCAAGTGTGTGTACACACAGTTGACAGGCATAACAGTGCAGCAAGAGACAGGAATAACATATTACCCCATGAAACTCCTAGAGAGAGATTCCAGCAAGAAGAAGACAAAGAAAGAGCAGAGTCAATGACAAACAGAAAGGTAAAGCTATACAGTGTCCCCCATGCACATAGAGATATGGGCTGCCAGATATTCCCATCCCCTGTCCCACACCCACCAACTCCATCTTCATAAGAACAAGCAAGGAAGCAACAAGCTGGTTGTACAGGATATTGCCACACATCCCCCATGGTGCATCAGCCCTTTACCTGACAAGAGAGGGCAAGAATCTACCTCCCTCCTCCTTACATTCTGGGAGACAATAACCTTGGTTGTTTGGCAAATGCTGCTTGCTTTTCCAAAGAGCTGTGTGAGATTCTGTGCAGCTCAGCCACCTTTCTGTGGTGGAAAATGCAAAAAACACAGTCTCTTTTGACTGTTCATCAGCTGTTTCTATTGAACAAATACAGTTTACACCTGAGGCTGACAAATTTTGATGACAAATTTGCTAGCTTGCTTTAAGCTCCTCTAATTCTACTTCCCTAAAGACCAAAACATGTCTGTGTGTTTGTGGTATGTTTAGAAAAAGAAGGGAATTTCTGTTTGAAATACATTGTTAAATAGAAGACATTATTTTATTATCACCATCATTGGTATTACTGATGTTCTAGCATCTCACTGGGGGCCTTGTTTTAAAGTGTATTTACTGCTTTGAAGTACAGTCAAGCACAGAAGAGCTTCTAAACAGCTCCAGGCACAAAGCAGACTGATAGCTGCTTTGAGAGACTGAGATGGATTTTATGAACCTTGCAGCAACCACTGATACTATCTCATATGCCTAAACAAATAGTCTATTGCAATATTCCATATGGATGCATTTCCAGATGGAAGCTTTCAGGAAGCTCTGTTTTTCCTGCTTTTTCAGTGACATGCCTATTCAGGAAGAAGTTGATTCATATCACCTTCACTGGACACCAGTGAGGTCAAGAACACGCATGAATTAAATCCCACCCACTGAGTGGCAATCACGTATTCTTGCAAACAACCTGGTAACAGCCACATTAAATACATTTTTACAGTGACACTGGTGCTGAGTGATTGGCCTGGAGTGTTTACTAGGAAAAAAACTACTAATAAAATGGGGAAGATTACTCAGATTGCTCTCCAAAAGCTCTTTTTCAGGATTATCCAACTTCAGCAGGCTTGGCGCATCCGCCTGGTTTAACCAAACCATGCAGTTGAGCTAAGGAGGTGACTATTTTCATTTGAGCAGTCTGAGACTTGATAGTGTTCATAACTGAACTGGGGGAACAGACACAAATTATCTCGTATGAGTGACTGGATTCCTGCTCACAGGTTCGAGCAGAGACACTGCAGTGTTCTCAGAACTGGATGTCAGCACTCCCTGCCTGATGAAACATGGGCATGTAGAAGAGGTTACAGCCATAATAAAAACCACAGAAGTAATTCAGATTTCCCCAGGTCTCAGAAATAGGTTTGACTCACTTTAATCTAGGACACAATAAAGAGGCAGGCAGATTTAATGCATTGGCTTTCTGCAAATCCCTGCTCAATGCTTACTCAAAGAGCATGTAAAACAGAAGCAGCTAGGGGCAAAATATTATGAAACACAGTTGGGGATGTAACAAGTAATTTATTTAGAGGCCGATGAGGTGCTGGTAGATATTCATGGCCAATGCAAGCAATAGAAAACTTAAGCACAAAAAGACTCAGAAAGATTTAAAATTACTTATTTTAACTTGTCCCTAAGAAAATCTTGTTCAAAAAGAAGATGTTTTAAAGGCAAACCCTGCTGTCTGTTCTCGCAGCACATGGAGTTGCTCTGAAAGGCTCACAAAATGCCTCTTCTCCCAGTCTGTCTTGTAAGTTTGAATTCTTAACAGAAAAGGGTAATTCTCAGTGAATGATGGACTTGGGTAATATTGTTTTGCAAACTAATACTTGTGTCTAATACTATTGTTCTTTTCTACCTCTCTTCAATTTAGAGGAGCTCTGTAAATTTGCTATACTTCTTTTAGTAAGTTTTTGCTTGACTCAGTCTGATCACATCCATTTGTGCAAGATGTTGTGTTAATAAAACACATGTGCAGGGAAACCAAGCTACACACATATCTGGTCAATCTTAGAAAGCAGCCTCGTTTGGGATGTCAAATTTGAGGTAAGCAAGGCATTCACCAGTCCAGCAATTCCATCTCAAGATGATCTTGTTTACAAAGGAGCAGTCAGCTCCTCCGAAAATCAAATTTCCAATGAATAAGGACAAAGCCTTTGAAGAAGGGAGGGCAGAATTCCTTTGAGAAACTTGTATTGGACATGACTTGCTCCAAGATCTAAATTCTTTGGCGTAGGATTGGGCACAGAAAGCCCAGACCCCAATATCCCCGAAGTGTCACTCCTCAACCGGCTCACAAATCATACTGACAATGTCAATACCATCTCCTTCTGTCCATCAACTCCTTGGTGAAATTAGCTTAGGCTTTTTGTCCAGCATTTGCTATGAAGAACAGAAGATCTAAAATGAATAGAAGATCTCACAGCCTTCACGTGAAAAGAGCTTTGACACCTCAGAAAATGAAAAACTCAAGAAATACTCCAGGCCAACCTTCCCAAAAAGGTCCCAGTAAACTTTTTGCGCTGCAAGGGACATGGCAGTCCTTTTCATCAGCAGAGCACATAAAAGGATGTGGCTGGCTGCCTAAAAATTACTTGCAGTCAAGAATATACAAGATAATTCCACAGTTCCTTGACAAAGGTGAATGTTTTTTCTCATTAGCAAGTAAAACAATTCCTTCACCTTCTCTAATCATAATGTCAATAAACAAGTGAGTGCAATTTGCACATGGGCTGCTAAATGTTCATGTAATTACTCAAGGTTAATCTAGCAGAAGATTAAACTGGCCAAGTCTGTTTCCAGGTCATCTCCTAGAATGTCTCAGGAAAACATTTGCAATACAATTATTTCATAGGCAACAACTACACATGGAAAATTTCTTTCCATCTTCCAAATCTGAGCTCCCCAAGTTCTGAATAACCTGCATTGTTCTTCCTCTGCTCTCTTCATTTGAAAATGCTCAAAAGAAAAACTATCTTCATTTTTAAAAGGCAGTTTTTCTGTGACTGTTGCTCAAAATCCTCCATGGCACTAAATAATGCTCTATGTGCTTCTTTAATGTCCTAAGTAGAGAGCTGTGTTTCAGGGAGGGTGCAGTTAACCTGTGAAGTGAAACTCTCTGGAAATCAAAGTACCCTGAATGAGAGAGGAGGAGGAGAAACACCAAAGGTCTGTGAACCAGAAATATCGATGACTCTAGAAATAAGGTTGTAAAGAGTTCACAGACTTCTCAGCTGATTGTGTTAACCGTTCTGTTATAGTGAGGACAAGTTTTAAAACAACTGCCTGAAGACACTGGACTGCCACAAACTGTTCCCATGTGTCCTTGAAAAGAAGCTGGCCAAAGAGTCATAAAAATCTTTGGCTTAAGGTTTGAATGAACCCCTAAAGCTGGGAGAATTTTCAAGGGATTCTACAAAACAAATATAGGGAATTATTTTTTTGCTTTCCCCCAGCTCTGAGAAGATAAAGGACAGAAACTGAACATTTCACTGAGAAACGGAGCCACAAACACTGCACTTCAACTGGAGCTGTGCCCTAGTTCTGCCTCATCTGCAGCTTATTTCCTAGAAACTGGGATGCGAAGGAACATGTACTTACGAGAAGGCAAATGCCACCAAGGCCCCACTGACCACAATGAAGTCCAGGATATTCCACAGGTCACGGAAGTAAGAGCCAGGGTGGAGTAACAGCCCCAGGTCAATCATCTTCAGGAGAAACAGAGGAAAAGAGTTTTAATAAAACAAGTACCACATCAACACTACTGAGGAACAGAGGCATGTCCTAGATCAAATGACCCTTCACAAACTCTTCTACAGGGCTTTGCAGTAGCAGGACAGCATCTGGATACTTAGTCAAGCTGCTCATCTAATAGGCACTGAGTGCTCTGTCAAAACCAAAGCTGAAGGCAATAAACCATTACCAAAAACACTAGAGACAGCAGCCCTAACTGCTACACAGGACTCTCTGCATAGACATTAATCTCTGGTAGCAGCAGTCTGTGTGTGAAACATCCAGTTTGATTTCATTCTACCCCAATCCTACCGTATTAGTAGGAGTTAACAACTGGCAGAGGATATTGCACTTCTGCACAAGACTGAACCTGTCCTTGCAATGCTGCTGAAGGTCTTCTACAGTTGAGTCCTGAAGTGCATGCTAGGTTTTATGTCATTTTCTGAGAGCTCTACACTGCCCATGTAAGGTTGCTTTTCTCACATAGCTTCAATTCCTTTCACTGAACAAAGGAAATCCAGTTTTTATTCTGCATGTCTTTTGCACCTCGCTCTGATAGTAAAAACTAACTCCATCACTACCCCAAGAATAAATCCTTACTTTATTAGTATTGTGCTTTCTCAAAAGTTACCTCCCCATGGTCTTAGCAAAACTTATCACCCTACTGAGTAAAAAGATAAATCCTCAACTTTTGGAGACATGACAGACCAAGAATCAGTTGCCGTTAATATTCCTGGTCAGCATCAAAGGAAAAAGGAAGAATCAGACATGTCTCAGTAAAGTCTATCAGCTCCTGTGTCGTTAGCCATGCACAGACATTTCTGCATCAGACACATTTCTTATCCTCTTACACAACAACCTACTAAAGATATCCTTATTTGCCTTTATAAAATGGGGGATTAAAGAAGCCAGAAGAGCCACTTCAAAAAGGCATCTGTTGTGCACTGCCTAACCCAGGAACAGCATTTGGAAGTAAGGCTTTCCATCACCACCATTTCTCCAGGCACCTCAGGGATCTTTGCAGTGCTTCACCCTCTTTCTCCAGCTTCAGAGAAGCAGATATGTACATCTGAAAGGGGAGGTGAACCTTTCTGCTTGGAAACCTTCTTACCTTGATCACCATCTCAAAGGTAAAGACACCCGTAAATATATAATCCAAGTATTTCAGAGCCTAAATGGGAAAGAGAAACTCATGATTAGGGGAGATTACACATTGAAATAAGCTGCACATGAGCAAAGAGTCTGTTCTAGCAACAGTCTATTTGCTTTAATAAGTAAATATCTCATGGGAGGCTTTCAAACAGTTTAGGCACAAACTTGCATCATCTGATTTAAACAGCAACATGTTTTCCAGTCCTTGCCAGACTGCAGTGTGTATGCCCATGAGTTGCTTCAGTTCACCTGCACATATGGCAGTTTTAATAAGTCAAAACTGGATATTTGAAATAGAAATATTTCAATATCCTTTATAAAAGAGCTTATTCACCAGCATCTGCGTAGCAGCCTGGTTTTCCCTTCTGCTGTAGCTGATGATAGTGCTATTAAAGACCTTGGGAGAATAAGAGAGTGCTAAAATCCTTTCTGTAAAACTCATTCCTCAGTTATTAAGGATGAGGGACAGAGACTGCTCGCAGCTATTTCAGCTCATTATTGATATGGGAATTTGTGGATCCTCCTCTGGAAAAAGCTAGAACTAACCAGATACAGAAGCAGGAGGCCAGGCCAGGCAATTCCTGCTCTGACCTGGTCTGCCAGCCAGTGCTATGAACAATTCAGTTCCTTAATCTATTGAAGGGGTGGATGAACAGAGGCTTCTCAGCACATATCCTGGTAAACTCAATACCAGTCCATTCAAACACCCAGCCATCTCCTAAATTTCATATGGATGGGATGCACCTATTCACAGTCAGATTCGTATCATTATACAGAGTGAACGGATATTAGGTCAATATAAATATCACATGATACTGCAACTATTGACACTGAAGAGCCTCAAATCAGTCAACTGCATCTTGCAATTTCTATCATCTTCAGTTCTGTCGACTGTCAGTGGTCCATGCAGCTGTAACTAGCTCTGTGAATGTGCTTGAGAGACAGACACCCAGCTGTCTGCTTTATGAACGCTCCTGGGCAAGATGCTCTCATTTTCAAGGTGGCATACTCCTGCTTCTGCTTGTAACAGCACCCATCTATGAAGACGCTGAGTTTGGTTTGATATCCATGGACAAGGATATTTGCTACTAATTCTAAGATATTGCTGCCATGCTCCACCAAGATAAAAAGCCGTATCTGGCTTTACTTCCTCGGGCACTGCTCTGGCAGGAGAAGGGAATATTAGGGCAGTGTCAGCCCTGGCTTGTGACTAGGAAGCCTTTCCCGTTGCTGAATGATGTGTAAGATTTGCAGGTATCTTCCCTGTAAGTCACACCAGTCATAAAACCAGTGATTTCCAAGTTTTCATTTGGTTGAAGCAGTAGAAAAAGATGGGAATTGTGAACGTTTTGATAATGAAGCAAGCTAATCTGAGTGTGCAGAGCTCCAGTTCTGCACTTGCCAGTGCACCATGTTACCTTTTAGGGATTGGAATGGACATGCCTTGTGCAGAACTGCTGGGAGAAGCAGAACAACTTTGTTCTGGCCATGTTGCTTGGTACTCACATCATTCCTTGGTGACTCGGCTTGGACAGGGTCTTCTGCAGCCAGGGCAATGCTGCTGAGGGCTATAACTATGAGGATGACCATCTCGAAATAGCGCAGGTTGACAATGTAGTGGAAAAGGCGCCGAATCCTGCAAACAACAGAAGCACATAGGAGGACTATTGAAGGTCCCAGAATTCAAGGGCAGTGCTATGAAAGGCTGACAGAAGGACAACAATCATAAGGAATATCACCTAATATCAACATAATGAAATTAAAAAGTCTTCATAGAAATCACAGCATGGTTTGGGTTGGAAGAGACCTTAAAGCTCATCCAGTTCCAGTTCCTGTTACTATAATAGTAAGAAAATAGAAAATAGGATCAATGGCTTTAAACTTCAATTTGCAGCTGATCTATGGTGAGATTTCAAGTAAGACATTTAACATCGCTGCACTGCTCTATACCCATTCAGCAAAGCAATGACATCTATCTAATATCTATCTATCTATCTATCTGTCATCATAAGAGCATCGAGAGCTTTCAGGCATTCAGACTCAGTTTTACAAATTATGTTTATATATTCCCGCCCCCCTTTCATTTTGAACTCACAGACTAAAGTCCTGTGAGTTCAAAACTAGGTTTGAAATCCTTTTAATACCAATAAATCCCTTTAAAATTGAGATATACACTACACACTCTGAGACTCTTAGCTGAAACTGGCTTTGTGGCTATGAGTATTATTTCTACCAATCTCTCCCCTACCAAGTACCTCTGCCAGCAATTTATTCTAAGATAAATATGCCTTATAAGCTGCATAAATACTTTACGGTAATATATTTGATTGCTTTAACCTAATACTTTCCCCCTCATCAAATCGTGTCCAAGAAAAGTGACAAATGCTTCAATTTCCAAGAAATGCAGAACTCCTCACAGACTTCAGCTAATAACGCTTTCTGACCACTATTCACCAATACTAAGCAGCACAGAGAACTCTGCAACATATTTGCCAGCTGAATAAAGGACTTACATTCTGACCAAGAATCAAATTATAGGTACAACTCACCAGCAACCTTGTTATCTGGGAATGTAATTCAGTTCCTACATCACATTTTCTCTAAGCAAATATCTGAACAGTTAGAACTAATTTTTCACATTTACCGATATAGACTTTTTTTCTGAATTGCTAATGGATTCAGAAGGAAAAAGAGTTACAAATACCAAGGAAACAGATTAGAAACAAAACAAGATGAAGGAAAGTGCTTTTGTGGATCCCTGAACTCTGGTTATCAATCTGACAGGAGAAGATTATCATCTACATGCTCCACAAATCCATAGACGTGAAAGCCAACATTTTCAATAACATTTATAACTGTAATTCGTGCATCAAACTCAATTCATCGAAGGAATTACAAGTCCCTATTTTTAGATATTCATTGTTCATAACCAGCAGTGAGATGAAGGAGCATTTGTAAAGTGCCAGTGGTGCTTGAGGAATCATTTTAGATGCATGGCGATGGCACTTGAAAAGTAGCACACTGCATTTATGTTTCTCACACCAGTTTTGCCCACTGGCAAGACCCAAGTCACGCATCCCCAGCAAGGCTTGGAAGGGAGGGGGGTAGCAACAGCTACGGTGGAAACCTGCATTCTCCAGAAAGCTGAAAGCTAACTTCTCCCTTGAGAAGAACTAAAACACCTAAGAGGATCCAGTTGGATCTACATCTTGCCCAGAGGAAGAAAACCAAGGTGCTGACATTCCCGGAGCTTGGTCTTTACCTTGTTTTTTCTCCATGGTCTCTCCCAGCAAACTTTGTGTTTTCACTGCAAGACAGGGAACTATCTTGCAGTGCAGCTTTTGGGGAGAAAACTGGAGAAAACTGCAAGGTGACTGAAACAACTTACAAGCTCCTGGACTGTGATATTCAGAAGGTCATAACTGAAGGGGCATGTGGGAGAAAACAAGCAAACAATGAAACTGAAGTCTTCATAGAAATCACAGCCTGGTTTGTGTTGGAAGGGACCTTAAAGCTCCTCCAGCTCCAACCCCTGCCATGGGCAGGGACACCTTCCACTAGAGCAGCTTGCTCCAAGCCCCTGTGTCCAACCTGGCCTTGAGCACTGCCAGGGATAGGGCAGCCACAGCTTCTCTGCTCTTGCTGCTTCTCTGTCTTCCCAGTCCACTCCTCAGCTCAGACCCTTATGGGCTTGGGATCATTCGGCTTTCCACTCTGAAATGCTGCCTTCAGCAGACATTTTACAGCTAATGCTCATTTTTGGTGATCACTCCACAACAGAAAGACTTGTGCTACCAAGTATTAGGGAAATACAGTTTCCTTATCCAACGAGACAAGGGCCAATCTCTGTAATTCAAATTTGACCCAGTGAGAATAATTACACAGTGATTGCACCTAATCTAATGCTCTGCCTTCCCTTTGGCTGCCTTTTGCAGGACTTCCATGGATATGTTGCTTTACTGGAAATAGCACAATGCTATCACAAGTATCCCAAGGTCTACCTGAAGAAGTCAAAGGGTGGGTCTCTTGTGGATTTGAGACAGAAAGGACACGTACTGAGTCTTCAGTTCATTTCCTTTGGAGACAGGATTAGATTAGCAGTAGTTTGGGGTCATTCTCCCTCTCTAACAGCTGGCATTGAGTGATAGCCTCTAACTTCTCCCACTGATGAATTCCTTCTGTGTTCATAGCTGTATCGGCTTGGAGGGCTGTAGCCTAAACTATGTATGTGGCACTTGTTTCTAAAGAAAGTATTCAGCCTGCCCACTGTCCAGGGGTGCTGGACTGTAGATTCCACCAGAGAAGGATTTCTGATGTCAAAGACAAGTACACAGAGCAGCCTGTTCTCTTCCACCAGCTGCACAGGCAGCCAGGATGTCACAGTCCTGAAGAGCAGGGGGTGCAGGAGCACTCCTTGTTCTCTTGAATCAAGGTGCTAAAGGAAGGGCCTGAGTTCCCCTTAGGTGCCTGAGCATGCAGAGTACAACCTGAGACACCAAAATCAAGGATCTGCAACAGGTCTACTTGAGCCGGAGAGAGAATCACATCCGCTCCTAGCAGATCTCTGGGTTGGCAGAAGTTTCAAAGCCCTCTATCGCCCCAAGTTACTGCTTAAAATGACTCACAGGCCTTCATGCTACAATTATTACAACTCCTGCTGCTCTTGTCTAGTCCTGCAGCCTTCAGAGTGACATAGTCAGTATTTACAGGCTTTGAGTACAAAGCTCCCCATGAGGTACAGATGCCTGAAGCGGAAGAAATGCTGTAATCCCAACAGATCCCATGAGCAGTACTCTCAGCCTTGACAGATGAAAAATATTCATGTTTTCCCAGAAGCTGAAGGTTTTCAGAGATGTGAGGGTCCTAGTACAGTAAGAGCACAAATTCCAATTGAGGAACCTGCAGGAACCTGCTGACATCAAAAAAGGCCCCAAACATTACATCCTGGTAATATTTCTCCAAGTGATAGTCGATGCTCCCAGCTTTTATAGTGATACAACTGAGCAAATAACAGCCCACCTGGCCATCAGCAGGGTAGTTAGGAAGGGTCTGCCTAAAGCAGCATCTTTTCCTTATCCTACCAATATATTCCTGCAGAAAATCCCAGCTGAAAGACAGCAACTGGTCTGCAGCCTCCATAAGCTTTTATGTCATTTCCCAATGTGTTTGACTGGCAGAGATGAAGATCAAGCTGATGTTATTGCTCTGAATGCCCATGCCTGAAGTAGCCATAACCCATAAGTGGTATTATAGAGTCAGAGTACTTACGGATTTGTAGGACTTAGGATAAACATGGAACTGTAAGGCAAGATTGGTTTAGGCCCATTTTTTGTCAAGTCATCGACGTCTTTCTTCTCCTCTGCTTTACTTTCAAATTCAACGTTGTTCACTGAAATATGAATTTAAGGAAACAGAAACCAGAGAGTTAAAAACGTATCTTTACACAGCAGGCTGCCTGCAACAGCTGGATATGCAAACAGTGCAGCTGGGAAAGCAAACAGCCTTTGAAGACGTTGATTAAATGTGATGAACAATCATTTGATTATTATCACTGCTATTTACTACACTATGATATACACTGCAATTATCCTCCTTAACTGCTGCACTGATGAGCAATAGATCAGAAATGGCCAGGAAATGAAGATGCCCAGTGCTGACAAACAAAGAAGCCTTATACTCATTTCTACAAGAGCTGCCAAACTGGGGATGGAAATCCCATTCCAAATATCATACATTATTAGGGAGAGAGAAGCAGCTAGGAATCCTTGGAAAGAAAAAAGACAGTGAGTTTAACTAACTCCATAATCTCATATCTTCTCCCATAGATCAGCATTCATAAGCATATTGGCTTTTGAATGTGCAGAAGAGCAAATTCTTAGATCAGCTTCAATAATTTTGGGGTTAAATGCTGAACTTCCCAGCATTAGGAAGAGACTTTGAAGGGATTTCTTGGAACCCTTAGCCCTGCGCCTGTATAGTGCACCCCAGTTTTGGCAGAGCTCCCCATGTGTAAATGTGTCAAGCTCCATCTCACATCAGGTTTTTCATTACATGAACCTCTTCTAGATGTTAGTTCTGAATCTCACTTCCAAAGGTTAAAAATACATTCTCCAATTTCCATCATAAGTTTACTTGCTATGGGTTTATAAGATAATTTGCTTAATTTCCAATGTATGAACTGGAAAACATTTTATGCTACAAATTCTCTTGTTAGACAGATACTGACTTGTCTATTCATTCAAAGGACTTGGAATCCAAAAACCTCCACCCACTCATAATGTGTTAGGTGCAGGGTTTTATTACTTTTTGGTTTATTTTGCAACAAAATGACACTTCATTGTGTGTGAGTGACATGTTCAATAAACCGCTTATTGCATCTGAAGCCAGATACCAAGGAAATGGCCAGGAAGGAGAGAGGCTGATAAATTGTGATTGACAGACACTCAGTATTGCAATATAGTAAAATTATCACTTAAGAAAAAGAAGAAATTAGGATGGTGGGGGGGAGACCAGTCTTGTGTGGCTGATAACACAGTTAGAAAGCTCATAGAGAAGCCACCACCTTTTGGCTGTGCCTCTTGGAAAGCAGTGTCCTGACAGCCTGAAATCTAATGTGGACCTCTTGGATCTCATGCTGCAGTCCTTCTTGGCACCCCCAGGTCTCAAGACTTCCCAGGCTGTGCCTACACTGCCAGGGATGAGCCACAACCTGGTCAGAACAAGCTGGTGGCCGGGTGTTTGTAGTGCAGATCATGGGCACAGTGGTCTTGGATCATCTGTAAAACAGGCTAGATCCACACTGATAAACTCAGAGCATGGAGCTCTGGAGAAGGACAGGTGAGGGTGGATTTGCTGAAACTGAGACACAGAGGACTGCAAGAAGCTCTGAAATTACACAGCCTGCAGGAACCCAAAGCAGCACGGTCACCCGAGGGATGCTGTGGTAGCTGTGCCACCGCAAAAGACCTGCTGCTCCACGGGGGGCTCAGCCAATACACCAAGAAGTATGAATTTGGTCTGTGGGCTTGAATGCAATACCACTGCTTCCCATGCCCTTGTCTGAGGGGTCTGTGGCCCACCAGGGCTCTGGGGCACAAGAAGAACCATAAAATGGCACTGCTGGAGTCAGAGCTTGCAGCATGGCAGCAGAGGAAGGCAATAAAGCAGAGGAACTACTCCAGTGCTCACAAGGTCTGCTGCAGAGGTTGCTTGTTTTGCTGCACAGCTCTCAGTTACTACATTTTATTGTCTTTCTTGCTCCATCTCTTATGTAAAGACACATGGATGTGGTCTGGGTGAGCCATCTCCAGGGAACCTTATTTGGTCTTTTCCAGAACCACCAGGTGACCCAGGAACCCCTTTTGGGTTCCTGCAGGCTGCATGAATTGTAGAGCCTGTATCAGCAACTTCTCCTATGCACCTATTGCAAGGATGGCCAGGAGATCCCCTTCACCCATCATGTGCTGATAGCTCCTTGGAAAGTCACCTCTTTCCTGGCAACTTCTTAGCAAAAAGCAGGAGGACAGAGGCACTCACTTGGTATGACAGTGGTTTCCCCCGGCGGGGCAGTGATGGTGACAGGGATGTTCACAGTGGTGGTTTTGTCCAGCGGTGGCTGAATCATCCGTGTCACGTTCTTCTGGTTGTCAGCATCTTCTGGCTGCTCCGGCACCTTCTGCAGGTAGGTGCTGGGAAGGGTGTGCACAGGGACACTCACACTTCCACTAGCCTCAATCTCACACTTGTTCTCCCTAAGGTAGAAAAGCAGGTTTTGTTGGATATGGCCCAAGAAGGAGCCAGAGAACATATGCACCCTGGTGCTGCACCTCTTGCTAGGTTCCATAGACTATTTTCTCCATGGAAGTCCTTTGCAGGAAAGTCACAGGCTGCAGGACAACCTACTGATAGCACAGTATGTGACCTCATCCTCTGAACCAACATTAAGAGGAACCATGCCACTGAGCATCACTTTATTCAGTTTAATGAGACTCAGAACTGAGCTTCATAAGGAAGGACCAGACAGCACTTGCATGTAACAATGACATTAGCTTTCCAGCATCAGCTGGCTTCTGAATGAATCCTGACATTCTGCTGCTTAATGTTCTCCTGAGACCTTATTTTAAATATGGTGACTCTCTTTCCCAGTCCTAAACCCCTCTGTAATGTTGCTTTATGCAGCTGAACAGCTTCTGCATTCCTCTGCAGCAGTAGCTCTATTTCAGTGAGGAGGAAAGCGAGCTTGTGAATATGATCAAACTAAACAGTATGCAAAGTGTTTTGAAATCCATCTGAAAGGAGGATAATATAGACAGGAAAATTATTATCTCAGTGCCACTCACAGCTCTCCACGGTGACATGAATGCTATTCTAAAGGATCCCAGTGAAATTTCTTTTCCACCAGACTAATAAAGCTGAAAAGGCAATCTATCCTTCTTTATTAACTACTTTAAATGCTTCGCAAGTACAATTTTTCTCACTTGACTTACATAAGAATTAAACCAAATGGGGTACATCGGTGTTCTTAATGAAAGAAGCCACGTGCTGTAACAATCGGTGATGCAGCTGACAGGCTCATCATAAAACAGTAAAAAGAGAACCAAAGGACTATAAGCAAGGCTGGATGCTATTTAAATTATCTGTCCCACAGAAACTTCCTTGAAATTCTCTGCTCCATGTTATGTGTCCTAGAGGGTCTGATGGTATGTACATCAAGGATATTCCTTTACATAAACCTGGGCTATTCTATGGTCTGTCATGGACCAAAACCACCTTTGGGGGCCTCTGGCATTACTGACTGAAGCAAAACAGATCTGCAGGTTGTGGTGGTAGCTTGTGTGGGTGTGAGAACATCAGGGAACACCTTAGGAAGGGGAATAAGCAATTCCCTGAATCATGTCTGTGGTCTCGTGGCCCCTGAGCTGTCCCAAGGACAAGTCCAATCACACAGCACTCACTTACTTGGGCTGATGATTCCGGTGCTCCTTCTCTCCAGCTTCCCCCTCCTTCTCCCCGTTCTCCTTCTCCACTGATTCATAGGTTGACAGCGCCCTGTTCCTGAGCCTGTGCCGTCTGTGAGGCTCTTCTCCGTTCTCGCCCTTGGACCCGGGCTCCCCTTCCCGGTTCCCAGACCTCGACCCTCCCCGGTGTCGGGAACGTCGCTCGCTCCTGGCTCCGTTGATTGTCCCGTTGCCTTCCTTGCCTTGTCGGTCGGCAGAGTGCCGGTGAGGCCGGTGCCTGCGGTGCTCCTTCTCACCACCTTCATCCACCGAACCCCGGCGATGGTGCCTCTTTCCCCCTTCCTGACCCCTGTTCCGATCACTTTTCCCTTCCTTACTTCCCCCTTCCACCTCTTTGCTGCGGCTCCGGTGTTGCCTGTGCCGCTCCTCCTTGTTGTTGACACCAGGTTCCCCATTCTCATCTTTGGTCACATCACCCTTCTCTTGCTCTCCCAGTTTGTCCTTATCCCGATGCCGGTGGTGCTTTCGTGGAGCTTCTGCCCCATCACCAGAGCTGACTTTGGTCTGCTCCACCTCCTGCACATCCACAGGACTCAGCTTGCTGATGTTGTTCCTCCCTTCGCTCCTCGGCTCTACCACCAGTGGTCGATCCAAATGAGTCTTCATGTCCGGCCTGATGTGAAGGGTGGTGGCATAACGCACCCGTTCCTCTGGATCCAGCTCATTGTACAGCGCCTCGCAGCTGGCTCGGAAATTGTGCATCCGGATCTGGCTGGTCCTCTGCTCCCAAACAGACTTGGATTTGGAGGAGTTCTGCTGCTTGCTGAGGAGGGGAGGAAGGTGGAAAGTTAGTATCCAGCTTTGAACTTATTCCCTAAAAACAACCAAAAATACAAGAGGAATTTTTCAGCTGAGACGGAGAATTAGAGGGTTGAGCCAAAGAAATTATAGGAATGGAGAGAAAATGGCTGGCAGAAAACATGAGCAGGGAAAGCCAGCAGGATCATCAGTGTTAGTTTGCCCCCACACGCGTTAGGCATTATGGAACAAGCCCTCTGGAAAGGAGTTATCTTGGCTTCTAAAACAAGGTCATCCCCTTTGGAAGTGTCAGGTACAGCCTGAAGGGTTAAAGTCTCTGCACACATCATATAGCACAGCCAGCGCTTTGAAACCACCTACAAGGCTTCCCACAATTAACAACACCTCTGTCCCCACCTGGAAACATCTGGATGAACAAATCAGCAGTGAAGAAGGGAAATCAGATTGGCAGGAAGAGCAAGGAGAAATGAAATCTGTCCTGAGCATCAAAGCCTGAGCTGTTCTGTGTATTATGAAAAGACCCCAGTGATGGGGAGAGTCACACATAGGTGTAGATATGATGAGAGCACCTTTATCCCATGGAGAGACTAGCTCTTTTTTACGTCTGTCTCCTGTTATGCTGAAGATACCTCTATTGGCATTGCTTTAATGCTTTAATTCCTCAACACAGCTCTTGGTTTCTGACCACCACATGCAAATGGGTCATCTCCCTAAGCCAACACAGGCAGGAAAGGTTGTTTTGCTTTCCTTCTAAAGACTGCACGTCAAATTCTGCTTTTGCACAAACCCAAAGTAAACCCATTGGCTTCCAGGATGGACTTCTGCATTTAGCTGCATGGAGGTCCAGCACCCATTTTCTTCCTTAATGGAACTTCCTCTAACAAAGACAGGAAAACCATTCTCCTTCCACCAGCCTGCTCTGTTGTCTGCCTTTGCCACACATGCGTCTGAGCTCTGCAGCCGGAGGGGCTGCGTGGGACTCCAGCACTTAACACACACCCCACAAGGGAGGCAGACGCATTTTCCTGATACACTTTGTGGGCTCCCTTGACAATAGAAGAAAGCAGCTCCTGTGCGTGTATGTGCTGATTTGGACTGTCAGGGTCTGTCACTGTGCACAGACCCTGGGGGAAGCGGCGCTCATGTAGCACAGTGGGAGCTGTCAGAAAGGCTTCACATCTCAGAGCTCTGCTGGGGGATCACTTCTTTACCAAAGGTGCTGCTGCCTGGCTCTGCTAAAGAGGCAAAAACCTACTTAACTGCTCTCTGCAGACAGGAAGGGCACCCAGGCAGGTGTGAAGGCATTTGATTTAAACCAGAAATCACAGAGCTAACCACCAAACCCACAAATCTACATTCCCCATTCTCAAGAGGCACATTCTGGACTAATTTACCAGCAGCTGAGTGCCACGTTTACACCACAGCATAAGAACTGGTGTCAAAAATCACAGTTCTAAATGTAAATTATACCAGAAGGTACTGAGGACATAGCTTAGAGCCCCACACACCAAATATCACACATCAAAGGGAGAACAAGCCCATCATTAGGGAAGAGCACTCCCCAAGCTGTCCTAGTGACCCCTGACACAAAACTGAGCAACCTCATCATAGCATAATCTGCCATTTCTTTTTGGTTCTACATTATGCAAGATTATTATGTTATCACCCAGCAGCAGACTTACTTGGGTTTAGAAGGAAATAATGAGTAAACATGCAAAACCTCTGACTGCCCAGACCTGCTGCCCTGTGCAAGGATTTCCCATGAGGAACTGTATTTGCAGCCCATCATGGTCAGCACAGATGGGCACAGAGTTGAAGCTGCCTTAGACGGGCATCCCAGGTTATCCTGTGCATCCTCCAGGATGGGTGGGTACCTTTCTCTGCAGTGCTCCAGGTCTAGCACTGCTTAAACAAACGGGGCTGAAAAATGAACCTCCTCTTTAGCACACAGGCTCAGGTAACAAGACAGCTTGGGGACAGGTATGTTCATGCCCAAGTGCTGCCTTGGCACAAGCCACCAGATGCATTTTGCTCTTAGAGGATATTTCTCACTTCATAAAGAAAGTCCTTGGGGTGGGGACCGTCTTTTGGTCTGTGCTTTGAACAGCCAGAGTGAGCTGTTAACACTGAACCGATATCTAGGAATAACAAGTTAGAGCTGGGAAACTGCTCTTCTGCTGACTGAAGCCTTCAGTTGGTCTGCAAATCAAGAGCACAGAGAAGAGCACAACTGCCTGCTCCCCATCCCTTGTGCTCTATTTCCATGGGACAGGCACCACGCAGGGGTGGGATGCAAAGTCCCAGCCTCCATGATGGGACTCTCCAAAGTAAAACACACAATAAGCCACCAGGCAACATTCCTGGACACAGCCTCTCCATAAGTGCCTGCACTGAGCCCATCAAAGCCAAGATATAAAAGAAAATCTAAATCAGCCTGGATGTGGTGAGGAGGAAGGTTGAGGGTGCAAGGTTGGTACTCATCGCAGTGCGGAGGAGACGCTCAGAATCTGCTAGCTCTGACACAAGATGTATCATTTCAGGATGGGTTTTAGTTGTGTTTCAGTTGTGCCAAGAACATAAATCAGCCTTTAAACGATATCTGAGGTGCTAAAGCTTCCACTCTACCTCACTCATAACGAACTGAAAGGTGCTGACAGGTACATACACCACTAAGAAACTGGAGCAACCAAGTAATGCTCATATTAACAAAACCTATTTTGCCAAAATCCCTTCCTTAAAACAGGCACTGACATTATAGACTTGAATTTCTCAGCATCTAGAAATGAGATGCGTCCTTAAAGTTGACACAAGTAGCAGAGGTGACTGCCAAAAGACTACGACATAGAGCCACCCACTGCTTTGGCTACTGACTAGCTGAAGAGCAGGAGGTTCAGAAGTAATGCCTTCATCCTTTCTGCTTTCTATGTGAAAAGGCACCAAAAAAAGAAGTAAATCAGAAAATATCTGACGCACAGTAAAAATACTACCAGGAGAATGTGCAGCCTGCTGCAAGCTCATTATCCTATTCAAACCAGTCAAGAACATCAGGAGCAAGTGACATTGCACATAAAGTCTGCGGCAGGAAATGGAAGTAAAGCAATGGAGCAGGTTGGACCCTCTGGGGACAGAGTTTCAGAGTTTTGGGAGTCAAAGCAGCAGCAGCAAATGGAAGGAATGTGTTATCTCCCTGTCCAACCTAATCTGACTCTTGCTTTCTGCACGTTCTCACCACAACAGGGCATGGCCATATGTGACAGCTTCTCCTCTCTTGTTGCTCTGCTTTGCAGAGAAGAGCTTTTGAAGTTATTTAAGGCCCAACAGGATGTCACTTTGAAACAAAACCTGGTTTCATTACAACTGCTTATCTGTGAGGATATGGTGTCTATGCACACAACACAAAGTATTGCAGAAGAGATGGAAAAAAAGACAGGGCAAAATCATTTCCTCTGCTTCCTCTAGTGTTAGGTTCACATAATTATTGACCCTGTGTGAACTGGAGCAGACACAAACTGTCTCCAGTACAAGCATGATAAACTGCAGCACAGCTTATCCACAAACTGATAACAAATGAGCCTCTGTGATAACAAGTATTTATTCCAGAAGAGAAAACTATCTACTTATGAAGCCAACTCCTTATCTGAAATCCTGTTCACTGCTTGTGTCTTAAAATCCTTCTGAATCTATTCAGAAAGTGGCAATAATCACTTCTGATCTACAGACATAGTACAAAGATGAATGCTAATTCACATGATAATTACCCTATTTTCTGTCTATACAACGTTTGGAACTCTTTGAAGGCTATTGGCCATATACTCGGTTTTCAGTTCCTGTAAGCTTGAAATGCTGTAGCAGATATTACTGCTAATGTGCTTCCCTGAGTAGCTTCACTGCTTCTGCTTGGATTAAGAAGTCAGTAGTCAAATAACTCCTGCCTGGGGCTATAAATAAAACCATACAATTCATGTAGAATCAAATAAAATTCATATTAATGAATCAGTGACTAACGTTGGTCTTAAAAAAACGCAACCAGTCACTGTGTAGATTGTTCAAAAAAGGAAAGCGTATTTTTAGTCATATTCTAATCTTAGGGTATTCCTTAATGAGTAAAGATGTTGTTATCATAACCTTTTAAAGCACTGCTTCAGTTAATGGCACTTTGCTTCCCAGAACTACTGGTTTAATCAGCTACATAAATGCAATCCTTCAAATTTTGCTTTAGTAAATAATGAAAGCTGTCTCTGAACATCATAATTTGATGTTAAAAATACCTACATTTTAGATTGTGGGCATGAAAGAATATTTTCTGATTACAGATGAAAGGGGGTTTCTTGTTAAAATACAGTTTCAACCAAACATGCAATGCAAAAAAAAACCTTTCCTCTAAAATCGTATTTTCTGTTCATAAACTGGGAGAAGCTCTCTCCACATTTCAATTTTCCACTTGGAAAATACAAGGTAGCATTTTAGTTTGGGGTGGGCATGCACAAAGCAGAATGGTTTATCTCTGTTTGCTTTGATAACACAGGTTTTTTTCAGATGAACTCATCACCAGCATTTAAATCTGCTTTGCCAGTGACCCCAGGAGTTGCTGCTTGGATGCCTTGGCACCTTCTCTTCTTTATGAGCTCCATGTCCCAGCTGAGCTCTCCTGGGACATGTACTGCGCCGTCCCACCACGCTGGTGCAATGGTCTGCATCAGAAATGCCACCACCAAGAGCTGCTGCAGAAACCACTGCTCAGTCTTCTCCAATATTATCCTTCAATTCGATTCTATATATATATATCAGAATTTTTTATACTGAAGTTTCTTAGAAAAATAAAACACCAAACACATCTTCTTGCATAATATTTCTCTTAATATCTATTAGCTAGAAACTCTAGATTTTGAACATGGTCTAAGCCTAATACAATGCTGGCTGTGTATCACACCCTTATGTTCAGAAACTTGCTACTGAAATCTGAACTGCCTTTCAAAGAGATACCAAATTCTTTGATTGAGAAAGTCCACTAAATCATTGAACCCCAGCCTGGTTTGTGTTGGAAGGGACCTTAAAGCTCATCCAGTCCTAAACCCTGCCACAGGCAGTGACACCTTCCAATAAAGCAACTTGCTCCAAGCCCCTGTGTCCAACCTGGCCTTGGACACTGCCAGGGATGGGGCAGCCACAGATTCTCTGGGCACCCTGTGCCAGCGCCTCAGCACCCTCACAGGGAAGAGCTTCTGCCTAAGAGCTCAGCTCAGTCTCCCCTTGAGCAGGTTCAAGCCATTCCCCTTGGCTGTCCCTACAGGCTCTGATGAAGAGTCCCTCTCCAGCATCCCTGTAGCCCCCTTCAAATACTGGAATCTGCTCTGAGGTCTCCTTTGCAGGCTGAACAGCCCCAACTTTCTCAGCCTGTGAAATAAGCTGCAATAGCCCAGACCAGACTCTGTAGGGACTACAAGCATTCTGTAGTGATCCCACTGGGAACTCCAGACTTTTATGAAAACCCAGAACTAAACACATCAGGGAATGAAGTCACAACCCCCTTTTGCGCATGATGAGGATGAAAATGAAGCAGATAGGCCCAGACAGTGAATATAGAGAAGCAACCGATAGAGATCAAGAACAATTTGGGTTCTTGGATGGTGAATGACACATTCATTCTTGTAGAAGATATTGAACCTTTCTCATTTCCCTCCGTACGCTATCAGGTTGTCTACAGCTGGGTAGATGCAGCAGAGACGTGATGTGATGGTCTGGGTGGGAAAGAAAGAGCTGCTCAAAGAAAACCAAATTCTGTTCTGGCAAAAAAGATAATCTGTGGCCAATACTGGTGTTGAGCACTTCTGGAAATAAAATCCTCAGCTTGTGAAACACTGGGGTTTGCTTTATTTATCAATCTAGAAAATGCCTTAAGAATATGTCAAGTTTCATGTCCAAGCAATGACTGACACCTCTGGACCCAATTAGAAATAATAACCAATAGCAATGTAAAGAAAACCTCAAGTTACTGCACCACTTTGATTTCATCAGCAATTGCAATATAAGGATTTATATGTAAATTCAACATCCCAGAACTCTTAAATTCCTACTACTGGAAAAATACAACATAATTATTCACTTAGCTGTGTGTCATCCCCTATGTACATACAAATTAGTCACCAATTGCAGAATGTATCTTAGATAAATGCTGATCTTCTTCAACTAATAGAGCAGATCTGTATTTAACTACCTCTCCTCAGTGAATTAAACATGTATTTTGTACTGCTTGCACTGCTTGTTTCACAGATCTTATAGCTCGAAAGGCTGGAATTAGCACAAGAAAATTGCTTCACCTTGATTATTTAAAGAATTAGCTCTGATGTTTTGTCTTTAGTTTCTTAGCAATGTACAATTATTAATATTTTTAATAAGCAAAGGATAGGGGAATAAAGCCCAACACTTTGTATCTCAAAAGATTTCTGAGTGAGCTTTGTTCTTTCAAAACAAATGACCATGGCTTTGCAGATCCTGGTTCTTAATGATATTCAAGGCCCAAAGTATTTTCTGCTGTTTGAGAAACCCAAGGGAGAAAAAAGAACGGGAATATTTTTGCACCTTTTACAAGCTCTTTTCGATCAGCAAAACTGTTCAACTTCCATCTGTGCCCCAAAATCACACCATTTATCTATTCAGCACAATTACAGCAATAGCACTCCCAGTGGGTAGAAACAATGTGGTATAAAGGCATTCTGAACCTATGTTAATATTCACCCAGGGAATGGGAGTCCAGAGCACCTGCATGGCCCTAAGGGGAGCTGTTCCAATTTATCTATTTGGATAGAAAATAAACCCCCACATTTCTAACCCTTACATTTATACTGAGTAAACAAGAATTTCAGATGTCTTTACTCTGCAGGGAGCTTCTACTGCTGCTCTGTGATGGCTGGTACTTTCATACATTGTAATGGGGTACAGTGATTTATTTTATCAAAACAGGAGGTATTGCTGGAGAAATGCTCTTTAGATACCCACAGAGAAGAGAATGCATGCTCAGCTCATCTGTCAAAACCAGCTCTGGTTTGCATAGGAAATTACAAATTACTGCCCAGACGGTGTATAGAAATGTTAAAGAGGAGAAGAATCCTCAGTTACAGCTTTTCACAGTAAAAATTAATTCTGTTCAGAGACCAGATGTGAGTCATATCAGCAAAAAAGCCTCTATTTTACTGTCTCTATTGCTGGTGGGGAGTTAGCAACAGACCTCAATGGCAAATGCCTCCAAATGCAGGCAAATCTTCCTTCCAAGGGGATTTTAGTAGCTGTGGTTTGATTTCACGTTCTTAAAAGGCAGCTCTGTCTATGGAAGTTTGGAAAAGGAGCCAGATTCTCCATTCTTACAAGACTTCATTTCTTATTGGGCAAACATTGCCTCCGACCAGTTTAGTGCAACTTCTACTGGAGTGTTGGGGAGGATGCAGCTCAGCACCTCTCCCCCATCACCACCTTTAACCATCACCTTCCTCCTGCCAGGGGTAAGGCAGGATCAGAGGGAGCCAATAAATGCATTGCAAGAAATGAGCCAAAAGCTGCCTTGGTCTAGTTTATTCCCCTAAATTTTCACTGCCCCAACCCTGTGACATCTCAGGCCTTAGCACAGACAAGTCACACCTACTTTTGTTAGTTGGAAAAGTTCAGTCTTGGTCACAAGAAGCAAAGCTCACACATCATATCAACATATTTTTAATACAAACATGTCTAAGATCCACCAGTAGGTAAGGACCCTCAAAACACCCTGGGAGAAAGGAAGATGTCAGGGAGCTGGTAGAAAACATCTTTTGCTTCACTGTGCCTTTGGTAGCTGCTACGGTGCACATAAGACAAACCCACACATGTTTGAATTGCACTTACTTGTCTCTTCAAAAGCATTAAAGAAGAAAGATAACATCAAACGGTAAAGGTATAACCCAAAGCCAAGACACTGAGATGGGTTGATGAGAAGCTGATGATGATTTCTGTTGTATTAGTCAGCAGGAGAAATGATATTTTCTACAAACCTGCATTGGTGTCATAGCACACCCACGATTCACAGCAAAGCCAGCAAGATTTGTAGGTTAGGAAGGGGATAGAGTGTATGGAAGGTCTATCACCATGTTCGCTCAACCACAGGTACATAGGAGTTTACTGAGTGCCTCGTTTTTACCATATCTGTAGCTTTAAGCTCCAGCTCAAGGTCAGAGAGCACAGGCATACCCAGCGCTCTTATGAGTTTCCCAAAGATGCTTATGGAGAGTTTTCCAATTTGGTCTCACTTGGGCCCCATTTCCAGAAGTTTCTTTTATAATCCTCAAGCTTTCATTTGAAGAGCACATTCATAGTTGGCCTGCATTCTCCTATTGAACCATAAGTGCAAACACTGGTGGAACATCAAAGCCATCAGCCCAGTACATAATAAACACAGAGGACGAAAATACAAGAACAAGATGAACCACCAAATGAGGGCAGACAGGAGAAGAGGGAAAATAGTTAAGGAATAAACAAAGGAAAACAGTTAAGGGGATGGGAGAAAAATGAAGGGAGGAAAAAATCACAGTCAATGTTCAAAACACTACAGAGTTGCTCACGATCAAAACACAAGCATTATATGGCAATGTCGCACACCTTCCAGTCCTTCCACTGCATGTTGGTCTGGAGGCTTTCCACAATGATGGGAATGATTTTTGGGAAAAACAAGGAAGGGAAGTGAAGGTATCAGGAGAAGGGGAAAGAGGGAGGTTTATAAATATAGAGATAGAAATCCATGTACTGAATATTGTAACAGAGAGCAACTCACGGTGAATTTACGCTGGAGACTGACGAGCTGCGAGATACAGTACCTCGAGTTTGCTTTACAAAACTGCACATGCAAAAACAAAACAAACAAAGAAAACAAAAAGTGAGAAAACAAAAAGAAAACAGAAATCAAAATAAAGAGCAGAGGAACCATAAAAGACATTGGAGGAGACTCATACAGGCTGTGTCCTATCGAATGCAGACTGCAGCGTGCATATTGGTAGGAAACCAGGCAAGCTTCAGAAAGTGTGGAAGCCACAGACACACCACCTTCTAGTTAACAGGGAAACAACCAAAGAATCAAGAACAGAACCAAAAGGGGGTGGGGGAAATTAAAAGGTGAACCAAAAGCCACACAATGATATTAGGACTTTATGCCTCCATGTGCTATACTCACACAATCCAAGTCCTCCGTAGAAGTCATCTTTAGGGCCTCTGGGTAGAGGTCCTTGTAGAAACAGGTGATGGTCGCTATTACAGCTGTGCTGCAAATCATTATTTCCAAGTGGGAGCAGGATGCTAATTCCCACTCTGGCTCTGTGACATGAGGAAGAAGCCTTAGCACGGAGAAAAGCATGGGCTGGAGGGAGCAACCTGGGGCACGTCCAGAGAGCCCAAATCCACCTGAGCCCCAGCAGCTGCTTCTCCTCTGTCTCTACTTGGGATGTGCTCTTCAGAGGCACCTACCTCTCTCCTCTAACAGGCATGGGGATGTGATTGAGCTCAGACTGTTCAAATACAGCTCACTGTGCCTAAACCCCATAGGTCTCCTGGGCCTGACACATAGAATCATAGACTCATCGAATGGTTTAAAGGAGCCTGTTTCAGTTCACAAGAAATTCTGTAGATTCTCCTCTATCCAGTGTTTGTATAAACACCCTTGTATGTGTGCGTGGGTTCTAAATATGGAAATCACTGGATTGCACTGAAAGAGTTTATTCTTCCTTTGGCAGGGAATCTACCAAAAACCAGGATTTGAAATATCTTGATAGATCTTGGCTTGAGGTGCTAATTTTTGCATTGTTATAAGAAATACTCTTTATAAATCTACATCATTCAGAGAACCCTCTCCAAGGCTGGAAATAGAATCCCTTCACCTCCTGAATATGCCTTTCCCCTTGCAGCATTTTTTCTCCTGCTTCCATGAGGGTTTTCATCTGTTCACGACCAATACTAGCAAACCAGAAGGTTAATCTAAAATCTAACTTTTTTTGGATATACGTAGGTTTAAATATGCATTTACTTCAAATCCATGAATTATTCTGAACAGAAATGTTGGCCCAGATAAAGGTTATAATGCAACAATCCAAAGCCAAGAAGCCTGGAATGAATATAAGAGAAATTATGAAAGGCATCATAAAAGTTTTGCTTGGAGCAAATAATCTGCTGAACACTCAGGTAAAGTATTTTGTCTAAACTTTACTATTTCTACATTTGCAGTGCCAAATGAAATGGGAGCAGGACTCAAAGTGGAGTTGGCATGTCCTGCTTGTTTGCCAAAAAAACTATTGTCTCCAGGTTGCTCCAGCTGGGGACCCCTTTACTCTTTGGCTGCATGCTGAACCCCCAGGTTATCAGCTAAACCCTGCAGAGAACAAACCCTTGACTACATGAGTGTGTCAAGAGTAAGTAAGTAATTACTTGGGCAAAACAGGTGTAAAACTCGTGATGGAGGAGAATGCACTTGACCTCCCTAATTTATTTGCAAGTCAGCACCAACACTGTGCAATACCTGTGGAAATTTGGCTTAGAATTGCTGAAGGCACGAACTCAGCATCCCTTGGCAGGAGGCTTGAATGAACCTTTGTATCTGTCCCTGCCTCGTTTGGTGCAGTGCAGAATGAAGACCATGCCTGGATCTTGCCAAGTATCCTTGTAACCTGGCCAGCCTACGTTATGCAAGTCCTGCAGCACGCCAGGTTAGCTCCTCTGCTCCCACTGCTGGAGTCCGCTCTTTTGAAACCATAAATTTGACTGGATTTCTGCTGGAACTGCAGGGTGCAAAGCCACGTAGCACAGACAGCCTCCTTTTCCAATCAAAATGACACAAGTACTTGAGCTTTGCTCAGTGCTACTTACCATCCATGAGGGACAGAGTACAAGAGTGTCTTTAGGCGTAGCTGAGTCACTGTTACACTGACAGCAAAGGCAAAAAGGCAAACTAACAGGAGGAATCACAGTACCTCACACATCAACACACTTCAAGGTGGGGGGAAAGGAAGGGAAGAAATCACAAGCCAGCAAGAGAAAAAGAACACCTCTCCTAGTCTACACATCACCCAGCACACGATGTTTTATGGGTTGGGTGTTCAGACACATTTCTTGCTGGGTCCTGTTGGCTACCGACAATCCGACAGGGATCTGGAAACAGACAGCAGTATTCCCAAGACAGAAGGAAAATATAGAACCTCTGAGATGGAAAATGTCCTGGAAAAACAGAGCAGCTCCCCTCACCCACCCCTTTATCCCCAGACCTGTACAAAAGGGACAGACAACTCTGAGAGGTCACTATGAAATGATGTGCCACCTTAGTTGTTCTTGGCACTCTGCTGGTGAGTAGTCAACTTGCTCACATTAACAGGCAGTATCTACCTGTGGGTGTGCAACTAAAATGCAGACTGCTTTGAATAACCATGGGAGGGTCCAGCAGAAACCAGTCAGAGCCTGGAGAGAGGAAAAGGTCTTCAGAGGCTGGAAGGTTTTCCTGGGAAGCACGGGTAACTTTGGAAAACAGTAGTGGGCAACCCTATAGAATGCATTTAAATCTAGTGCCCTCAGTACACAAACTGTCTCCGCCACTGTCAACAAGGCTTCTTCCACTACATCTGGGAAGTTGTCCTCCCAACCAGAACTCACATCTGACACCCATACTTAAATATTTCTCTTGGGTATGGCTATGACTGTAACCCATTACCACATGGAATTAAAAAGAAACCCATGAGAAACAAACCAGTTTCACTCAGCATGACTTCAGGAAAATGACCTACAAATGGTTTAGCAGTTGCTAGCTGGTTTGATTGTTGTTTTAAGGCTTTTCCCAAGAAAATCTGAAGAGGCCACTGGAAAATACATGGGCTCTGGGTGCCACATGAGCTGCAACCAGTGTCCTCTCCAGCTGGCCTGCTGGCCCATGCTGGGCTGGGTGTGTTTATTGCAGCCCCTTTTGTACGTGCCATTGGTGCATCTCTGGCTGGAATAGAAAAGGTAGATAGGGAACACCAACAAGGGGAGTTCAGGCTTTGGGTTAGGCAAATACAGAAAGGCCGTGCTTATACTGGGGTCTTTGTGTGACCATGAAAATGAGCCCAGTGGGTCTCCTTTCCACCAGCACCTTTCCATTGGCATTGCAAAGTGGTTTGCACATCCACTGCATGTGTAACTGGCCCCCTTTTCCCTCCTCCTCCATTCTGGCCACCAAGGAAGCTGCACCAATGGCTTGCTCTAAGGACCTGTCCATCTGCAGTCATCGCGTTCAGGAGGCTGAAGAGGTTTAAATGCTGTATGGAACAGAGGGTTTTGAAGACAATGCTGGGCAAACTGAACAAACCCAGAAACTCACCTCCAGAAACAACAAAGCAAGGAAAATGCTAAACAGAAAACAAAATAAATCACAAAAATAAGAATGAAACAATGGGTTCAAATTAAAATGCAAAAACACACGTTAAACAGCTATTCTGGTTTAAACAAGGACAGAAACAACATCCCAGCCTAGGTTTTAAACCTGAAAAAAACACAAAACAAAAAGGCCCAAGGATAGAGTTCACCAGGCAGAAAAACAAACTCCACTGAGACAAATTTGTTCACATTGAGTCCCTTTGGTGGAGCAGAAGACAAACCATAGAAAACCTGGGAGATTGATGAAGTGAGAGCTACAAACCAAGCGCAGGTAGAACACTGTAATAAAGCACTTGGACTCAGTTGCAAGATAGATGATATCTCAATGCCTCTGTAATAATGAGTATATTATTAAAACAGATCCCCAAGACACTATAGAGCTTCACCATCTATCAACCACAAGACAATCTGTGGCTCATGCAACAGCCTACTGCAGGTGAAGGTTCCTCTTCAGACCCTCCAAGCAGGCTGACATGCTAAATAAGCAGACAGTTTCTTATGCTTAGGAAATGACATTTTGCAACTAATGCAATAACTTGAACATTTCCTGAAGGTCAGTTATGAAGAGAGGCTTGAATGGCAAAGGAGAGAAGAAGAACTGGTGGAGATAAACTGTAGGCACAGGAGCATATAAACAATGGGTTCAAAATGTAGGTGCACAGGAAAAACGCCAGCGGTAGAGGAGCAGATACAACATTACAGAGTATGGAATGGCCTGGAAGGAGGCTTAAGGGAAGATACAGACTCTTGGTCCTCAATGTAGGACTGACAAGGGAAAGAAGCAGAAAAGCAAGCACAGCCCCTCACTGGTGAGAAGGCAGAACGACCGATATGACTTTCCACCAGACTCAGCCCCAGGACGGCTTTATCACCTCTATGGGAGGAGGACAAACACACCAGGAACATGAACATCATGACTAAGGAAATGCAAGTCATGGTGCCCTCTGCTAACACCCGAGAGACCTGTTTTGATTGATGCAGGTAGAGAAAATATTGATGTTTTCTGAACATCGATCCATGCTGTTGATGCCTTTTTGTTACAGAAATTCATTTTCATATGTTATGAAAATAAAATCAAGTTATAAAACTACAAAATGATTCCTTAGGAGAAAATAAAAATATAAGCTGGAAGAGCAGGCCCATCTTTGCAGCAGGTCTTTGGTAGCTCAGTCCCAGATTTCACAGCCCCTGCTCACCAGTCACTGTGCGGTGCCCAACTTCTACATAGGTTTGCTTTTTGTGATGGTATTTCCATACACCAAAAATCCTGTTCCCAAGTGTGCCCAGCAACTGGATTCATTCTTGGCATGTCCAGCTCTGAATTGCATCAGAGATTTGACCTAACAAGTCTTGCCATCAACATGGCATTTACTCCATCTTCAGGACCTCTGTGCAGCATAAGAAATGAAATAACAGGGTACATTTGTCTGTCAACCATGGGTCCTATCATCGGCCCTACTATTCTGGATCTAAGGGATAGGTCCTGCAAGCCTGAAGGCTGTAGCTGCTAAGACCCTTTGGAGTTTGCTGTGGATGCATTAATGTATTAAGCAAATTGCTTTGGCATGCATTTGTTAAATAACTTTTGGATCATGAGCCAGTAATCCATCCATACACCTATTTCTGCCTCACAAAACACCTGACTTCTCTCTTGCCCTCTCTTCTATGTCATCGTCCATTTGGTCATCAACAGATTGACCTTAACACATTCATTTTTCACAACAGAGCCCTGCAAGCTTTGGGGGTGAACTTGGAAGCACCTCATTGGCACTGAGGCAGAGAAAGGAAGAAGTCACACAGTGGCTGTTAGATGATGTTTCCCATAGAGCATGCACGATGCTGCCATGGTTAGTAGATGTGAAAGTGACCAACTGCACCTTCAGATGTGCTCACCTGTAAAGCCTAATTACCTGCCTGTACAGATGTGGAGGGGGGGGGGGGGTGGTCTGGGCAGATACAGTGTGAGGAAAATAAGTAGAAATCCTCAATTTTGTACTCACTTTCGATTATGGTCACAAACCTGGCCCTGTGGTATTGAAAGCCAGGTGAAAGTCTGCTGAAAAACCATGGAATAAGGTTATTCTAAAGCTAACAATATGGTGTAAAATCTTATCTCCATTTTCTGCTTTATGAGAAATCTTCACATGCTTTTGATTAACACAGGAAGAAAATAAGCATCATCATCTTGCATTTTAAAATAACACTACCAGGAAATTCATCAAAGAACAAGAGCAAATATCCTCATTTGACTTCTTTTCAAGACTAGACAGGAAATCATTGTAAGAAAAAGATCACATTTAAACCCAACAGAGGCACAGAATAAATAGAAGCTGATTAAAGCAGTAATGGCAAAATAAAATGGTAAGAGGAATAAAATAGCCAAATGAATAATATCCTTTTTCTTCACATACAATGAACTGGCTTCATTTGGCCTATTGTCTTTGACAAAGTGAGTTAAACTCCCAGTAACAAGGGTCTCAAGAGCTTTACCCTGATGGAACAAACAGGGATCTTGCTGCATTTCAGATGCTTTGCAATAAAATTGAACAGGAAATTTCTTTTTCTATGCTTGAGCTTCCCCAGCCTTTGGAGGTCTCCCCTGCAAAAGGGATCTGTGAAACTTCAGAAGCTTTCAGTAAAATCTGAGGCACAACCTGATTTTTTTGATGCTGATTGTCCTGATGCTAAAATTCCAGAATTAAATGAACCCTTAAGAAGAACATATCTCTTGGTAAATCCATGCAAGGAAGGCAAGTATCAGACTCCAGGCCATAATCCCACACAGGCAGAACTCTGCACTGACCTCAGCAACATCTGGGACAAGTATTTCCACCAACACAGATTTTTGTTCACATCAGTTTAGATCCATATATATGAAAAAAGTGGTCCCCAAGTCAGTTTTTTTTTTTTAAGACTCTGGTATCACAGAGTCCGTGCTCATGTCCACATCCATGCGGAAAAGCCTGAACCTGAAAATGCAATTTGATGTTTCTCGCTACAAACTACTAACTGCTCACATAAGTGATTTTACTCAACCCAGCTCTCTTTCAAACAGCAAAAAGAGCATTCAACAGTATTTTTCAGTCTGATATTTAGGAGGATGCCTTAACACTTAAATTTTCAAAGCAGAAATCATTGAAAAATAGTTATTATGTGCAACATACCTCTTGTAATTGGAAATCCAAAGTGAATGGATTTGTTAACACTTCACCTGGTGAAATCTATCCTAGGACAGCTTAAAAACAAATCATCTAAAAACCAAGTTATTTATAGCAGGGCAAAAGATGAGGCATTACAAAGAAAACCAGACTTAAATACTGAATTAAATGCATGGTTAAGCGATCAGTTCTGAAGTATTCAGTCCACATAAAGCCCTGTCAGTAACAGATATAAAAGGGCTCACGGAAGACTATGGGATGCTCATGTTGAACAGACACATACTGACACTGAAATACAGAAACCAAACAATAAAGTTCCCAAGTATCAAAGTCATGCTTACGCAGCTATGGAGATGTTGGCTGCAGACATGGGGCTGACTTCTGCCACCTCCTTGGCCTTTTGCAGGGCGAGCTTTTGATTCGTGGCTTCCTCCATCTCCTCCTCATCCTGGTGCAGAAAACCAAGAGAAATCAGAGTTTGCATCATGCAAGGACAGTGACCAGAGCTCTCCAAGGCACGAGTCATATGTGAACATCACCACTCTGCTGTGAGAACAGTGGAAACTCATTAATATAAGTCATACTTCCATAACCTGTAGGGATGCCTGGGTAGGGTCTTGGTGCCAGCCACAGCGGGCTGAGATGAGAAATGCAAGGTTTGGTCAAGTGGTCAGTTAATTTTTACCAAGATTACATCTTCCTTGCAAAGCTTACCTCTCTTGGGTCTCCTCTTAGCACTGGGGAAGGAGGCTGTGGCAGAGCAGGGAGAGACCTGACCACAAGTGTGACATTTCTGGGGTGAGGTGAGCCCCATCACTCTAAAATCTAAGTCCCCATCGCTCCTTAAGCCTAAGTCTTATCGAAATGCATGAGACAGACTCCTAAATCCTTCATTACTTCTTCCCAGTGTGACTTTCAGAAAACAGTAAGTGTAATAAACAGCAGACTTGACTGGTCCTGCTCACACCAGCTTTACTCCAATAGTTCCACTTATTTCAGTTGAATCACTGAAGACTTACAGGGTGACAACAGAAAGAAGGAGCCGTATTCAAGCACAGTCTGTAGACTCAAGCACTATAACCATCAGAAAGATGGTTATAGTCATGTTTTCTGCATACACTGCATACACCCCAGATCATGTGGATTTTTAACCTCTGTTGGCACTGCAAGCTCCCTCAGAGTATAACTGTGATTTATTTCCTCCTACCCATTATAATGGCAAGAGAAACACTGTTCAAATTCAGAATACAGAGTCTCAAGCAATGAGATGAGGGCAAAAAGCAAAGAAACAACCTGGTTCATCTTCAATGGTGGTCTAGGCTAAACTTCCCTTGCACTTTCAAGGCAGTGCAATCAGTAAAACCATGGCAGGATAAACACAGACTCTCTGATGGCAATAGCAGCATCACACATACTCAGAGAATAACCACATGTCACAACGAGAGCAGTCACAGGCTCTGCTGTCAGATTTTATGAAATGCCATAGATCTATCTCTGCTCTTCAGTGGTAATGTTGTGAAAGAGTTATGCTTAAAATAATGAGAGCAGACAGCAAGGCATCTAGCGCTGAAACAGGAAATCATCCAGATTTATCTACCCTGAATACCATATGCATAAACCATTCTACCCTATGTAAGGAGCAGGAAAGGTCTTGATTCTATGTAAGCACTGCTCAGCAGTAACTGAAACATCCCCCTGTGATCAACACTGCAGCACAAATCCAAAACAACACCCCACACCAGCTTCTGTAAAGAAAATTGACTCTACCCCAGCCAAAGCCAGCACAAAGGGTATCTGCAGAACGTCAAGCGTTTGAGGAAGAAGACCTGCAATAAGAAGGCTTTTCTGATTTTCTTTTCATTCCACAGGTATGTTCAAGTTGTTTCATCTATGAGGACCCTCTAGCAGTGTTAAAATCACATACATTCAAAGGCTTTTGATTTTTCTTTCTCTGAACCTAAAGCACCAGGTGCAGTTTTATCTATCTCTTTAGAATCTGTAGCTTCTACTCCATTCATCCTGGTTCATCAATAATTCTGCTGGATTCCATATCTTGAAGTAGAAGGAGAAAATATCTGCTGTCATTACAAACGCAGCCATCCCTAACTCAGAACAAGCCCATTCTTTGGTAGATGACTGCTTAATAACATTTCTGTAGCTCCTTTCATCCAGAGATTGCAGATCACTACAAAAGTTAATTAACTTTTTGCCTAGTACTTACACTGCCAAGTCCCACTGGGGCGCAAGCTCTTGTTCTGCTTGGAATATACAAGGAAGTGATGCTGTATGACTGAAGCCAGCTCTGAGCTGTGATGGCAACATCCATCCATCCATCCTAGCAACAGCGAACTGTCACCATTATTATACAGGGGCAAGTGCATACAAAGACCCTACCTTAAGGACATCTCTCTTTGATGTTTGCTTTCTGTTTTCTAGAGCTCTAAATCCCCATTTCAATCACAGTTTATCACATGGTAAAACCCGCCTTCAGTGCTACCCATAATGATGTGCATAGTTAATACTGACCATTCGTTATTAAGTTCACCCAATGAAAGACACCTCTGCACTGGGAAGGAGGGCTCTTTACACCTTAAGACTCCTGGGTTTGTGCTCACTTCAGTCCATTATTTCTGGGTATTTCTCAACTTTGTAATATATTTTTAGTAAAATTCACACATCATTCCCATCCCTCATTGCATAGGTTTATGCTGCTTCCCCAGGGACTGCTGGCAGTGTGCTTAGTACTCTAGGATATTGAGGAAAATAAAGGGTCACTTGCGGTGACCTCCCATGCCAGTGTAAGGAGGATGAAGAACTGCTGTGTGTCACTGGAGACGATGTGGGAATGTCAGCAGAGAGGATTTTCAAAGCAAACTCTCGGGTGCATTTTTGATTCTACTATGAGTAAGTGAGCAGGAAGAAAACCCTGCCAATATATGGCAATAACTATAGGGTACATAGGCATATATATCCCCTGGCATATATATCTTATATGTATAGGCATATATATATCTGCCTATAAATACCTATATAATACTTAATTTCTACTGATTTCTCAGAACTGTCCTGAATCTATCTGGGCTGCCTACATATGGAGATGTATATATATATGCCTATATGTATACCTATATATAGAGGCCTATATATATAACTATACATGTATACATACTAACTATATATATACACATATATATACAACTACACATATATAACATAATAACTATATATATAGGCTTATATATACAGGCATATATATATTTAAATATCTCCATATATAGGCAGCCCAGACAGATTCAGGACAGTTCTGAGTGATCACTAGAAGTTAAGTTGGCAGATTAAATTAAGTCAGTGCTAATGAAGAGCCAGTACAGAAAGAGCAGGAGAGAGACCTGGGGAGGGAGAGGAGGAGGCTGGAGAGCAGATTATATAGATATTGAAAGCAAAGAAGGTGATTCTTTCTTTCCCCAAAATGAGTCATTCCAATGTCTGTTCCAGAACTCACAAGTACTTTGGACGATCAAGCTTAAGTTAAATATAGTTGCAACTCGGATAACTTCTGTTACAGGCCATAAGGCCCAGCTAAGGCTACTGAGAAATGTTCAAATGCCACAATAAAAGAAGTCCAAATTAGCATCCAGAACTGGAACTGTTGGTTGGAATGTTTCAGTCCTGCTGTTTAGCAGGAAACCTTTCTGTCTTTCCAAAACAGAGGCAGATGCAAACTGCCTGTGGTTTCCCCACATGATATGCAGCACTGATCACGATTAGTTTTACAACATAAATGTCAAGAAAGTCTCCTGAGATCAACTGACTCCTAAGTAAGTTATTTATATCTCCGGGCCATTCTGGGGTTTATATGATCATATTTACTTCGCAGTAAATCCCTCGTTCTGCAGGTATGCCATTCAATTGAAGTACTTTCATCTTTTCCCTCTTCTTTAGAAAGCCGTAGTGTTTTGGGGGGATCAGACATAAAATTAAAGCCAGAAAACCAAAAGTTTGTTCAAGAAGCTTTATGATTTGGCAATGCTGCAGAATCCATCAATATTTAATTATAGAATCATAGAATCAACGTGAACAAAGGCAGGTTCCTAACTGTCCCAGTCAGCTCCTGAAATATTCACAAGAAAGCACTTAAAGGATTAAGAAAGAAGTAGGATGAGCTTCATTATGGAAGACCCTTGCAGGCCCCAGTTCTCTCTCTCAGCACACGCAAGGTATGCCCCGAGATCTCCAGAACAGGCTGGGAGGATGCTGCCTCCAGGATGGAGGTTTCTGGGGGCTTTAGAAAGAATAGAAAGAGCTGAGGAGCAAGTGAAAAACCTCCCAGAGAAAACAGAGAGCGATTAAACACAGCCCTGAGATGTGTTATGAGAGAGGATGGATGCAGAACATGGTCTCAGAGACACAGGAACATTTACCATACACCTAAGAACCACAAGCCTTCTTGTATGGTCTGTGCTGGCTATCAGCTGTCAGGAAACAAGGCTCAGCTAAAGCTGGAAGCTGAAGCCAGTCATGCAGCTCCACAGCACGAAGGGAGAGCTGGAGCCTTGTTTTGTCTCTCAGCTGCAAAAACATGGATTTTAACAGAGGGGGGTTGGCTGCTTTGGTCTCAGCAGCTGGAGCGGGGTAGGAAACCCCTAGAAGTGTTCGCATCCCTGAACTGTGGAGTTGCATTGAGTATCTATGAACTACTGCACTTTTCTACAGCTCTAAAAGAGAAAACATATTTGCCTGCTGCTGTGTAAGCACATGGTTAGTGATCCTCTTAAGGAGTATATAAGCAAAGCTTGTAAAATACAAATGCTAAAGTGGGTATGGTGCTACTTTTGCCACTAACTTATGGCAGAGGGATGGAACTAGATGATCTTTAAGACTCCTTCCAACCCAACCCAGTCTGTGATTCTAGGATGGCAGCAGCACACCAATGGAGCGTGTGGGATTTTATCCACTCTGTGAGAACAAGCTAGAAATGTGCACACAAAACTTAATGCCTCGTAAATACAGCTGAGTGTGCCACAATGAGAAATCAAAAGTATGTAATAATACAAACTGCAGCACTTGCAATCCTTCCTGCTCCATACTGAGGCTAGAAGGTTTTCTCCATAGGGAATGCTCCAATATAAATCTGCACATAAAGTTACATCGGTGCCATTTCCATCTCTTGCCAGTACCTGGCTTTCTGCTGGTGCCTTGGATTTCTCCTGCGCCTGGTGAGAGGCAGGAAAATTATACCCTCTTCAGTGAGTATTCACAACAGCCTCCGCAAGTTGTGTTCCAGAGTTGATTAGAGAATGTTAATTCTTTGATTCATCCCAAAACTCAGCAAGGTATGAAGTATCAGCATGAGACAATCAAAGTTACAACACAACACTTGCATTTCCCCATGTCTAAGCTTCAGGTCAGCCAAAACCCTTTAACTGCTTCACCTCTGCTCTTGAAAACAGCAAATGCTACCAGTGCCTGTGCACCTCCATGCAGCAGCGAGGTGAGCAATGCCCACTGCCCACTCTGTGATAAAACAAAGCTGAAAACGTGAAATAGTTCAATTAAACAAGCTTGAAATGGAACAAATGTGAACAAGAATAAACCTCCAGGTCCTTCTATGCAACACAAACTGGTAAACAGAAACACCACGTGAACAGGCTCTAGAGGACATCCCAGGGTGCCTTGAAAGGTTGGCAATGTGGGTTTTAGATCAGCAACTGTGGTCTCAGTTTGAAGAAACAGAAATCTCATACATACCTTGGTCAGCTCTTGCGCATTTGCCAGATTGTCCACAGCAATAGCCAAGAAGACGTTCAGGAGAGTATCTTTTGGGGAGCAGCTAAGGAAAAACCCTTCACATAGCAGATGCAGTAAACTGTTCCCCTGCTGCTGCCACTACCCTTCTTTTCCCACTTATAATCATCAGTATATTACACACTGACCCCTTGCACCACTGCTTTGTCTTCATCTCTAACCCACCTCCTTCTGGAAGACAGCTCTGCAGGACAGTGGACGCTGGACACACATTTGTCTCTTTCCCAGCACAAATCCCTAATGAGGATACACACAGGGGCTTTACAACACTAGAGGTGCCAGTGGTATGAGACCATGTGGTGGTCCTGGAGACAGAAGGGACCCTTATTTTCATTCCAGAAAATCCACACCTCTGGTCCTGCTCATAGACAGGCACACACACACAGGATTTCACCTTCAGTTTTCCCCTCTTGTTTCAAAGAACAATCAGTGGAGCTCCTGGAAATCAGTCATTTTAAAGCCAACATTTGCATTATATATATATATATATATACAGCTATATAAAGGCATAGGGTACCATGATAAAGTTAAGCTCAGATCACTGCTGCATTTCATACTGGCAGGAGGACCCATCATGACTTATCACACTGAAGTTGATATCACAATTAGGCCTCCACAGACATCCCCTATCCTCAGTGCTGCAGCAGCCCACACAGCACAGCTACAGAAGAGCCTGTTAGAAGGATATCCATCTGAAGGTAATGAGTTCTGCTGAGAAACAGGCCTTTAGCCCAGACCAAATTGCATGTAGCCCAGTTAAAGAACTACAGTGTTACTCTAGCTTGGTTCTCTCTGTAAAATACTGCATTATACCACTAAGACATAACATTTGCTTACACTATTAATATTTTACTTTGATTTTTCCATCTAATGATTTCAGCTGTTACTTGTCTCTTCATATATATTGTTGTTATTCCAGCTATGTGTCTGCAATCCAGCACTAAAACAATTGTAAATCAGATACCTCTGCATGTGAAAGGAGAGCAAGCAAAGCAAAACCAAGTCTAAACTGCTTTCCAAGAAGAAACTGAAGGCTTTGAGCAACCTGCTCTAGTGGAAGGTGTCCCTTCCCATGGCAGGGTGCTGGAACTGGATAAGCCTTAGGGTCCGTTCCAACACAAACCAGACTGGAATTCTATGATCTTGCTTTTGTACATTACCTGGTGACAGGAGAGTCACTCCATAGCTGTGTAACACTATGACTGCTCCTCTAAAGATGAATGCACATGAGAATGAGGTTGATTTCATGAGTATTTCCCCAAAGCTTCAAGAGCAATGCGCTGCTGCAGTGTTTGTATTGCACTGTCCTCACCAGAGCCAAATCCCAGTCAGGGACCAGTTGCAGGTTCCTGTAAACTGAGCTAAAGGACTGCAGCAGTTTTACACAACTAACCCAGTTATTTCCTGCTGGTTTAATGTGCCCCCTGTTTTGGACCTGAGTTGGAAGCAATGCCCAAAGCAAGGCTGCAGGGAAGGCAGGACAGTGAGATGAGGTTGGTGTGCACGGGGGAGCCAGGCAATGGCTCCATGAGGGGAGGTGTGAGGTCTCAGGCTTCTGTCAAACCTGCAGTGAGATGCCAGGAAAGCTTCACCTCGGTGCCCCTCTGCTCTCCACCTCTCAGAAGGGTGCTGGAGGAGGCACCTGAGGTTTCCCTACAAGCAGAAGTGCAAGGCTGATTCACTGGCTGCAATTACCTCTGCTGAACAGGAGCCTGCCCAGCTCCATGTTCCAGCTCCATGCTCCAGCTGATCCCTATGCTCCAGCAAACTCCAAAGCAGCAAGCTGGCTGCAGAGCCATTGCCCCACATTGGCATAGCTTCAGGAGACTTCCTAGGGCAGCCAGGGACCAAAGCTGGCCCAAACAACCACCTCAAAGCCTCCTTATTTCCCTCTCAAGAGCATTTATCAAACATTATTCATCCAAGACTTCAGAATTAGATACATCTTCAATTTCCATTGAGATGAATGTCTCCAGAGCCTGAATGCCTATCAAAACTGGAGCCTCTGCTTGTGATAGTAGGAAGCAGGAGCTGTGTTTAATCTCTTAGGATGCATCTGCATCCTGACTGCCAAACCATGCAGGGAACGTGACACAGAGTTTCTCCAGGAAAAGGCCAGGTCATCCATCATATTTTTTTCCATGTCATATAAAATGGGAAGGAGGTTTTTATCGTGTGAAGATAATTCCTCTGGGTCAGAGGTGTAAAACGTGATGCTCATCAACTGCTCCTTCCTCCATTCGAGAAGGACAGCAGGGTGGGAGGACCTCAATTCCAGTGAACCCAGCAGACAAAGAACAAGAAAAAGGGAAAGATAATGCTGAAATTATCACTTTCCTCCTGCACTGAAATCAGAGCTCCATCAAATTCCATTTGCAGAGGTACCCATTTCCTTTTAACCAAGAGCTGGGAAGAGGAACCTGTCACTTGTGGGCTTGGGGTGCAGGCAGGAGGCTGAGGTACCACTGCCCATGGCGACACTGGTTGGGTCTTTTCCTCTGGGATGCTTCTAAGAAGTTGGAAATACTTCCAAGCCTCCTGCTCTGGGAATAAATGCCTCAGTAATAAAACTGTTTTCCTACCCTGCTTGCACACACATGCTGAAAATGTCTCCTGTACCATAACTGACCACTGGAAATAGAATTCATTAATTGTTTTAACAGATCAGGCTGGTTTGACCCATCCCCTAACAGACTTGGGTGTTTCTGCCCCCAGAAAGGTCCCTTGGTCCTTTCTGCAGAGTCTGGGGATTGCCAAACATTCCCCAAACTCCAGACCCTGGTCCAGGATGGATAACCTGGGTAGACCCATGGACCTCTGCTCAGCTGAGCCCAGTAGAGCTTCCCTGCATGGCAGCTAAGAGCACGAACAGCATGAGAAAGTCATCTGCTGCTTTGCATTTCAGGCTCCTTGGTAGGTTTGTGTAGTCTGAGGTTTTTTCCTCAACAGATGCATCCATTTATCAATTAAGTGGAACACGGTGAATACAAGCACAGTGTCATTTCCTAGAAAATCAGCCAAATCCTGCTGTTACTCTGATCATACTGCTTCCATTAAACCACTTCAGACAGACAGGTCTGGCTTCACACAGACTCTCCAACACTGGAAACATAACGTGAGAGTCTTTTGACTTAGAAAAACAAAGTTTCCGCATCTTTTCCTTGCAATAGTCCCTTGAAAGTACAAATGGATTCTAAGAAACAACTGAGAAGCAGGGGAAGCTGGCACCCACACTCCCTTATTCCACATAAAGAACACTCACAATGCCCCAGGCAGCTCTGAGAAAGGAAAGGAGTCCCTCGTGTTCAAAAGAGGTTTTGCAACCAAAACTGACATCACCAATGCCAACTCTCCAGCAAGATTTCATAGAATCTTAGAATCGTGGAACAGTTTGGGTTGGAAAGGACCTTAAGATCATCAAGTTCCAACCCCCTGCCTTGAGCAAGGACACCTCACACTAAACCATGTCACCCAAGGCTCTGTCCAGCCTGGCCTCGAACACCGCCAGGGATGGAACATTCACGGCTTCCCTGAGCAACCCATTCCAGTGCCTCACCACCCTTACAGTAAAGAACTTCTTCCTTATATCCAATCTAAACTTCCCCTGTTTAAGTTTTAACCCATTACCCCTTGTCTTGTCACTACAGTCCCTAATGAATAATCCATCCCCAGCATCCCTATAGGCCCTCTTCAGATACTGGAAGCTGCTCTGAGGTCTCCACGCAGCTTCTCTTCTCCAGGCTGAACAGCCCCAACTTTCTCAGCCTATCTTCATACAGGAGGTGCTCCAGCCCCTGATCATTCTCGTGGCCTCCTCTGGACTTGTTCCAACAGTTCCATGTCCTTTTTATGTTGAGGACACCAGAACTGCACACAGTACTCCAAGTGAGGTCTCACAAGAGCAGAGTAGAGGGGCAGGATCAAGTCCTTCGACCTGCTGTCACGCTCCTTGTGATGCAGCCCAGGATATGATTGGTATTTGATGCAGTTTACCTAAACCCTTAAATATGGTCTCACCAATGCTCAAAAACTGAAAGCAAAATTCTCCATACACAGCAGCCAAAGCGCCTTTTGCTGACCAGCATCCATAAAGGCTTGGACTGATTTAAGTGGTAGTGATACAAGAAAATAAAACCAAAAAGTCCCACTTAAGGAATTCAGCTGCAGTGGATGCTGTGTGGGGAGGGCTGGTGGCAAATTCACAGCTGAGAATTTAAGAGTTGCATTAAAAAAGGACATTATTAAAGCTTATTGGAGGGAGTTCTTTAAAGGCAGAGTGGGAAGAAGTTTGTGAAGCCCCAAGTAAGAGCAGAAAAAACACTTCACATTGATCTATAATTAAGCAGCTTGGACTGACCTCTCTATGCTGTCCACTGGGCTGTGGGAATCTCCTTGGGAAGGTGATCCCGAGGCTCAGACCTGTACCTCACCCTGTACCCCTCCCTGTCCTTAACGTGGCTGCAGCACTGCGGCATCACTGACATTAATGAGTATTTCCCTTCCTGCAAAAATGCAGGACTGCTCTTTTCTGGCAAGCTAAACTTGATTTCCAGATGCTCCTGGTTATGTTTTGACAGTTAATGACAACTTAAGTCCCTGGCAAGTCACACGGTTCAGCTTTCCCTCAGAGATAAATGACTGCCTGCTGCTTGCTCTCAGCATCAGAACTGCCGCTAGTGAAAAGCAGGGGTAGCACTGACCTTACTGAAACACTGTCTGAAATATCAGCACGAGCATAAACAGACCATGAAAAGATTTAACCCCTCATCCTCCACCACAAACCCCAGACTCAGTTTGTCCCTTCTGCCCATGGTGCCTAACGGCAAAATGGTCTGCATGTGATGCAGAAAGGCTTGTACAAACCCTCTGTGAAAGCAGCTGATGTTCAGTCCTGGGCCCCTCACAGCAAGAGAGACATTGAGGTTCTGGAGCGGGGCCAGAGAAGGGCAATGGAGTTGGTGCACGGCCTGGAGCACAAATGTGATGGGGAAGGGCTGAGGGACCTGGGGGGTTCAGATGGAGAAGAGAAAGCTCAGGGGGGACCTGATGGCTGTCTCCAACTGCCTGACAGGAGGATGGAGCCAGGAGGGGCTGGGCTCTGCTCCCAAGGAACAAGGGATGGGACAAGAGGAACCGGCCTCAAGCTGCACCAGGGCAGGTTTAGATGGAGCTGAGGAACAATTCCTGCCCCAGAGGGTGCTCAGGCATTGGAACAGGCTGCCCAGGGCAGGGCTGCAGGCACCGTCCCTGCAAGTGCTCACACAGCGTGGAGACGAGGCCCCAGTGCCATGGGTTAGTGGTGGCCTTGGCAGTGCTGGGGTAAGGGTTGGACTGGATGGGATTAAAGGGCTTTTCCAACCTGTCTGGTTCTGGGATTCTATTCTATGCTCTCAGACTAAGTTTCTACAATCTGGGCCAGGTCTCCAATTCTCAAACAGGGATGTAAATCTCCATAGAAATTAATAGATATGCTTTAGGTTTGTAACTCTGTTCACTAGAAACTGGTGAAAGCCTTCTTCCAGGACATTATAAAAGGGTTTCTGAGTGTTGCTTACTGTCAGCCAGGTTTCCTCTCTTTCTGTGTTTGTATAAAGTCACCTGCAGCAAACTTATCCCTGTCAGCAGGACTCAGAGAATTAAAGCATTGTACCTGACATATCCTCCTTGCTCAGCACACAGGAGCTGAGATAAAGATATGCAACCAGCATGTGACTGCGGGCAAGGGGGATGAGAGGGGCACTGGAGATGGTCCCAGGGAAGCAGCCAGAAAATTCACCCCCTGGATTATCTCAGCAGCAGGACAGCAGAAACACAGCATCCCAGCCTGGTTTGTGTTGGAAGGGACCTTAAAGCTCCTCCAGCTCCAACCCCTGCCATGGGCAGGGACCCCTTCCACTGGAGCAGCTTGCTCCAAGCCCCTGTGTCCAACCTGGCCTTGAACACTGCCAGGGATGGGGCAGCCACAGCTTCTCTGGGCACCCTGTGCCAGCGCCTCAGCACCCTCACAGGGAAGAGCTTCTGCCTAAGAGCTCAGCTCAGTCTCCCCTCGGGCAGGTTCAAGCCATTCCCCTTGGCCTGTCCCTACAGGCCCTTGTCCCAAGCCCCTCTCCAGGTTTCCTGAAGCCCCTTTAGGCACTGGAAACGGGAGGGAAAGCAAGACAGCTGCTGTCTGCCAGGAAGGTGCTTAGGGAGAACATGAGTAAGGTTTTGAATCACCACTTTGCCAGGGCAAGCAGAGGCAAATACCAAATTCATGGCAGTGGCAATAGGTGAACCAGGTCCTTACTCCCTCCTCTTGAGCATCCCCTGTTCTTTCTCTTTTTAATGAAAACTAAAGGATAAGCATGACCCCGCTTCTGAATTAAAGGTGCAAGAAGGGAGTTCTATCCTTTTCCTCAAAAGTGCTGGGTCTTAGCTGCTCTGAGGTAAGTATCTCTCTCAGCTCTGCTGTCAAGCCTGATTATAGCTTAATCTCATTTTCAAATGCCAAGCCATGAGGATTTAGAGATCTCCCTCCCTCCCAGCTCTCCATTGACCCACTTTTCCAAAGCCCTGTCTTTCTGAAGGGGGCACGAGGCGGATGTCTGAGCAGAGCTGTGGAGCCAGCCCCAGCATCACGTCTGCTCCGGCTCTGACAGCACACGCTAATGGGATAAATCCCTCAGAGACACGCTTGTGTGACAGGCACGGCTCGCACTCTGTCTGCTCCTCTGTTCCCTGCCTTCGTTCTCATGCTAATAGAGAGTTTTCAGGCAAAAGAGAGGGCTGGAGCTCTGCCATGTACTCCATGGGCACTGGTGTCTCATCTCAGGGTCGATAACAACTCTACATCTTTAGCATAAGTATTGCCCCCGATGTACACTTCCCTTTCTCCTAGGTACTCAGCCAATGCTGCCACCCAAACAGGGCTCCTAAGGAAAGATGAACGCTGGGATTGCCACTAACAAGGTTCACACTGCTGGGAATCCCTCCACAGAGCAGCACTGCTTAGTGTTCTTATCCCCATTACACAGAACAAGCAAACCAGCCAGGCTGCCTCACATACACAACAGGTTTTAAGGTTCCATTGTTAAGGATGCTCTGATTCAACAGAGCTTGTCACTGCAGCCAGCAAGCATCTTACACCAACGATTCTGTACTATTTAATGTGAGCAATGCTATGCAACATTGACCCACTATCAGCCTCCGTCATGAGACAGGAACTGAGCCATCACAATTGCCGAGCTCTCCTGGCTCTCCTTATACTCAGCCTCAGATCAAAGAAACCCTGCTCATTTTGGCATAAAACACAACCTCCCTTTCCAAATTCCATCTCTGACTGCTAAATTCTTGCCTCCTTAGGCCTCTCTGGAGACACAACACACGTCAGAGTGCTGCTGGTCCCAGAAGACACCCTGGGACATTTTTGTCCCAGTTTCCTGTTGCCCTCAAGAGATTTTCATGACTAAGCAGAACAAAACATCTTCAGACACTTCATGTGTCAGTTCTTGGAACACAACCAAATACAGAGCCCAGAAACCAAGATCTGGACTTAAGTTTTTAGCATTAATGTGGAGACAAGAGAATTTCAGGTGTTTGGAAGAACACAACTGGTTAAGCTGCTGTATGCAGACAAAGGCTCCAAGAGATTGGAGCCTGATGTACACACCAAACTAACTTCAGTTCTTCCTTCCGCTGACCTAGTGCAAACCTTCTTGGAAGGTTATTCAAGCTACACAGGTCCTGCTCTGATTTGACTTCGATCAATTTTCCCACAACACAGATTAACTCATAATAGGACAATCTTTAAGTAAACCACAAAAAATGAAATGAATGAAGACTATGCTCACACTGCCATCAGAAAAGTGACACCAACTTGGACAACTCACCTGTGCCTTTTACCCTGCAGAGAGCAAACTTACAGCAATCGTTTGGGTTTAAAAAGTCCGATGGTGTGAGAATTCAGACAAAATTAGGTATTTCTAGCACCCCATGAAGGGTGTATGGCCCACTGTGCCTTTAACACAAGACAACGTGTAAGGATACAGTTACCAAACAACGTCAGGACGATGAAGTAAATGGAGGAGAACATCCCCGAGCGAACGCCGCCCTGTGACTCTATCCCATGGTACATCACAGCATTCCAGTCTTCCCCTGTCAGGATCTGCACAGCAAAAGTTGAAAGAGAAGAAATGGTGAGTCATAGGAAAGACAAAGCCAGGAAGGTTTGGGGGAACTGAACTAAGCAGCTTGATGCAATCCAGGACTGGTTTCTAGGTGGAAAATGCATGAGCATGTTAGTGGGCAGGCTGCACTGTTGGACATCAAACTCCAGCCCTGGATGGCTTCACCCCAGGATGGATGCAGCTTTCTCCTCTGGCATGAGCTAAGGAGCAGGGATGATCACTGGTGAGGGACTCCCATTGTCCCATTCCTTCCTGCTCTTGGTTACGTGCCTGCTGCCCACCTCCAACCACAGGCTCTCATGCACAGCACTTCAACTCCAGCAAGACTTCCCACCTCTCCGTTTTTAAGTCATGTGGAGATACCAGGTTTCAACAGCTCCGTGCACAGCATCTCCCCCACAGACCTCCAAAACCTCTGACCACTAAGACCTGAGTGGAAACTCTGCCAGTATCAACTCCTTTCACTGACTTCATACAGCAAAGGTTTACTCAGCTCCTGCAGCTCTCTTCCACTATTCCTCTGTTCCTCAGGGCTGCAGACACACAGTCCTGGTACACACATGAACATTACTGCAAAAGCCATTCACTGGGCAGCAGAACCACTGCCAGGAGGTTGCACACAATAGATTCTTCTCCAGGTTTGGTGTTTGCTCAGGCCAGAGGGACCCTTCAGCCACTCAGATGGCCACAAACACAAAAACACCCTTAAGCAGAAACAATAACTGATGTGCATGAGTGAGGCTAAATGAGGGTAGCTTGAAGGGGACTCTGATCCTCCTCTGTGCTCACCTTGTATAGAGGTGAGCACAGCCTGGCTCTGCAGAGCTGTCCTGGCTGCAGGCTCTGCACACTGACCTGAGGCTAATGAGCAAACACATCAATAACAGCAAAACTGATCAGAGCAAGTGAAACGCCTAAGACTCAAATCACTGCCGTGGTACATGCTGATCTTGCACCATCTGAGTCCCCTGCCATTCCTGGTCTTCACCAGTGACTGCAACAGAGCAACATTTTGGGCACATCAACACTTCATCTACCTGCCATGGCAGTCAAGGGTAGTCACTCTCAGCATACTGTAAGATGCCTATTGGGTTGTGAAGCTCAAATTCCTAAATAGAAAGTTGTCTTTATATTTAGTAGAAGAAAATAAAATAAGAACCAAAAAAAGCCCAAAGCATGATGCATGTTGTAGTAACCAAGCCCCACGTGCATGCAGCACACTCAAAACAATGACACATTCCAAACTAGTCATCATCTGCTGACAGAGAGAAAAACTCTTGCTGCAGGGTTGGTGCTGCTGATGGCTGCAATAGGCTGTGAGTAAATCTATTCAAGGACATACAGTGCATACCCCAACTTGTATCCTAAATGCAAAATCTGGCCGCAAATAACTCAGAGACCACAGTTCAGAGCCCGAGCCTAACCCATAGCATTAGAACTACTCTGGATTTACATCAGAGATTAGGAACCAGAGCACTGGGCTTTCAATTCTGGCACTCAATTATGCAAAGCACTGTTCACAAACTTGCGTTCACATAATTCCCATGAATCCTCAATTGTTCCTGCTTTCTGTGAATAACCATAAAGTGATTTCTGTTTACACAAACATTCATGGAAAAGGAAAGCAGGGGCAATGTTTCTATGCCCTGCAGAAGACCAGGGCTTGCAGGTATCACAAACTACAACTTCACATAAGCAAGTCCAGGTGGTTAGTTTACTTATCACTCTGCAGAAGTCTGACTGGGCAAAGATGAGGATGCTCTAGTGCCCTGGCAAGAGGACAGATACTTTGACCTGGTGTCCTTCCCACTGCTCATGCTGTCAGCCATCAACTGGAGGAATTCCTTAAGCCATTATGTAGCAACCCTCAAGGATCAGAACACATGCAGTAGGTAAAAGGCTTTCTGCTCTATAAAGTCTCTGTTTATGGATGCTATAAGAACTTCTTGCTATAGTAGAGAAAGGATAACATTGCAAAAGGAGGGGGTGCAAGCAATGAGGAGTTTGGAGTGAGATGAAACCCAAACATCTTGTTTTTCCCTGGCCTCAAAACTGCTTTTGCTGCCCCAAATGAACATTCTGTGGAGTGCCTCTCATCAGTTAACACTTAGGCTTAGCTGAGGAGCCACCAGGTGATGGAATAAAAACAACTGTCAAGAGCTGCTGTGAAGCCTTAATGGACTAGTGAGCACATTAACAGTGGGAGACACTCAGCTGTGGAGGAATCATGCTGCACCATTCCAAAGGGCTGTCCTCAAAGAGAAATGCTTTCCTGAGGAAGGGCCTGAGTAAATGCAAAATCAGTATCAGACCTCTCAGGCAGGTCAGTGAGGGCAGCCGAAGCACTCAGACATCCAACCAAAACCACCTCTGCTTCCCAAACCTCAGCAGGGCACCCATCAGCAGAGCTGAGGTTTGGTCCCATCCTGCCACTATGACTCCTCACCTCCAGTGGTCACCGGTGATCTGCCTCTTAGCAGCCAGCAGCATGTGATTACTCACATAGCAGCTCTGAGGGAGGAGAGCATGTGTAGTTAACTGTCCTGGGTTTAGCAGTAGCAGTCAATTTTTCTCCTTAGTAGCTGGTGCAGTGCTGTGTTTTGACTTTCAGCCTGGGATCAGCGCTGATAACACTGATGTTTACTCTGACCAAGGACTTTGTGAGCCTCATGCTCTGCCAGGGAGGAGGGGAGGCCAGGAGGAAGGAGAGACAGGACACCTGACCCAGACTGACCAAAGAAGTATTCCATACCACAGCACGTCATGTCTGGGATGTAACTGGGAGTTACCCGGAAGGGCACTCTCTTCTCGGTCGGGCTCGTTTCGGTAGGTAGTATTGTATTCTCTTCCCTTGTTAATTCCTTTAGCATTAGTGGTAGCAGCAGTGGTTTGTGTTATACATTAGTTACTGGACTGCTCTTATCTCAACCCATGGCAGTTACATTCTTTTGATTCTCCTCCCCATTCCTTTGGATTGAAAGGAAGGAAAGAAGCGGGGGGGGGGAGTAGAAACTGTGTTGCTGACCGCGACATTAACACACTTCCTTCTGCTTTTTAGAGTCTCTGCACTTATGGATATTGCACACACTTCCAACTCGATTGCTGGAACAGGGAGATGCAACTAGTTATTTTTCATGTGTATGTACATCAGCATGGAATGGTTTGGGTTGGAAGAGACCTTAAAGCTCCTCCAGCTCCAACCCCTGCCATGGGCAGGGACCCCTTCCACTGGAGCAGCTTGCTCCAAGCCCCTGTGTCCAACCTGGCCTTGAACACTGCCAGGGATGGGGCAGCCACAGCTTCTCTGGGCACCCTGTGCCAGCGCCTCAGCACCCTCACAGGGAAGAGCTTCTGCCTAAGAGCTCAGCTCAGTCTCCCCTCGGGCAGGTTCAAGCCATTCCCCTTGGCCTGTCCCTACAGGCCCTTGTCCCAAGCCCCTCTCCAGGTTTCCTGGAGCCCCTTTAGGCACTGGAACTGCTCGAAGGTCTCCTCAGAACCTTCTCTTCTCCAGGCTGAACAAGCCCAGCTCTCTCAGCCTAGAGACAAACTACAGTTTGTTTGTATTTTGTCTATGCACAACTTGGCATTCAGCTCACAAAGACTTCCTTGGGAGGCAGAACCTGCAGAAAAACACATAATGCTCTTCAAAGGGCATCTAGGGAGAGCTGTGCTCAGCTGCACCCAGCACTGAGCTCAGCCAACTCCAGGTGACAAAAATACCCGGAGACGCGTGACAGGGGACTGTGACCCAGCCAGATCTGCTGAGATCAATGGGGCTATGGCAGGCTGCAGAACACTTTAAACCTTCTTCTCAAACAAAGACTCTCCAAAGAGGTTAGGAACAGACAGGCTGTATCTGGCTTTATTATGTTTGTTCAACGCATCAAATGCATTCACTGAATGATGCTATTCTGTTCATTAGAGCAGCAACTGAAGAAGCCCGCTTTGCTTCTTGCCCGAGTTTATGAAAACAAGGTTAGAAGAGAATTCAAAGCCCATATTGAAGAAACATTGACACATAATTTGCAGTTCAGTGGAGGAGGGGGAATGGACTGGGAGCAGAGCTTATCAAAAGGCTGCTCTGAGCTTATTCAGTGTTGACGGGTTTTGCAGGTTTTAGTTCATAGCTCTAAGTTTCTATACAAATGTCACCAAATGAACAGTGTTTTCCTTCATCCCACAACCACTGTGTTACAGGGGTGTTTGCCTCAGGGATAGAAAGGAAATGTTTCAGCTAAGTACTCTCTATAGTATTGTTCTATTCCCAAAAGCAAACTAAAACACGAACACTTCCAGAGGCTCATATCTGGAGCCTGACTCAGGATTGGTTCTGGCTTTGTGGCAATACCTTTACATTTCTATAAGCCCTTCTTTGATGAGTACCAAAAATACCATGCAAATACTAATCTACCATGATTTGCAATACCCTGTGAGGTTAGCACTTCCAAACCTGCTTCACTTCTGGAGAGAAGCAATACCCATAGGAAGGTCATGATGATCATAGAACATGTTTTCTTTTAGAGTCTTTTTCTGGTTTAATCAAAATATTTTCATCAATTCCTTGCTTCCCTCCTTTTTCTGCCCTCTTCTAGGGACATGACACTGAAATACATAATCCAAGCCTTGCTGAGACCTATGAAAGTTTGGATCTAAGGTCAAGACTACATCAAGAATAGGCCAATGCTATAAATGCCAGGTAGTCTTCCACAGAGCTGTGTTACACATGGAACAGGGTGCAGCACCCTCAGATCTTTGCTGAATCACCTGAAATATCTGGTTTAATACAGGCATGCAGAGAACAGCTGCAAAATCAGGCTCTTAAATCTGAGCAGTGCTGCTGCCAGAATTGCAGACTTCCTCCTGCCATCACACAAACCTGCCCAAGGCTGATGCCTCTTTCTGAGCTTCCCAATTGACCGTAATTCTTATCCAGCATTATTTTATCTTGAGCTGTTACACTGCAAAATGCTCCATTATTTCCTCACTGCCTGGAGCTAGCTCAGGCCTCTCTCCTCATTATATTATGGCAACCACAGGAGAAAGGGAAACAGGTCAACCACTGTCTAGGATTGCAGAAAGGACATTGATGCAGCAGGGCACATGCAAGTGCTGTCATCCCAGCATGCAGCCCCAGGCAGGGGCCTAAGAAGAGAACATGGGCACAAACAGACTTTAAGCCAGGCTCAGAAATGTCTATTTAACCAAATGCCTATTCTGTTCCAGTTTTCTTTAATTCACCATAAGCAGGAAGAGATGCCCAGGAATTCATTTTCTCCCAGGACAAGGTACAGCTTTACCTGGAATACTGTGAGGATGGCAGCAGGGAAGGTATCAAAATTCGTGGTTGGTGTTTCATCTTGGAAATTGAATCTAGAAAGAAGAAATAAACCCAAGAGCAGTAAGGGCCAAGCAGGTCTCTAATACCCTGTAAACTGAGTCAGGGAACAACATTTGTTCTACCTGGCAATAACACCCCGGGCAATCACAGAATCTCTGAGATGATACTTAACAAAACTATTAGCAGAAACTCAATTTCATTGCTGAAGAATACTTTGACATTCATTTTCACCCGCAATTAAAAGGAACAAGAGAAACCTCAAAGGATTTTGCAGAACGAATCACTCCAAGAGGTTTTTGGCTTTAAGTGTGGAATTCAAACCTGAAATTGCCCTTTTAGCAGATTATTTCATTTTAATATTTTAAAGATAAAACAGTAAATGTCTGAAAAAACAAACAGACAACAAACATTTTCTCATTTCAAAGCCCATGCTGCAGCTCAAATGGTAATATTTTGATATTTCTTGTTGCAAAATTCATCACAAACAACATTTCTAATGAGAAAAAAATCATCTTCAGCAGAACTGTGTTTTCCAGAAGAAAAATATTCCAAGTGAATAAATTCAGGGAAAAGAATTTGCCTTTTCCCTAATGGTAGCAAAAAATGCTGCCTCCCCAGCCCTGCTCCAGAGCTCTGGGTGCACATGGGGACCATGGAATGACACAGGAGCTTCAGTTAGGGTAACTAGAAAGAATTCAGCTCCAGGTAAAAGAGTAGAAGAGGATTTGCTTTCCTATAAACCAGCGACCACTTCTCAGCATCCTACGAAGTCTGACATCTGTACCCAGGATGTGAATCCTTCGTCCCTGCAGACCCTGCAGCATTCCATGTGCTTGCTTTCAGATTACCCCTGAAAGGATAACAATGAATTACACTTACTGTCCTCCAAACAGCTGCATCCCCAGCAAAGCAAACACCACAATGAAGAGGAAGAGCAGGAAAAGCAAACTGATGATGGACTTCATGGAGTTCAGTAAGGAGACCACCAGATTCCTCAGGGAATTCCAGTACCTGCATTGGAGATCAGAGCAGCAAGGAGAGAACATGAGAGGGAGAAGAGCCTCTAGTGAGAAACTAATACAATCTATTATTATAGAAAAGGAAAAGAATGGCCAGGAGTATCAGCATCTTTAAATGACTCCCCATGACTGGAAAATACAGCTCACTGAGGAGCAAAATCTCTTGTAAGATCTCAAGGGCAGAGATGGCCACCTCGGTGGACGTGTACCCATGCAGAGCAGTTGTATGCAGTGGCAGTGTTTGGTTTAATTCCTCAGTAACTCCTTTCTCGATGCAGATTTCAACCTTTCTGTATCTTCTCCTCCAGCATGGCAGCCAGCAGGGTTGTCCAACCAGGGATGTATCCATGTCATGAATGGGACAGCGAAAACCTCCCCTTGTAAGACACAAATCAGTTCATTTCCAGTGTGATGTCTTTGTGGTGCTCGTCCAGCTTGTCAGATGCCAATACCCAGAAGTGGACTTAAACTCCCACATGTTCAGACATCTATGATTTCTGTAAATGCTCCACACACGCATTCATGCACAATGAATCCATTCCATTCACGCACGATGCCTTCACTGTGGGGCAATTCAACCACATGGTTTAAGCATACAGGACCAAGCAACAGCTTCGGACAATGAAAACAGATCTGGGACATTAACTCCAACTTGGCAAGAGGGAATGGCTCAGCATGAATCCTGCCTGACACATGCAAGTCACCTCTGGCCAGATACTGAAGTTAGTTTGCTTTTATCCCTCCTGTCCCCTGAGATGGCTCCGGGCACACTCGCAGGCAGGCATGTCGAGTGACAACGTGCGGGAGGGTGCTCAGGAACAGCTCTTTCCTGGCTTTATTGCCCTGCTGGGAACAGGCAGGGAGCATTTATATTAGGAAAACTAATGAATCAGAAAATGCAGAAAGAGCTATCAGGCAGGGGAGCTCTTTGACAATCTCCTTTTGGACAGACAGGCAGAACAACAGGGCTGGAGCAGACAGGAGGGATCGAGTGATTTAGAGCCATTTACGTGTCCTCTGATAAAAGTTTTGAGACCATGGGGGAAGATTTTCCTCTCTTTTTGTGCAGTGACTTCCCTCTTCTCCACCACCCAGCACCAAGAGCTGCCATTTGGAGGTCACTCTCAGCAGCAGCAGCTCTAGCACCCTGGCCTGTATGTCCTCTGGCTGAAGTTTCAGGGACAGATGCATGCTAAGCTCCCTCCCACAGTGCAGCTGTGGGTATCCAGCAGAAGGAAACCCATGGATTCCTCCTCTCTGATGGGGAAAGAAGCTCAGAGCTTGAGTCAGAAGCACAGAAACACCATCCTTTCTCTTCATCTTTGTTTCGCTCCTCTTCAATCCCACAAGTGTAGCTGGGAGAACTGAACCACCCCATGTTTCTCTGTGCTGCGGATGACACTGACGCATGCATCCCAGGAGAAGCAGGATCTTACATCCCCATTGACCCATTCCAAGAAAAGTTAAGTCATCGTACAGTGACAGAGAGTTTCAGGTAAACTCTCAGGACCAAATCTAGTTAGGGTTAGCTCTTCAGCAAAAGGGGCTGAGCTTCTAGCATTGGAGATGGAGGAAGCGTTTGCTGCTCACATGGCTCTCCCCCGTTTGACCCACTGGCTTCAGGCAATGCCTGCCACAAAAGCAGCTAACACAACCGGGCATGAAATACATGGGGAGGCTCTGTCTCGCCCTGGAATAGCTCACCACCAAATCCTGCCTGACTACATAGAGCCAGGATATAAATAGGAGCTGCATTTCTGTAAGTGCCAGTCCCCATTCAGTTCTGTGATGACAAAGAGGAGAACATGTGAAGCTGTTTTCTTCTTGTCCTCTTTGCTGGATTTTAGCCCTTCTTTAGCTGTGTCCACTCATAGTGCAGCTTTCTGCCACGTTTCAGGCTGACTGTAATTTAACTTCTTAACTATTGCATCACTCTGCTCTCTGCAGTCACTGATTTGAGAGAGAGATGAATCAGAAGGTCTAATACCATCGATTATTCAAGGCATTGGAGTGGAACTGGCTTCTATTAAACACAAAGGAAAAAAAAAACAACAGGACATGGAATTTCAGAGGAAAGTTTCTATGGAAGAGATGGAAAAAGGAAAACTGCTGAGGGTCAGGATGTAAAATAAAGACTGTAATGAGAGCACATAGGCAGCAATCTGTGCCTTGTGCCACTGCTTTGGTCACTCTCCATGAATGATGCTAGGGCTGAGCTGGTCAGGCACTGGGGTAATGTGGCCCAGCAACAATGAGCTACCTCCATGTGAGCTGGGGGTGAGACATGGCTTCTGGTAATGAAATGAACACATTTGTCACGTCAGGTTCAAAAATAACATGGTGAGGTCAAGGGAACTTCAACATCAGTGGGGTGAGAGTTTCATTGGCTGTTCTAAGAAGGGGAATAGCACTCAGCTGGTTCCATGATGTGCTTTGCTAAGTTAAATCTCAGGCCTAAACCTTTATTATGTTGGCTAAAACCCTGAATAGTCAAAACTTGCAAGAAAGATCATTTTAGCATGTAAAAATGTCCAAAATTACTCAAAAGTACAACACACAGTCAGATACATTGAATCTCAGTAGCTCTGGATAAAATTAACTGTTGACTTGCTATGAATTTCCTACAAATCCTGGAGTTTTCCATAACCAGCAGTAGCTCACAGGTAAACTACAGTGATATTTGTGGGGCAAGCATCCACCTGTTTTGCTGAACATTCATAGAACTTCCCATTTCCAACTCCTTTGTCCCCCGGTACAAATAACACAGTGTTGCACACAGCTCTTGGTTCTATGTGATGGTTAGCAAATACAAACGAGCAAATCTTGCAGAGCTGACAAAACCCATGTGCCTGAAAAGCTGTGAAAGTACCTGGGTACTTTAAATTACTGTTGTTCTCAACTGTGATAACTTGTGTTCCATCAGTTTGAGATGGCTGGGTTTGCTTTGGAGGGAGGTGCTGTTCCACCTTTCGTTACTTTAAGCTAAGAAAAACTCAGGAAGTGATGGAAAGAGGGGAGATATGAGGAGGTAATGGTCTAAATGGTGTAAAAAAAAAAAAAGAGAGAAAAAGGTGGAAAACAACAGCAGCATCATCAATTTTCACACCATAATTTTGAAATCCTGAAGAAATTGCTCTAGATGGATTTCTAAATTGCTACTGCCAGCACATGTTAGTGCAATGCATGAGCATGAAGACAACTGAAAAGCTGGGGCAACCCAACTCTAGTGACAATTCAGCTTCTCAGGCTCAAGACTGAAAACCTCAGACATACCCAGAGCAGACAAAGCACAGGCAGCAGCAACACACTTGTGTGAACACAGTGGTTCAGGTGCCAGGATTTGGTATCTACCAATAATCAAGGGAGGTTGGTATCTCCTAAATACTTAAGGAACAGTTACTGGCTCAGCAGCAGAGAAGGACAGTGGGCAGCTTATGGAGCTTAGAAAACTGATAAACTTTTTTCTCTTATCACAAGAAATAAGGAATCAGCTTGTGAGATTTTTGTTTCAAGGAAGCCTAAAACCAAAGAAAAGAAGGATGCTGTCATGCTCATCACTGCACCGTGAAGTGGAGCGGAGTCTTCTACCCAAGGACAAACCTCTACGAGATCCTGGGGAAAGGGCTATTAAAAGTTCTTGTGGATGCCAACACAGGCTCAGGAACTCCTTAAACTGCCAGAAACATAGATAGCCCAGCCAAGGAAAGGGCACTTCTCTTCCTGCCCCCTATTAGGGCCAGTGCAGACGTACAATGTTAGGACTAACAAGAGTGTTATCCTGCTGATGATACAGGTTCCATATGATGCTAAAAGTCTAATCTGAGCAGAAGGGGAGATGGACTTACTTTGTTACTTTGAATATCCTCAGCAGTCGAAGCGCTCTCAGGACACTGATGCCAAATGAGGTACCTGGTTTCACTGCAGCCCAAATGACTTCAAATATACTTCCCACGATCACCTGCAACAAGAGTCCATTTTACATAAAGCAAAACTTCCGCTTAGTTCTTTGTGGTTCACCTGAGGAGGCTGATGACAGAGCAAGAATCAGCAATATCATGAGTTAGACAACACTAAAAGACCTTGTTCCAACTTCTTAAGGAACTTCTGTTTGAGGAGAGGGGCTTTGGACAAGGACCTGTAGGGACAGGCCAAGGGGAAGGCTTGAACCTGCCCGAGGGGAGACTGAGCTGAGCTCAGGCAGAAGCTCTTCCCTGTGAGGGTGCTGAGGCGCTGGCACAGGGTGCCCAGAGAAGCTGTGGCTGCCCCATCCCTGGCAGTGTTCAAGGCAAGGTTGGACACAGGGGCTTGGAGCAAGCTGCTCTAGTGGAAGGTGTCTCTGCCCGTGGCAGGGGTTGGAGCTGGAGGAGCTTTATGGTCCCTTCCAACACAAACCAGGCTGGCATTCTATGAACTTTTTGCATTTCAGTCTACAAAAGGGCAAGACCAAACACCAACACTTGATTTTCCCACCCAATGCAGTATAGTCAGTACAGCCTGCAGATGCCGGGGACACTGCCCCATCCTCCCCTTCCCATCTGAAACACCAGAAGTCTTTCACATACAGCAGTGCAGAAGCTGTGTATGAAGAGTTCATCCACAGTGCTCCACACCTGATACTAATGAAGCATCAGGTGTGGGCAAGATTACCCGAAACTTCTGGCAACTGAGAGTCTTTAGGAGAGCAATTAAGGTAATAGCTATTAAGAGATCCTGAAAATCTCTAGCACGTACAGCCCATCATCAGGTAGGCTCTCAGGTTATTAAAAAAATAGTCCTAAATTAAGGTGATTTTTAAGTTTTGTTTTGTTTCCTTGTTTTAATGTTGGCAGAGAATTAACTTCAAGTGATAAGGAAATCTCTGAAATCCCTTATTACAAAAAGCACAAAATAACCCCTAATGGGTTAAGCACAATTGCAAAGGACAATTATATCCACACAGGTTACCGCACAGTTAATAAGACAGGCATTTGGCTGCCAACTGCAGTTATTACTTGCATTAACCCAGCATTTCAGAGCTCCCATTGACCACGGTCCCCAGTTGCATGAAGCACCATAAACACGTTATCACCAGCCCCCTTGCAAGCAGCTGGCTTGTGTTGTGAGAGGGAGCCTTAATGGGAACTCAGTGCTGGAAGAGCTGTGTCTGAGTACCTGAGCAGTGCTGGGAGACTCAGCAGCTTGCAAACAAACCCTTCCTAAACAGAAACTTGGATGTTGTTTCAAAACTACAGCACTGCTTGTAGCTTCTCTGCAACAAATGCTGTACCCTCAGCTTCGAGAGAATGCAGAGGAAAGGCAAAGGCACAACAGCTGCTGCTCCAGTCCATCCCATCAGAAAAAGAAGGAGCTAAAACTTCTCTCCCACAGTCTTTCACTCTTGAGACTCCCTCATGAATCAGCAGAAACCTTTCCTGAGACACTCCATATGTGTCTCCTTTGATAATTCATTTTACTGTCATCTCCACACGGCCTCCTGGGAGCTTGTTTCACATGAGACCCCACTGGACTGTCGCTCCCAAGACTGGTGCCGCTGTGATTTGTTGTTTCACTTTTTGCATTTGAATGGTTTCATCTTGATGGTTTGTCAAACTAAACTGACTACAGATCCCTGTGATGTCCCAGCGGGGGTGATGTAGCTGAATTAATTCTGGAGGCTGGAAGGTGGGCGAGGAGGAAGAAGCATAGATAGAAGCTGGATCCCTATGGATTCCCTAAAGAAGGAAGACTTAGACCAACAGCTTTACCTCCTGGGAAACACTCAGCAAACCTTATTTCTAGTGCTTAACTCACAATAGCATGATGCAAAGCAGAGAGACCAATAGGTTCATTTCTTGCTTAGGGCAAGCTCTTAATTCTCCCATAACAGGAGGCTGGAACTAGATGAGCTTTAAGGTCCCTTCCATTCTAGGATTCTATAATACCTGTAGCCTTGGATTTAGGAATGGTCACTTACTGAAGGTAAGGACACTTCCTCTCCTCCATTGCCAGAGCAAACCTAAAGCAAGGAATTTTGCTCCATGGGGGAGAAGAATCACTCCCAGGGTTTTGGCAGATAAAGACTAGAAACAACAGACTAAATCTTGGAGAGAAGGACTGGATGATATGTACAATGATCTGTTTCCCTCTTGCCTGTGGCTGTATCATAAGCTTCACATCTGGTTTGCTAAAGAAACCTTCTAGACTGATTCCAGCTCTGGGATGCAATGCTCAGCCCACTCGAAAGGTAAGAAATGCTGACTTAACCTCTGTGAGGACACCTGACAGCCTAATAGCTTTCAATGACTAAATTAACATCTTCATGCAACATTCCATGTTAGACAGAGTCAAAACTGACCCCATCATTGACACTTCAATGCTGTAGTTCTAACATGAAGAGGAGAGCCTTTATTTCTGCAGTAAAAGGATGTTAATTATTACCTTTCTGTCACCTAATCATGTGTTTATACTGCTGCTTCTGGGCACTCATGTCTGAAAAGTGCTGCCTATGTATCTTGAGGTAAAGGCCATTAAATGGTTGACTGGGGAGGTAAGCAATAAGATGGGGGGGGGGGGGTTGTCTTTCAATCACCTCATTTAAATGGGAGAGAGAACCTCTCAGTTAATCAGAGCATTTACTGGTGCTGATGCTGCGAACACCCTCTAGCTTGATGAGGAAATGCAATCCCCAGCTGTCACACTTCTTCAAAAAGGATGATAACTAGGGGAAGCTTAATGTGTTTCATTGCAGCTCATTTATACAATGACAGCTTCCCACAGAAGGCACACACACAGCACCGTTTCCCATGGATTCCCACACTCACCCCTAAATGCCCAGCCCCACTGGATAAAGGGAAGACCACACGTTCGTCCACACAGACTTACCCCAAAGTCAAAGCAGTTGAATGAAGAGTGGAAGTAATTCCTTGGCCCCAGCCCATACATCTTCAAAGACATCTCCGTAAGGAACAGACCCAGAAAAACAAACTCTGCAAAATCTGCAAACAGGAGAAGAGATTAAATTAGTCCACAGGACCTCGGTAGGCAGATCTCACCATGTGGGGAACAAGGGGAATTGTTCATAACACTGACTGCCTCCTGCCAGGAGAAAATCCCTCTGGAATGGCAAACAGGACCCCGAGGACAGTTTCACATAATTATTTCTATACGCACCATGAGCTGTATTCAGTCTTCAGGAACTGTGAAGGCAGTGCTTCATGTGTACTCTGGAAAGGTGGTATGAGCATTAAATAACACCCTCATCATCTTTGTAAGGGAGTTTCAAAAGAAAGCTCTGGATCTAAAGGTCTCATTGCTAAAGGTCTCATTTAATTGCACAGATAATGCTTTGCAAATATGTGTTTGGGACTTCTGTACCTACACATGACAGGCACTTTCGGGAGCAGGGTGTAAGCTTTTGTAACATCCTCTCATGATAAAAATACCTTCAGATGCAATGGAACTGCTGCCTCTGAGAGCTCATATTCAGAGGTGTTGTGTCTACTGTTAGCACGTAACCACATTTATTTTTATTATGCCAGTATAACCATATAATTATGGAAGAACAAGTTTTGTTCCCTTCTGCTTCACATAGCACAGGCAAATAGGCTGTGAAGTTTTTGATGAGGAAATTTATCACCTATGATGAAACAAAGGGCAGAAAGAAAACATAGCTGGAGACTGCAATTTCCACATCAAGTTTTTAGGTCTTGAAGCTACAGAAAACACTGCCTTTGGCATTTTAAGTCATGCAAGTATAAACCTGGAGGCCAATAAGCAACAGCAACAATGGAATATTAAAAAACAAACATGAAAAGAGCAAAACCCCCTCTACATTACCAAAACAAACCAAATAGCGTAAGGTAAACCTCTCCCTCTAGAGAAACGATGAGGAAAAGAATCAGACTTCACAGAATGGAGATGAATCACATTGCTTAGTGCAGTACAGAAGGTTCTCAGTTGCTGGAGCTGCTTAGATGCTACAGGAAAGTTATCTTCTATAATTTCAGCTTTATTATTTCAGGAATAATAAGGACGGTACCAAACCTCTCTCAAAGGTGCTCACAGACATACAGGGGGCAACACATGCAAGAACACATGCAAGTGGCAAGGAGGAAGATTTCAGCTAGATAATCCTGAATTTCAAGTGCTTTGTACACCACCTGCAATATGTGGCTTCAGCTAATGAGCATAGGGAAAGGCATGAGGGAATACATGGCTTTTACTCCATGCAGGGCCTCGCACATTCATACTGAGTGTGGCTGGCCCAGGCCCATCTCACATTGCTGCTTGTCTTTTGGAATTGCTTGGGAAAAAATACAGCTTCAATTATCAAAAAATAAAAAGGGGTTTTAAATTTCAAATGAAAGGCAGTCATGGAATAGCATAGGCATAAAGAGAAGTGAAATCCAGGAAGCACTAATCAGATGAGAAAGGCTTTATTAACACTTCAGTGAGGAGCCTACAAGGACACTTCTGCCAACATTTGCAATAGAGAAGGAAATACAAGGAGAGTATTAATTATACTGTGCAACCTACTCCTCTTGAAAATAGGAGCAATATCATTAAAAGGAGCTATCAAAGGCAGCGTGCTCGGAGAAGCAAGATCCAACATCTGCATCATGCTACAACTTTCCTCTCCTTTCTGATATCAGATGCTCAATGAACAAACAGTTGTTTCCTACACAAGGGGTCCCAGTGTAGGGAGTTATCCACAGTTTCATTGGCAACCCATCTGACTAGGGCAGAGGGTGTGAGAAAGGGACCAGGAAACCAATGGCAGGCATAAAATGAGGTGGCTGACAAGTTCAGAAATACAAAACCACATAGTTTTAAAAAACTCATGTTCACTGGTATTGAATTCCCTTGCACTGAATTAAAAAGATCATAATTGTGAACTAAGAATGTTAAAATCCTGAATTATTAATAACTGGCCCCATAAACCTGAAGCTTAAGCTAGTTTCCAGGTCACATCCTGAACTTCCATTCTGCACTATATGTACTTTGGAAATGATAAGAAACAGAAGGCAAAACTCCCCCAATAAAGCATATGCATCTTCTCTGGATGTGAAAGACTTTCTGCTACTGCTGTCACCTATCTTATTAGCCCAGAGGGAAAGCTTGCCCAGCGTTTGTGCTGACAAGAATCTCTTCTTGCTGGGTAGTTATCGCTTACGTCTTCAGCTTCATGCTTGGCAGAGCTCAGCGAGCCCAACGGTGCTTATTGGAATGGCTTCAGTGGAAAGCCTCCCTATCACAAGATTTGACACTAAGCCAGTGCTTTGAAACTGGTGGCCTTGTTTAGTTAGCAGACAAAAGTTAAAATCATAGGGAGGGGTTGTAGATGAGACCTACAGAAAGTATTGTACATCCTCCTGCTGCTTCATCTCTCACTCTAGCACGGAGATTCTCATCCTCTAATCTGTTCACCAAACTCACCTTTAAGAGCTACATTCCAGGTACATCCCATAAGCTTCCACAGAGTAACAAAATACTAGGTAGGGGGAGTTTTACTGTTATTTTCACCAATAAATCTCAGTACGTTTTGCCAAGACAATTTTCATCGTTGCAAAAGAAGAAGAAGGAGGAAAGAAACAAGGATTAATGTTCAGTCACCCATCTGGTAGAAGTATGAACAAAACCCAGGTATCAACAAGCGCAATGTTCCATCATTGGACTGACACATCCTGCAAATACACATGCAAAACCAGGATATCATAGAAGAAAAGAAGCTAGCAAAGGTCCTTGCTAGTAAAACAAAACCAAGAAATATTTGATTGAAAAAAAACAACAGGACTCATTGGATACTCAGAACTTCCAAGAAACAACTCTCTTCTGTTACTCTTTAAAGAGCCACCCAGCTTGACCCTTCACAGCTGATGACTCCCATCTGGATCAGAGTTCAAACCAGACAGTGACAGCTCTATTTCGGCAGGTACCAGGTACTACAAATCACAGCACCGTGAGGACAAAGGGATGGAGGCAAGGAGGTGAGGAAAATATGAACACAGTGAACAACTTGGGCAGAGGGAATTGACTTGCAATGAATCAGCTTCTCCAGTGGCAGATCAGAAACACGATTTCTTCTGACATAGCCTTGCCTATATAATTGCAAATGAAATTTCATTGTTTGGACCTCCTGGTATTCAGACCCCACATGTAATTCAATCTGCCTTAAGCAGAAGCATTTTGTAATGTGATTTAAGGGAAAAAAGTTTGATACAAATACTCTTATTTCATTTCAAGTTTGTGCCACTGGCAAAGGCTGTGCTAGCATCTTTTTGTCCTGCACGTTTGAATTAGACAGTTAGCAGATCTTTTTTGTCAGTCACCCATGGATTAATTCCATTTCTGCCATGTCCCCAAGTCCATTGTCATTAGGAGTAGATGCTTTGGTTTTCTTTCCTCATCCTTCTCACACATTAAGCCAGCCATGAAGAGAACCTCAATGGAGTGCAACTTCCTCCTCTTAAACAAAGCAGACGTGGAACATTCAGCAGCCATAAAGAAATATGCTCACTCCAGGAAGCCTTTTTACTCACAGTTGCAAATGCTGCATATTTATATCTGGAGGGAGCTGGCTATCTATTTCAAAGGCAAACAAAACATCATCGAAAAGGCCTAATTGCACCAGGCACATGGTGCAGCACAACACACAGGGAAGACGTTCTCAGGCCAAAATGGCTAAAATACAGTTTTCAAATATTATATTTATCAGAAAGGAGACATTCTGGATCCTGGTTTTAGACAGTTGTAAATTTAGGAGCAAGCCCAGGGTCACTGTAATGTTAGCTTTAGAAACATTGAGAGTGCTGATTCAGGGAGGGCAGCCACAGCGGAAGGGAAGACCCATGAGAGGGCTTCCAAGTGAAGCCTTACTGAGCCTAAAACCTTCTCACCATGCACCCTAAAGCCCACCCTGTGAGCTCTGGTTCCCAACTGGAAAATACCTTAATCTTGCACTTCCACTGTGTGCCCACATTATGGATTTTGCCAGCTTGTTGCCCTCAGTTGAAGATGCATCTTTGCTGCTACAAGATCTTGGTGATGCTTTTTGAGTCTAGACTACAGAGTTGTCTTCTGACAGAAGTCTCTGCTTTCTGGGGACACTGGCAGTGGTAGAAATTAATGCATACAGACGACAAACATTAGTGGCTGCATCAAATATATACTTTCATAAGAAACTGCAGCTTATTCAACAGAAGGTCCATGCTTCAGTGAGCAAAACATGCCACGCGTCCATGTGTAGTATGGCAAAAAGTCATATTGCAATTTGGCACTGGAGTGTTTTCATACAGAGAAGGAAAATCTCTGATCTAATTCGGGGATAATTACAGGGCCATAAAGGATGTCCTGTTATTCATCACACCCCAAGAGTTCAAAGAATTTCTCATCACACCCCAAGAGTTCAAAGAATTTCTCATCAAATCTAAACTAAAGGAATCCTAAGCCTCTTCTAAAGCTCCTACAGCTCCTTTTCCAAAGCAGTTCCAGTACTATGGAATATCAAGCAGAGAAAGCTAATCAGAACAATTCAAGAACAGAAAATTTCAAAGAAAAGACCAAGGGAAAAATAAATCAGTGAGGACCCACAGGCTTCTGCCAACCGTTAAGCAAAATTAACCTGTAATGTAATTAGACTTCTCCCCAGAGAGACAGGTATAATTGAATTAAAGGTGCCTGGGTAGTTTCAGGGTTTAGTGGATCCTCCCAGACTTTCTCACCCTCGTCTCCCACATCTACAAGCTCACAAAACTCTTTATCAGTTCATTTCTAAGCACCTTACCTGAGACAACATAATTAGAATTGGCTACTTCTCTCTTGCTGTACACCAGACTAACCAAGTCCTGCTCCTGTATAGCAAAGTTCATTCATCATGGATTAACTTTAAAACCTTTTTTAAACTGTCACTCTTAGAGTTGAAAGATTTTGCCAAGTATTTCCAGAAGCTGTTTGAATTCCTTTGGTTTTGTGATATCTTCTTCTGCCTTCATCTAATAGATTTGTATGCAAATCTGGGGCAGGACAGGGCTTTCAAAGAGCACTCCCCAATGGGTTAAGCCACTTAGGGAGTGGAATGTGTTTACTTTGGGGTTAAGTCAGGCTGGCTGTCATTTAGAGCAGACAGAGATGAGTGGGGCCAAGTCCAGTCTTACCATGACCACAATAATAAAGCAACCAGTTAGTCCACACAAAATCCCACATCTCTTAAGGCATAAAATATTCCCTGCAATCAATGCTAAACTTTAAATGTAGGAAAGATTATGCTATGAAAACTCGATTTAGCTTAGATCTTAAGCAGAAGTTCTTCCCTGTGAGGGTGCTGAGGCGCTGGCACAGGGTGCCCAGAGAAGCTGTGGCTGCCCCATCCCTGGCAGTGCTCAAGGCCAGGTTGGACACAGGGGCTTGGAGCAAGCTGCTCCAGTGGAAGGGGTCCCTGCCCGCGGCAGGGCTTGGAGCTGGAGGAGCTGTAAGGGCCCTTCCAACACAAACCAGGCTGGGATTCCACAGTCCCCCAGGAAAGTGGGCAGAAACCTTTAGTTCATTACCCATGCAAGGGCAGGCTGGGAGGATGAGGAGGATTTAACTCCCAAGAGGTTCTCGTATGAACATTAAGTAGCATTTGCTGGCTTATGGATTTCTTTATGTTACTCACAAAGTGTTCCCACAACTGAGTTTGTAAGTCTGAAGCCTTTTTTTTGAGTTGAAAGACTTAAAACCAGTTTTTTTCTAACATTTACTCCTACTTCAAGAGAAAATCCTAAGCCTTAAACTTTAAATTATTCTGCCAGTGTAGCTTACTATCCTCTGTTAATCTTAGGAAATGAGTAAGCAAGAATGACTTCTGTGTAGTCTGTCTTTCTTTCTGGTCTAAATCTTGGCCAAAAAAAAAAAAAAAAGAAGGAAAAAGGAAAAATCAAAAACAAACAATAAACCCAGAGTTGAAAGAAGCACCTCTCATTAGTGCTCTAGTTACCTGGTGCCATTAATGTTTCAGCAAGCATTAACAGGAAGGTTTTGAACCCAGAGCAGCGAGTGTTCTTGAGCTTCTAGGTATACGAAACAAGGAGCACTCCCCAATGGGTTAAGCCACTTATGAAACAAAAACTTCAGATATTTGCTTTCTTATAATAAGGTAAAACCTAAGGATCTGGGGCTAGAAAATTTAGCTTTCTAATTGATACAGAAATCAAATAGATGTAGGTAGATAAGTCAAAATTATGGAGTTTAGACTGTTTGCAGTATTGGGGATCATAGTCTTCTGTTCTCTTGCTTCAGAAGTTTGACTAAACAAATTCTGAACTAGCCACATCTGAATATCAAGTGCTGAACAACAGATTGGTTCCTGGCCATTTTATAGTCAGAAGTGATCAATGCAATGGCTCTCTCTTCCAGAAACAAACCCTCCATCCCTTCCCTTCAGAAGGATGAACTTGCAGTGCCCCACTTCAAGCATCACCATATTCTTATCTTACTGATTTGTAACAGTTTTCCAGCTCTAGGAGTCACAACCTTCATTAAAATGGACAAAAACCTCTGTCCCTCACCCTCCACGGTTGTTAAAATGGGCTTCACAAACAAGTCTGCAACCTCAGTGTAACACTGAAGTTTAAAGGCTTTGGCTGCAGAAAGCTGCCTCTGTTTGTTATTGAGCATAGCACAAACAATATGCAATTTAAATAAAAATAATCATATTTCAGAAGCACTTACAGACTATCCGAAGACTGGACTGATAGGTGACCACAGGAAACAAGCTAAAATGAAAGCTTTTGCACAGATATAGTATAATCTCCTGTGTGGTATTACTATCATCACAGTTGCACATATTTTCACAGAAGGACATTGTGACATCTATCCCATCTAATCACACACCATTATAAGGAAGACATGATTATCAAACAAGACCTTCTGTAAAACTGCAACCTTTTAAAGAACATGACAGAGGTTGCCATAACTGCAGTGAAGTAGTGTATGATTCTATAAGCAAAGACAGACATTCTTATCTTCCAGATAGCACTGCCCACTGCATGTGCTGATACACCAAGGACTTCAGAGCTGGCAGAGCTTTAAGTGTGTCCACAGCAAAAGTCACCCATAGATGCAGATCAGCTGCACAGTGATATGAATTCTGCAGGACTCTGGGAAGATATCGATTAGACAGAGAAACCTGCCTTTACCCAAGTAGACAGCCATTCCCTCTCCTTTCATAAAGCCTGCTAAGGAACAGATCCTTCTGCCATGCTAATGGACGCATCTAAGTTTCAGATAACATTTAGGATAACATTCCCATCTCAAACAAGTATCATGTCCTGGCAAATTTATTCTGAATTGTACAACTTAATTACACTTGAGTTACTAGAAACATTCATTAACGCGTATCTGACCCTCATCTGAGGGAGGCATAGGAAGGTTAAAAACAGACCTCATGGTGATGTGACAGCGGTGCTCGGAGTGATCAAGAATGCAAGACCTTGGCAGAGGACAGATGGAGTCCCCGGTACTCACACAGCGCAGTGGTGAGCTTCTCTGGCTGGTCATAGTGCACCATCGCAACGCAGAGTGTGTTGAGGGCGACCACGCAGAGGACGATCCAGTAGAAGCTCTGAGCTTTCACCATGCGCCGGATGAAGAACCGGAACATCTTCTCTTTCCTCCTGAAGTAGGATGAGCTCTCGTTCTTCCCACTCTTCAAACTGGCACGGGCAAACGGAGACCCTGGCATAGAAAGAAGAGTCACCACACCACATCCCAGCCAGCAAAAAGCTGGAGGATGTTGCTGGGCACACAGATCTGCACCCAAGCACCAGAAACACAGCTGAGCAGAAAGCTGGGCACATTGACTATGGGCTGAGCAAGGGATTCCTGCTTGCAATGACATCATGAGGGATGAAGGCTGAGATTTTAGAACTTCATGAATGAATGCCCAGTATTAACATCTAAAGAAACCAGGCTTCCAACTCTATGAAGTAATCTTTAATATCCCAGTTTAACTCATAACTTTTGGGTTCCTGGTTGCCTGGAGGTACAGCAAGAACCTGGCACAGTGGTATCGCTGCCTGCAGTGTGGAGGGGCAGCTGGCAACAGGAAAGCTAGTCCCTATTTCCCCTACTCCAAGGACCAGGCAAAGACCCAGCCCTTACTACTGAATTGAGTAAAGTCTCCTTATTTCACACTCCAACTTCATGTATTTCTACAGCAGAGGGCTCAATGTGCCTCCCCACTTCATATTTTGGGCACAGTTACTCATTTGTACCAATTCTGCCTGTATCAGCTACATTTTGAGTCTGGTCTGAAACCCTGGAAGAGAGTCAAGTGTTTCAACAATAGGAAGCCGACAGAAAAAATGATTTCTAATGTAAGCTCTCCCCATGTGGCAGCAGGCACTCTTCAAACAGAAGATGAAAAGGCAATCTCCGGCCAGTGCTGAGGCAGGAGAAATCAGCACACGTTACTCAGACACGTGTATCCCTTGGAGTTCATCTGCAACAGCCACAGACCCTGTTGCCAGCAGGGAAAATCATGACTGCCACAGGCTGCCCACTACCTGTTTCCTGCTGTGCTGGCATACCTCAGAGACTATAAGCAAACCTTGCTTATAGATGGTTTGTGGCAAGATGTTTTGTTTCACTGGAACAAGCTGCCCATGGAAGTTGTGAATGCTCCATCCATGGAAGGATGGAAAGGAAGGTTGGAAGAGGCTTGAAGCAACACAGTCTAGTGGAAGGTGTCCCTGCCAGTGGCATGGGGCTGGAAACAGATGAGCTTTACGGTCCCTTCCAACCCAAACTGTACTATGATTCTAGGATAATATGCTATTGTCCGTCCCCATCATGGGAAGGACACTTCCCTATCATGGGAAGGAACTTCCCCAGTAAGTAGGGCAGAGCAGGATGCACATGGTCCTGTCTTGGACAAAGCACCACAAGGACAGATGACTTTCATGGGCTGCCGTTGGAGATATTCGAGTTACATGAGCAAGGTGTTTGAGCTGTGGCAGCTGAATTTTTGAGTGTACTCCCTTACATTGCAACACTTGGCAGTGGTGGGACTCTCACCCTGTTTTATCCTGCAATAACATCAAACACAGCACCCATAGAAAGGATGAAGCATCCAGATGTGACAGCAATGGGTTCTTCAAGCCTCACAGCTACACAAGAGCAGCTGTTCTGTGTTCCCAATAGAAAGCAAGCTCTCTGCTCCATGTCACATTTTGGCTATCCACCAACATGCCAAATGCAGAGCTGGCCCTGGCCAGGCTTTGAGCACGCTCCCTGTGGAAAAGCTCAGCGATGTTCTGGTGGTTTGATAATCCTCCCTTAGGCAGTTAAAAAAAAAACCCAAACCAACAAATCATACTACTCATCTATTGCTTTGAGAAAACAAGGTGAAATACAGGTTACAGTAATGGTTACACCATATTGTAATACTGTTATCAGGTAAAGACTTCTCAGATATTCAAGCCAGACTATACGCTCAGATCTGCATGGCCATGTCTGCTGTCATTTTGCCCCCTCTCTACTGGCTCTAATGATCTTCCAGAAAAGAAAAGCAGCAGTATTTAAATTGATCTCACATAGAAAACACCCACTTCTCCAACCTCCACTGTCTGGCAATTATGAATGTCCTGTGCCTGGTACAGTGTAGAGGGTGGGAAACCAGAAGGAGCCAGCATCTACTGCTGCATGCTTATTAGTGCGGAAAGAAAGGCTGAGAGTTGGAAGGAAAGAAAAGAATAAATGCTAAGAACAACTCCAGAGAACACACTGGGAAGTCTTTACCACTATAGAGCTTTATAATATAATTATAAGGCTCATTGAGGTACTTGTGTTTGAATTAAAGTGCAACGTATTCAGTCAACGGCCAGCAAGAGACCTGTCAGAGTCTCTACCACTCCGGTCTGCATCTTCACTCAGTAATCATATTGCTAGTTCTTCCGCAATCCTTATGCTCCCATCAGCAAAACATTACCAAAAACCATCCAAAAACCCCTCTCTCAGAAACATATTCTTTATGCATAATTGCCCATCTGATCTGATTGTTTATGTTATGCAGAGTTTCAGCCTTTTCAGGAGCCTGCGCAAGTATCTGCTTTATCCATTTTTTCTTTTCTGCCTTGTTCCATGAATCAAAGTCAAAAACACTTCTCCCAAGTGGGTGAACCACTTGCAGAAGGTGGAAAGCACTGCTGTTATTTTCCCTGCCATATGCTCCCGAGACAGTTCCCAGCTCTGCATCAGATTATCCACAAGTCCAGATGCTCCGTCATCCGTTGCCACCTGAAACGCTGAATTCCAAGATCTGTTTGTGTGGCATGGGTGCCCAGAGCCTGGAGGGACTTGGATGCAAATGCAAAGATCTCATGATTGTTGCCACAAATGTTCCAAAAATGACCACTCCTTGTTATCCATGCAGGCATCCGAGCTGCTCGGAATAAATCAGAGCAAAAATGCACACGGTTGCTGCATTTTTGTCTTCTTTCAGCCACAAACCTCTCATACAACTGTCAGTTTAGTCACAAAACCTGCAGCCTGCTCGGCCTGGGGGAACTGTGGTGGTTGAACAGTGGGTGATGGGGTCAGTAACATGCTCAGCAACATTCAATTCCTGCAACCAGGCCTTCGTTGGAACTACATACTCTTAAGGTCCTGTCCAACCCAAACTGTTCTGTGATTTAAAGGGTAAAAAAATACAATCCAGCAGCAGCTCAAATCTCTTAAAATGTTAATGCCAAATTTCCAAAGAGCAGTTGAGGCACTCATGCTTGCAAGCATATATGGACATGTACTCTCAAATGTACTGTTTGTGCTGCTCCGCTTATGCATCCAGGATTTGCTGCTTCGTGGTAACTGGGGTGCCAAGACATTTCTGTGGAAGATAATGAGAACATCTGCTGCTTCAGCAGCAGAACAAAATACAGACTCAAACAACAGGGACAGGAATAAGCAAACTAGCTAACTCTGAAGCACTCAGGAAGATGTATCCCCAGCCAGCAAGTAAAAGCCCATTACTGAAAGGTTTTTCTGTTGATGTCCTACCAGTTCCCCTTCTATGGGGTGCTCTGCACTCAGAGCCTACCTCTCCCCACAACTCCAGACCTGTTTCCTGCCTCTCCCCCAGCAGTGTCTCAGGAGTAATCTGGCTCTCTGCTAGCTGCAGCACCAGCAGCACCTCTGTAGCCTGACAGTGTCTTATTCACCAGAGCTGAAGATATCAAACTCACACCATCAGTGTTACACTATGCAGGATGCCACCATCTGTATTGGAGCTATGTGGGTAACTGCATGAACACGAGCGTGACATCTCCATATCTAGCTTTAAAAATGTAGAGAATTGCTTTAAGATCTTCTTATAAGGTAAGAACAAGAGAACTGGGGCCTCTGTCTGGCATTTCCCAGGAACCATTGACACAACAAAGGCTGCAAAACCACATGCTGTGCATTAGTGGCAGATGTGACTAAGTGTCCACTTCCTCTCCCCCCTTCAACAGCTGAGGCTTAGAAGCACCATTTGACATATTTGGGTTTAATTAGCATGAATGCGCATGTTCCAAGCAGAATCACACTATGGCCAACACAACACAGAGTCTCCAAGCGTTTAGGCAGGGCTCTTTAAAGGGTGCAGCATGCAATAGCTGAGCAGGGCAGCGTGGGGAGAGGGTGAAACCACAAAGCCTTTTGCTTTGGGAAGTTGAGTGTTGCTGCAGGAGCAGTGGTCATTCTCCTTCTTGAAACTGCAGCTTCTGGACGTGAGAAGTCGCTCAGAGGAAACATGACATGAACACGTTTAGGTGGAGATCTGAACCTCAGGGAATGCGAAGCCAGTACTCACCAACGGAGCAAATGTCTGTGAAATGGTCCTCACCTTCTTCAGCATGAATCAGGTCGTTTTTGCTCTTCTTTATCGCAGCTCTTTTCAACACTGTGTGCAAATTAAAGAGAAAAAGCCCCGTGAGCATTCAGAGTGGCTTCTCTCTCCCCCTCCCTTCACTCTCCAGGGACAGCATTTACTTCCCAATGCCAGCTCAAAGCTCTCACGCATGGGTAAGCTGGAGCAAACTAAGCGACCTACAACCTTGCAGGGCCTCTGCATGCTTCAGTTCCAGGGTCATTTGGTTTTTTTGACCTTCCAAATGTTGAAGGCTTGGTCATGCACGGATCAGCATCCTTACACTTCACCCCAGCAGATGCAGGAGGATGGGGCAGCCACTGCAGCTGCTGGACCATTCAGCACAGCAGAAAGGCTGGGCAGGGTCACTGAATCTTTCTGAGCCCCGGTGGGTTATGAGATGAGTGCTTCTATCCATTAAAAACATTAATGCTGTTTACAACGTGCACCATTAAGAAGTTACATTTACAGTGCTCAGATAGAGTTTACCGCAGAACAATGCCTCAAGGAGCAGAAATGCTGTGTCAAAAACAACTGCCACAAATCATCCTCTTAATAGCACCCAGTGTACGATTCCTTCCCTCTGGGGATGTCATAACCCGTTGAAAACACACTTTGTCCAACAGCATCTCTTGTGGGGAGGGGAAACAGCTACATCGTGTTACTCGACAGGGAAAGAGAACTGGAGGTTAAGGCTCGGAGAGATCTGCACCATTCACCCAGTGCACAAGGGGTAAGATGGACACTGGTCCCACGACCACCTACCTGTGAAACCTTGAGAACTAGCAGAAAAAAATACGTTGACACAGTTTGGTAACAGCTTGAAGACATACAGTAACTAAGCACCATTTGCTATCAGCAGTAAGACACCCCATGGTGTGGTGATACATACTGGTCAGATGGCACACACAGCAAACCACGCACTCTGCAGCGACTGCCCTGGGGGTAGGTTTGGACAAGAAGATCCCCTCACTCTACACAAAATTCCTGCCTTGGCAGAGAAACCAATGTGCTGCTTCCTCCACAGCTAAGGCAAGTGTTAGTGCTCCAAGGAAACACCCAGAACACCACTCAGTTTCAGAGGCTCAAAGAGGAGAGGATGCTCTCAACCTGTGATCTGGATCCCATTTTGTTTGCAAGAGGAGAGGATGCTCTGAACCTGTGATTTGGATCCCATTTTGTTTGCAAATAAACCTGCTTTTGCTCTTTTATTCCCCACTCAGCAGGAGGCTGAATCTTCAGTCCCAGCACTATCAGCTTTTGGGTCCTGCAGGCTGCATCTGTCTCCAGCAGGTCCAGGAGCAGTATTGGAACATAACCAGACCTGAGAATAAAGTTTTACAACACTCCCTGGTGTGAATTGAGCACCTTCCTCTTTATCTTCACCCCAGATAACTCCTGCCTGTGTTTAGCAATGAGGTCATGCTGTCTCTTCACACAACTTGGATGCAATGTGCCTCTGTTTCAGAGATGAAGATAATTTACCAGCATAGGTATGGGCTGCTCCTTAGCAGTTGACGTCAAGGCCAGGAACATTGCTGGGCTCCTTTAGCTTACTGGTATAGAGTGAACTTTAGTATACCTTGGTCTTTACTCCATGGCTTGCACCCACCTCTAGTTTGCTCACAGACTACTCTTCCAGACACCCATTTCACCTTGAGACTAACAGCTCTGGCTGCACCCACGTGCTGGACAAACTTGCACAACACACACACACCCCACGCACCCTCACACAAGCACAAAGATTTGCCAAGCACACCTCAGCCCTGACCTTCTGCAGCCCCAGCTCTTCCATCCCCAAGTCCTCCCCGAGCACAGGTCACCATGCTGGCCAAGGAGGACCAGCAGCAGGGAGCCTGGTGCCCAAGGAGCCGTGTGGCTTGGACTAAGGTGCAAAACCACTCGTGAAACACGGCTGGTGACCTGGGCACGTGGGGCTGTGGGGAAGAAGCACTGCCCCGCTGTGCCACCTAAGCCCCTGGTGATTTGCAATCCACTCACTGTTGTAGCTGCTGCCGCTGCTAGTCTCTGCCGGTGCGGTGCCTTGTTGAATCGGCCCTTCCGAGGCGGCCCTCCCTGACAGTGAATGGGAGGAGAAAAAAAAAGAGGAGGGAAAGGGAGGGGAGGGGAAAGGAGGAGACATGGGAGGACGAAAGATGGTCAGAAAAGGGAGAGGGAAGAATCTTTAACTGAACTTTGACTGGCTGTCGCATCCTAACAGCTCATCGGTCTGGAGGTGCAGGGAGAGCAGTCCCTGCAGCCTCGTTGCACCTGCATCCGAAGCTTTGGTACCTCCGGCCATCCTGCATTGCTAGGGTCACGCATCAGAAGGTAGGATCACCACACCCTGTTATGTCTTACTGCTTACAAGTAACAGGGGTCTTAGTCTCTCTGTCAGATCCAGTGGAAACCTCGGTTTAGAGCCCTGCCTTCTCTTGCTCAATGCATTTCTCTTCTGGCATCCGCTCTGCAGCCTACCCCCACCACAAACTGCACGCAGACAAAGCCAGCAGCTCTTGGTAGAGGCTGACCGGTCACACTGGTGTAGTCCCACAGGCAGAAAAGGGACCAACCGACCCCAAGGGCAGAACCCCATCCCAGGGTGGTGTGTCACATAACCTGCAACCTCAAAAAGACCTAACATGGGAAAAGGGACTCTTTAGCTCAACCTATGCCAAGTGCATGCAAGAGCGTGTTTCTCACACCCTACTGGTTACAATGGAAAGCCATGTCAGCATACACAGGTGAACCTTTCATGTATCACAGGAGGAAAAAACACACAGCAAAACAACCTACCGTCCAGAGGAGATTTCTCTTCTGCATTCCTGTCTTCCTCTGCCAGCATTACCTCCTCTGTAAAAGGAAAACAGCAAGGTTCAACTTCAGGTTTATCACACCCCCTCTTTAAAACCATCTGAGCTGGATGCAGCAGGCATCTGTGCCAGCTGCCACCAAGCTTACCCCATTGCACCACCGAGGTACAAGAAGTCTGTGGAGAAAGGGATAGCACAGAGTACTGTGTGTCTGACCCCATGTCCCTCTCGCACAGGCGAGGAGGTCAGACACACCTCTGGAAGACTGTAGCACTTCCTCCGTGATTGCTCTCTTCACAATCAGCCACCCACTCCAGTTTCTTTACCCAACTATCATCAGCAAGGGACTTCTGGACCAAAAACCTTCCTTCAGACCCAGGCAAGAGTGCAGGTCAGAGGATGCCATACCCAGCCACGCTGGAGACAGAGAACTGAATGACTGCTGCTCTTCTGTCTCCATGAAGAAGACTTAGACTCAACCCCTGAAAAACGGATCTCTGTCTCATGGCACAGGGTAACACAGGCAGGGATTGCTGCTGCCACATCCCAGGAAACAGAATATCACCAAATAGCCATCACATTGAATCTTTGTCACAATAAAATCCACAGCCAAGTTTCCATGGGCCAGCCCAGTTCAGGTTGTGTAAGACGTGCTAAAGCACAATGGTTGCTTTTCCATCCCTATGTAACTCATCTGCAAAATACAATTTTATGCTTTCCTAAAGGAAAAGAATCCAGAAAACCCTGAAAAGGAAACTTCCCCAAACTGACTCATTTTTATCTGTGTGAAAGACAAACAAATTTCCTGAGGTTTCACAATGCAAATGTCATCACCCGAGTCCATTGCAGTACGCACCACGCTGTGCCAATATTGAAACCTACAGTTGATACAGTCTGAACCACAGATTTGAGCTCACTGCTGGAAAATCATGTGAGGATTTTCTAAAGGACAATCTAAAGCAGAAGAAATATTGAGTTAGCAGCTGGTAAACTCTACACTTCCTTATGTTATTATAAATGACAAATTCTTTCACATGCGTGATGTAATTTGGGATCTTACTGAAAGATCTGACACTGTTTTCACACCACATTTTGCTTTAAAGTCCATTTAAGCCAGCCTGGATGGAAAACCGATTTCCAAAACAGAAATAATATAAACAAACCAGAGGCCAAACATCAAAGTGTGTAGCTGAAAACTCTATAGAAGAATACTAGAGGGATCAGCACTACAGCACAAGCCTTATATAATCTCTTTATTAATCATCTGGGAAAGAAAGTGAATGGTCCATTAATAAGACAGTAAATTGAGAAGGCTGAAAAATAATATCCAGGACTGAGGTAGAATGGAAAAATCAAGCAGAGGAGAACAAAAGTGCAGTTCTAGTGTCCTCTATATAAGAAGGACATGGAGCTGTTGGAGAAAGTCCAGAGGAGGCCACAAGGATGATCAGGGGCTGAAGCACCTCCTGTGTGGAGAAAGGCTGAAAAAATTGGGGCTGTTCACCTGGAGAAGAGAAGCTGCGTGGAGACCTCAGAGCAGCTTCCAGTGTCTGAAGGGGGCCACAAGGATGCTGAAGAGGGACTCTTCATTAGGGACTGTAGGGATAGGACCAGGGGTGATGGGTTCAAACTGAAACAGGGGAAGTTCAGGTTGGAGATAAGGCTGAAGGTCTTCCCTGTGAGGGTGCTGAGGCGCTGGCACAGGGTGCCCAGAGAAGTGGTAAATGTTTCCTCCCTGGCAGTGTTCAAGGCCAGGTTGGACAGAGCCTTGGGCAACATGGTTTAGAGTGAGGTGTCCCTGCCTGTGGCAGGGGGTTGGAATCGGATGATCTTAAGGTCCTTTCCAACCCAAACCATTCTATGAAAATAAGAAAGTACAAACTAGTGCAGCAGAGAGATGGAAGAAAGGAGAGCTGAGAGGGGGGGAAATGTCAGGTGAGCTAAAAATCTGCATTTTAAAAAGTATGAAATCCTTCCAAAACCCACAAGGCAGTACAATTCAGTTTTTTTTTTCTGAGGCTCATTAAGACAGGTCAGGAGAGAAATGGGCTTTTTTAGACACTTCCAAAGACTTCTCTCTGATACCAACACCTCAGAAACCAAGAGGTTCTTCCAAAGTCTTGCCTTAGGGAAAAGCTGTACTGGTGTTTGGAGGTTAAAAGTATCTAAGTACTTAAACAGCAATTAACAATGAATATGACAGCTCTAAAACACATAGAAGGGATGGGGGTCTGATATGGAGACCCCTTCCCAAAGGCAGATGGACAAAAGGGCTGTAGATGTGAAACAGAAAGCAAAATTGTGCTGGAAGAAGCATGAGTCTGAGGTGCTCTTACAGTGGACATTTTCCTATGGATTTTTTTAAAAGCCTGCACTGCTCACGAAGTGTGATTTTAAAAGCTCTGTGTCATATCTGAAAGTGATATACCCACATCACTACACAAGATTCTGCATAAAGAACAAGTCTAATTCCTAGTACTGGTAGAAGTGGTCACATAGATGTTTCTGTGCTCATTTGGATTCGGGGATCAGTTCAGTCCTCAGTACTTTGGGGTTCTTCATTTTGTGCTCCTCTGCACAATGCAGATATGGTTTCTCTCCTATTCTTCATACTAGCAAATCACAGTGAAAAGTCAAATCCATTTGGAGTGGGATGTATGTTCAGGTCTTGCAACAAAGAGCAAGCATGGGAAAGTGAACCCATCCCAAAGGAGCTCTTCTGCCACTCTGAGAAAGAAACACTGACTTTTAGACAGCATTTGGTAATTAAATAGATTAATGCAAGAGACTGCAGGGAGCAGACACACTGCATGCAGGTGAGCAATGAAAATAATGACCTGGCAAAGGTCAGAAGGCAGGCAGCTGCTCTTCAGGGACAGCCCCTGGGTGAGTGCAACCCAACAGGGCTGTGCCTGCATTGGGGAGATCCCCTCGAGAGCCAACACTCTCACTGGTCAATGTTCTGAGGGTTGCTGGTTTCAGTCACGTCTTGTCAAACACTAAAACACTGCAGGAAATAAAGAGCCTGTTCCCTTAGCTGGAAGCTCAGTCCTACACTTGATTTGTGTCAGTGCAGGAGGACAATCATTGCACTGGTTATAGTCAAAGATCTCTAAGTAGAAAAAGGAAATCTTGTTTTCCCGTTTCCAAGCAGCATTTTGTGTTGCATGCTCCTGTAACAATCTGTCATGACTCTCCATTGTCCTTTGGGCACCAGGAGAGGAACAATCCCGAGTCCTCAAATCACCCTGGGGACTGTGAACTGCATGGATACATAATCATCATGATTTGCAATGGTGTGCTCGTGCCATCTGATGTTCCAGTGTCACCTGTGTCCCCAGTGAGATGGTAAGGGGTTTAGCTGTACTGAGATTTCAGAAACCAGATTTATAAATGCCAGTGGCACCTCAGAATGTGTAAGGTGTGACAATCTGATACCAATGTATTCTCACCTACAAAGTTTACACACATTTGAGACAGCTCTGCAAACCAGCTGAGGCTTTGCCCCAGAATTCAGGCCCTGAGTTGATGCTCAAATGTATCTCCATCCATAAATAGGACTCAGCTTTACTTTTCACTTGAAATAAACAAACCCCAAGTTTCCTCTATGCAATTCCCTCAAACCCAACACTCTTCCACACCATTTCTCCCCAGTTCTCTCTCTTTGTAGTTACTTCTGTCTGTCTTGTCTCCTCTGGGAAACCAAAGTGGTTTTACCTTAGTGGGGCTTTACATGATTTTTAAAGCCTGCTATAAAGCCAGCTCAGCAGGTTGGTCATCATTGCTAGCTCTTGTTTCTAAAGCCACACAGCATGCTAAGCAGAGGATCAGAAGTTGTATTGCCTTTAGTCATCACTGCAACAAAGAATGGAAGAAGATAATTAGGACGCCTGGAAAACCTCCAAACAACAGTGCTTCTACGTTAGGAATAATATTCAACAAAGACAGTATCAGATCAGCATCTTTCCAGCCTCCAAACAAAGGCACAGGGGCTTCACGAGGATATCAGAGTGAGAGATGACCCAGCAGTAAGATTAATTGCTGGTCATTAAGTACTGACAACATACAACATGTTCCAGGACTGGAAATAAAGGCAAACCTTATACTGAGGAAGTGGCAAAGTGAACAATAAAGGAAAAGCAGCAGAGAGACACAGTGCCCCCTCCCTTTCTCTTTGGCATGGGGACATAGAACATTGTAGACTCTAAAGAATGAATTAAGAGAAATAACTCACATTCAACAGGCAACAGAAGTTCGAAAAAGGAAAGAACAATTGAATTTAACTGCTGAAGCCTCAGACTTGTTAAACAGAAGAAGTGAATAAAGGAAGAGCAGAAGAAGCCATCACCTTCACATGGAACTCAAATTTGTCTTTCAGGCAATATTCTCCCTTGCCTTCTCACTCATATTCCTGCCCTTTGTCACTGATTGCTGGTGCCTTCTCCCAGCTGTATCAGGGGGCTTGTTGCTCTGTTTCTATAGCAAGCTGAAACCTGGGGTTCATAAAGCTTTGTTGTGTCAAGGAATGGCATTCAGGTTACAGAATCAGTGCTGTGTGAAAGAGGTGGACTTGCAAAGGATTAAAATGCAAAAGACATGCAACTTGATTAGCTCTGAAGTGAAAGACTTCCAGTCTCTGAGCAAAGTGCTTTCAAAAATGATGCATGTCCTTGTTAGATAAGAGAAACATCTTCAAAAGGATATTTGTGGGCTTAAGCGTGCTTTGCTCTGTGCAGAGGTCTTCCAGCTCCCGGTTGGAAACGCAGCATGACAGCCTACTAGTTGCTACAAGTTTTGAGGAGTTTAATGGAGAAAGCAGCAGTGGCAAAGTCATTTGCATGGATTTCATTGCTTGGCTTCAGCCCTTTTTAATTCCTCGGAAAGGCACAGTTTCAAATTTACTTGGTACAGACTTTGCACAGAGCCCAACGAAAACACAAAACAAAGAGCAGAGGCTGTCCCAGCACACAGTGGGTGGAACAGGACAGGGTTTGCTCATCACTGGTAAGACTCTATTTGATACAGCCTGAACTGAGGAAGAGGTGTTTAGGGAAGAGAACTGTTAGCCCGTACCTTGAGGAACAACACAGTGCCAAGCATTGTCTTTTACCCATATATCAGCTGTCTTCCAGTGGTGGGAAGAGTTGGTCCCTTCAAAGAATTTACTAAGAAATAGACAGTTGACTTTATTCTTCAGGATTAAGATTAAAGGTCTGTTTCTACCTTATCCCTACAGTTCACTTCTAGACAATATAGAGAGTCAGTGTTTATGAGCTGGACATGGCAATTGCCATACAAATTTTTGACCTAAATTCTATGAGATGTAAGAGATTATGGGATTTGATCGTTGCTTCTGGCTTGCAACTCACGCTAGTTTTCATAGCAGTAAGATCTTCTGTCTTCTAAGATGCTTACAGATTTCTAAGTAGTTTAAGGTGGCATGACATTTCATACTGACACCCTCAAAAAGAAACCCCAAACCTCTACTGAGTTACAATTTTCCTTCACAGAACCCCAGAATCATCAGGGTTGGAAGTGACCCCTGGAGATCATCTGGTCCAACCCCCCTGCCAGGGCAGGGCTACCAAGAGCAGAGCACACGGGAACGTGTCCATGGTGGGTTTGGGACAGCTCCAGAGAGGGAGACTCCACAACCCCCTTGGGCAGCCTGTGCCAGGGCTCTGACACCCTCAGTGTAAAGTAGTTCTTGCTCATGTTGAGGTGACACTTGTGAGTTAGTTTATGGCCATTGCTCCTTGTCCTGTCACTGGGCACCACTGGAAAGGGTCTGTCACCATCATGCTGGCACCCACCTTTGAGATACTGGTCTGCACTGATGGGATCCCCTCTTAGGCTGCTCTTCTCCAGACTAACCAAGCTCAGCTCCCATAATCTCTCCTCATAAGAGAGACGCTCCAGACTCCTTGCTTAGTTAGTCTTGACCTCATGGTGTGGGAATTTTACATGAAATCACCTGTCACCTCATTTGAAAATACTTAAACCCTCCTGACTACCCTGTGTATCCAGTCTTCAACAGGCACCTGAGAAACAAGAGAAGCTAGAAACATCCTGCCTGGCCTCTCTATAATCCTAAGTGAAGAAAGTCAAATTCAAACTCTAAGGAAATTGGTCAGACTGTGGGTTGAGTTTTATCTTTCAAGTCATGCATGTCTAAATTCAGCACATTTATCTGTGTTATAATTTCCTCTTTCATTCTCCAAACCTTTCTTAAGGCAGCATTTGTTAAGCATTTTATCAATTCAGGCTTCCTGTATTAAGTACAACTCACACAAGTATTTGCAAATTAAGGTTGCCACTGTTTGAAACATGTTGGTATAAATCCCTCAAGCAGATAATGCTGCAGTGTTAAACAATCCACATTTAAAACAGCCTGAGCTATGTTTGCTTCCATTTCAACCACAACTCCACTTCTGGTGATTTATCAGTAGTGAGCTGGCACCAGAATCTGTCAGCTCTGCCAAGGTACCTGCTTGAAAACTTCACAAGCACTTTTCATCAATATTTTTCTTCCTCTTTATGCTCTTACCTTACCACAGGAAAAAATATTCAAGGTAACACTAGAAAAAAAGTAAAATGTATAATTCAGCTACTGAAGAGCCAGAATTTTCATTCTTACACCACAAATACGAGACAAGGCATTAGACCAGGACTGGAACGTACTCAAGTCAGCACTTAAGAGGTAGGAAACAAAGACCCCATTGTTTCATTCTGGAGGAGTGAAGTGTCTACAAATTCAGTATAAGAAAGGGTTGATAGTAAAAACGCTTCAAATTTTATCTGATTCACCTTTTTAATGCAATATGCACAGCAAGAGATAATGCAACATCATTCAGATTACAAGCAGTGGAGGCTGTGAGAAACATTAAAGACACTCAAGAGTGGTCAATAAATGATGAACAAAATGCTAAATTAAAATCATTGACAAATGGGAGGTACTGTACAGATGAAAGAGTGATTTTAGACACTCAACTCCTTTCCTTGGTCCTAAACTGGTTAGAGCCCTTGAGATAAAAACTTGAGAACTACCAAGAACAAGGAAACCTCCTTTCCAGCTCCAGCAACTACTGAGAATATGTAAACCATTACAGAGCAAAAGCTATCAAAGCATTAAACACCACTTTATGAATCACTATCATGCAGCTTTCCTACCTTGCATCAGAAATAAATTCGAAAAAATGAACAAACTGCTCAGGGAGGATATTACAAATATTAGAAGTCTGAAGATCCTTCCATAGGAAGGGAAGGGGTGGAGCAGCTGGGGTCTGAATCCTTTAGAGCAGGAAAATAAGATGAAACAAGGTAAACTAGAGAAAGCAGAGATACAAAAGAAATAAAAAGAAATAGGAAGTGCACTCCTGGGCTTATCCTCTCACTGCAGAAAGGCAACATTTAAAATCGAGGGCAGCACATACTGTTTGGTGGGTTGGTTTGGTTCTTTTTTGAGTCAAACCAACTGTTAACATGTGGAACTCCTTGCTACAAGATTCAATGAGGGAAGGAAACAGATATTTCGCATGGATAACAACATTATCCCCCACACAGTACTGGACAAGGAAGACTGTCTAGTTTGGAAATCCAAGATCATGTCCTGGCTGAAATCCTGGCCTCTGAAGCAGAAATGGGAAATCCCCATTGATGCCAGCCACAGGTTTCAGCTCCTGAATTCAACACTCAATTCTGTTTTGGTTAGCCTTGACAATACCTTCTGTATCCAAAGATTTACTAACACTGCTAAGCTGATTTTAATTATTGATATTATTCAGCTGTACTGGAAGCTTTCTTTATATTCCTGTTGTATTTTCAGCCTTGCTTTTTCAGACTGGTTTTATTATTCACTGATTCAGCTATTTTGCATACACTTTCCTATTCTAGAAAACCTTCTGGATCTTGTGTTATTAGACAAAGTAAAAAGATGGGCATTTTACAGCATACTAATGTGGTATTTATTCAGCACTGGCAATACAGAAATAGAATAGCCAGCCATTCCCACAGGGTGCAAAGCTGGAGCAGAGACTGGCTGTATGTTTCATAACTTCTCTACCTCAACTTTCAGACAAGTTCAGCTAATGACCTCTGCATGGCTCTTCTTGGTAGAACAGTCACCACACCTAAAGGAAGCAACCCTGCAAAGGAATTCTCATCTTTATTTTATGGATGGGGAGGCCAGGATTTAGAGAAATCATGAAAGCCTTAAAAGAAGGATTAAAAGCCTTAAAAGCTTTTGCCACCAGAGCCAAAGGAAAACCCCGGAGCACTGGATAAACCAGTAATTTGAATTTGAGGTAGCACAAAAGCGTTAAACACATGGGAAGATGAACTATAAATGGAAAGTGAATGATTCTTCTCTTTTAATCCTACCGAACCATAGAATGAAGTGTGGTCACCTAACTGAGGACAGTTGCTGTGGAACAGCCACAGTGAATAAAAGTCTGTCAATACAACTGGTACACAATTGACAGCCTGAATAGTGCTATGGGAAATGGTGGTTTCCAGACGCCAAACCAACTGCTGCTACTTCTTCCTGGTTTACATTTCAATGATTCAGCCTTTTTTGTCTCTGGCCAGGTTGTCAAAAGTCATGGTCACACCACTGCCCTCCAGGAAGGGACCTGCAGCAGGGAAGAGCCCTGCTCCCCAAGGAACATCAGCCACCAGATCCCTTCAGAGACAGCAGAAGCAAAGCAGCAAGAGCCACACGTAAATGCTCTTCCGAATACTGGCACCCAGCTTGTGCACATGAAACAGAAGCTGTAAATTCAAAGAACAGCTTACCCACAGAACAGCAGCAGGATGCTCTGTCTCCGGGCTTGTACACAGCTTAGGCATGCACAACGATTTGCTGTGACTGTACATTTACTTGCTTGCATGAGCACGTTTTAGCACATCTGGCCTCTAGCACCAATATGGGTTTCAAAACAAGCAATAATGTTGTATCTTTCAGTGTGGCACCAGCTCACAGGTTAGGACCAGTTCTGCTATCAGTTGATGTCAAGTGAGCCATTATATAATGTTGAACCTCAGTTTCCCCATTTGTAAAGAGCAAGGATGAAGCTGACGTGCCTAGAAAGGCACCTGAAAATTTATTTGAGGAACCATGGCTTCTTCCTCCCCCCATCAATGTTTTAAAAGCATTTTCACTTTACTCAGGTGTTTCAGCTTCTCAGAAAAGCAAGCAAGGAAGCAAATTAACCCCAGAAGATTCCTTGATGCTACATGAATGAATTGCGCTGTGCTCATGTCAGCTACTCCATGACACAGAAAAATTATTGGTAATCTTCACTGTCCGATAAAAAGGAAAAGCAAAGCATGCTATTTTTTGTTAAATTAGTGTGTTTGGGTCCTTGAAGTTGCTCACTGCTTGCAATAAAATGCAATGCTCAGTTATAACAGTTATAAAGCAACGTTAATGTGTACTGGGGCGAGTTCCATGGAACTGATCTCTATAGCTCATAAAACTGTATTTTGCCATCATAGCAAGAGAGGTTTATAAAACAGCTGTGGTGGAAAGTAAATAAAACACAAATGACTCATCCAAGGGAACAGTTTCCCCACTGTGGACACTTTGGGCACTGTATCACTTTTTATATCACACTGTATTAAGACAACTGGTTTGATCTCAGCTATAAAGAAAGACGGCTCAGCTCCTTTGGTTTTACTTAACAAAACTGATATCTTTTGCAATAACTTTAGTGTGAATGCTCAGAAACAAGCCCAACATATAACAAATGCTATCTGGGCCCTCTCGAGTCTTACGTTACCTTCAATACCGAGGACTAGTTCTCTGTCACCACCAGACTCTTCTTGCCACATGACACATTGAACAAGGATGGGAGATTTCTTGCCTTACCTGCTTTGAAGATCCACTCCAAGTATCCATTTAGTTCCCTTTCAATTTGCTGCTGTCTGCGGAGTTTCAGGAAAGCCCGACGATTTTCTACCCTCTCTCGTTCTTTGGCAAATTCACTATGGAGAGAGAATGAGAAAGCACATCACAAGTGGTCAGGGAAAACACACAGCCCTTCTTTTGTCTTTCAGGTTGTATCCATGAAGCTTGTGAAGTCGATGACAGCACTAGTGAGCGGACACCACAGCATGCCATGTGTTGTCATCCAACTTCTCTAGAAGCCCAGTATCAAGTCACAGTGACACCAGCACTTCTTGGGTGTTGGAAGATCTCTACTCTTCCCTGTTAGCCTTTCTTCAAGTTCTCCCATACTTAAGATGACTGACAAACACAACTCAAATGACAGCTACAAGTGAGGATAGGCACATTGGGGTCAAGTTGAAATAGCCCCAGTGCTCTGGATAAGGGGTAACAATGATCTCACTATTCCCTAAAAATCACATGGAAAACAAGTATCTCGATATCAGACCATTAGAACAGGACCATACAGGGAAATCAGAGAGGAAGGTTCACCATTGGATGAAAGAAGGTTCATTGCAAAAACCTCACCCGAGTCCATCCTACTGTCCAGTTTGAAATGATGCTAAAACAGTTCAGCCACCACCCTAAAACACCTATATTGGGAGTTTCCCCAAGCTAATCTATATCACCTCTGAAAAGTTTCTGATGTTTATCTACCATTTACGGAGCTCTGAACCAGCCTCTGCAACCCCTCGCTATAAGCACACACCGGAGCAACTCACACGGTACCTTAATCTATATAGTTAAATGTGGGATTGGGTTTTTGACCCCCATGAACAACAGTGGTTCACCCCTCTCATTTGGGATCTTGACTGCATCCTTCAAACCTTCAGTTAGCTGCTAGCTGTTGCAAACCTGGAGTCAGGCACTGCTCATGCCTAAAATCTCACCCAGTCACCAATTCATTACCCACACATGCTCCTCAAACACCAGTGAGAAGATGGGAGAAAGGAGGAAGAATAGGGGGAAAACAAACTGCACAGTGCCAGGGGCACCTTTATATTCACAGTCTACACTTCATCCTTCAAAGTTGACACTTTTGCTTTGCTTGGCAGGACTGTGTGAAAGGGGATTGTAGGAAGGGAATGTAGGAAGGGATTGTAGGAAGAACTTGGCTCAGCACTGTGACGCAGACCGGTACCAGCCACTGATGTGAGAGCTGCCATCAGCTGAGCTGTTACCTTGACTTTGGCAGCGCATCGCTGTCTCCTGACTCCCCTTTCCTGTCCCCCACCTGACAGGGCAGCCCATGACCCCATCCTTGAAAGGAAGGAAGATGAAACATCACTCTCAATTGACAGTTCCTCCTTGGCATTCAGCGTGTGTCTGCCAGATGAGTCGGAATCTTGCACGTGTCAGCTGGACCACTGATTTTCTCCCTTTTCTTTTTTAATGTACTCATTTCTGGTTCAGTGCCTGCTGGTTGGGGCCACAGACCTCCTCTCACTTTTGATTTCTCTCTGGAGCAGGAAGAATGAGATCAGACAGCACAAGGTGACAACATGCATTTAAATTGCCAGACATGGAGGGGACACAGTTCCTGCACTGCAGGCTCAAGTCGCCATGAACTTCCCAGAGCTGGGCTGTGCTGGGTGGGAGCAGGAGGCAACACGCAGTGTGGAGTTTCACAGAATCCCAGCCTGGTTTGTGTTGGAAGGGACCTTAAAGCTCCTCCAGCTCCAACCCCTGCCATGGGCAGGGACCCCTTCCACTGGAGCAGCTTGCTCCAAGCCCCTGTGTCCAACCTGGCCTTGAACACTGCCAGGGATGGGGCAGCCACAGCTTCTCTGGGCACCCTGTGCCAGCGTACCACCATTTCATGGCGTGCTTCATGAAGGACCAGAGCAGGCAGGAAGGGCAGCAGATAAGCCATGGCACCATTCCCTCATCCCTCTGGAGCAGGCCAGGGAGAACTTTCCCTTGCAAAGCCTTTCATCCTCTGCCAGCTCCTCTTTGGCCTAAGGAAAGTAACAGCTACCTAGAACTTTTCCCTTTAATCTCAACTTTAAACATGTAAGAAAACAAGGGAGAAACTGTGCAAAGTTGCAAACCTTCAGTAGTTTCTGTGCAGCTACGCACGCTTTCCGGGGGACATCAAAATGCCATATTTCATCTAAAAATATTTCAGCTGAAGTTTTCCTGTCAGTTCTAAAGGGAAACACAAAAAGTCCTACGGGAATGTTTGGTAGCACTGAGTTTCCTCCTTTATTTGGCAGAATTGCCACCAACTGCAAAAATCCTCTCAAATCACCAGAAGGAAACCTGAGCAGGAAATATGCTGGTCCTCTAGAACTTTGGCCAGCTCTGAAATGAATAATGATGTTCACCCATTTTCATACCTGGGTTTTGTCAACCTCCTGACGCTCCAAAAGCCTTCCAAAGCATTCATTTTTAGTACTGTCCGGATAGGCATTAAGAAGAGGAAAGCTGAAAGGTTGGTACTCCTACACACAGCGAACAGGAGACACTGCTTTGGAAGAAGCCACGCTCTGAGTAGATGACTATCATGCACTTAGTTACAACATGACAGTTGTGAATAACTGATTCTATAGAGACAGCAGGAACAAACAGAAACCAAAGGAAGGGCATTCATCATGGAAACCACACGCCATCTACTCAAGCCTAACATGCCACATTTTTCTTCTCAAGAGTGGTCGGTGCTTAAAGCCACCAGGAAGATGGATGGTTGTTGCTTATCACCTTGGTGGGTGGAAGGGTAAAATAAATCTTGGTGTAAGTATGCACTGAAATAGCCACTTCAGGCAAATCCAGGAGCACCTCCCCCAGCCACAAAAGAGACAAGGTCAACCCATGAGTAACCACCAGGGTTAGGAAAAGACTATAAACCAATGAAGTTCTTACAAGTACTTTATCCATGCTGGCCTTGAATTAAAAATACTGTCACAGCAACTGAAAAGGGAAAAATTAAACAACCTAAAAACATCATCCCCTGAGACACTGATTAACTTTCCTGTATGACAGCAGAGAGCTGAAACAGAGCATCATGTAATGTGCCTCCTGGTCTTGGGTTTCATGGCCCACTCCCAGGGTGACAGCAGGTCTGCTGCAAGGCTAATCACTGTTAAACCTCTGCAAGTCAAGTTTTCTGCTTGGAAAGCAGACAGCAATGCTTCCCACTCACAGAGAAGAAGCAGAGAGAGATGATACAGCATCACTGTCCTAGCTGCCACTAATGGGGCTGATGATTAGCAATTCCTAATAGCAACACAGGTAATTAGCTGCTCATTCAGGGTAATACCACTGGGCTACACATGATCTCATGAACCCTCAGATGTTAAAATGGGAGAACAGCCTTCAGCCACTGAATCTACAGCACTGTTCAGAGGGAGCTGAAAGCACAGATCTCAGAAGGACTCTGCCAGAGACTCCTGGAATGCAGATGCAAAGAACTTTTAGAATTTTAAGTCTGAAAAATAAATAAATAAAGGAAAAAAGAAAAAAAAAAAGAAAATTTAGGATTGGCTTTATCTTCAGTCCAAGTACATCAAAGGAATGAGTAAAGTTGCTCCGGGATGGCACATGATGCCCAGGGACATAGTCCTGCCTGGAGAAGTACAGCCCTCAGGAATGGAGAGGAGCCAGGTAACTCAAGTGGGTGAGCTGCTGGCGAAGGCACCTGCCAGCACTGCTGATGTTGAACTGAGTTACTCAAAAGCCCAAACTCAAGAATCCTCCAGGTGGAGAAACAAAATTGGCCAAGACAGAAGGTTTGATTTGTAAGCTTTGTTGCCTGGATGTGAAGCACAGCCCAAGAACAGATTTGATACCTGTCAGCAGCCCATGTCACTCAGGAGCAGTGAGGAACAGGCTGGAGGTAGAAGATGGAGTACAGCAGCTGCTGTGGCTGCCTGGCAAGATGGAAAAGCATCACCACACCTGCTGAAAGAGCAGCAGTGGTACAAAATCACTTGTGTTCTGCTCCTCTGGGGATGCTTGGATGGAAAGGGAAGTGTTCAAAGTTCCTGTTTCAATCCACTCCTTTTATATTCAGCAAGGAAGGACGCCCAAAAGAAACTTTGTGCCAATTATGCACATAACTCTCAGTAAGCTTGCAACAAGAGCAAGACTGAGGTAGGAATTTCCTTAAGAGGCTACAAAGGGACTGCAGAGATAAGAACATGCACTTGTAGCACCCAAACATATGACAATGGTGGATAAGAGAAGTAGTAATATGAACATAACACTATCTGCATTTTTCAGTAAATCCACATCTTCTGTGCTTTTGGCAGGTTTAACCACTTGCTCAGGCTGTATGCCACTTAGCAGGTCCTTCAGAGCGCCTTGTGCCTTCCTAGCACAAGAACTGCACACATTTCCAGGCCTCCCAGCATCCTGAGAGCATCCATATTCAAGCAGAAACAACTGCATTTTAAGGGGGGGAGTCCATTTCCTACCAGTTCCTTTGTTAATCAGCTGGGAGAAGGAAATGGGGAAAGAGCCTTCAGTTAACTTTTCCTTTCCCTCTCAGGTCTGTTTCTGATGCTGTGGTTTGCCACGTTGTCCTAATCCATCCAAATCCCAGCTGCTTGGGTGGAGGCAGTTACAATAACATGGAAGGCAGATTCCTGCTGAGCCAATCTTCCATGTGCTCCTACCATTCCATAGGTCCCTCAGTACTTGTGTGATTGAGTTTGCCCCCTCACACACACAGTCCTGCAAAGCACCTCGGGGCTTGGTTCACCAGGTCTGATCCAGTTAATGCTCCTAACATTTCATTCACTAGCTGCAGAAGCACCCATGTGTTTATAGAAAAACAGATTCTTGCTCCAGGGAAAGAATTTGTTCTATGGGGTTCCTATCTCTTTGTCTTCCTGGAGAACAATAAATCCTTTATAAGGGAGAAAGCAACGAAAAAGCCCAACACCTTTATGACTGTCACTGTTTATGCAACTATAGGCACAAAGCCTTGTCTGTGCTAAATATCTCATTTACCTTCTGGAAATGTATTTTGAGAGACAAAGGCACTGAGGGAGTCCAAGATGGAGAATGAGCAGGAGAAAGGGGGCGAGTGTGGAGT